CTAGCAAGTGTTTTCTCCCTACGTCTCTAGTCCTCGGAATATCCCGTATGATCAACCAGGTTCTAGGCTGGTATCGACAAGCGAGTCGTTGGCGATCAGGCACCAGCGGAGATTTTCAATACACTAGTCTAACGTCTGAGAGTCTGGCAGGGAGGCAGCCCCAAGCGCTCCGCAGTTCGGTGTCCCAACTGAAGGCCAGTCAATAGAAACTCGGCCTTGGGCATACAATGGCATATCTCGCCTTAGACCTATCTACCGACATTAGCTTTGGTCTATCTTTCAGGTCGCCATTCTCGCATTGCCGATCACTTGTTTGGGATGGCTTGGTAGTCATCTATCCGACTGGACAAGACAGACGATCCGCTGCTGGGAATGAGGCTGATGTCGCAAGACAGCGTCGTGGCTATCGTAGAAGCCACGGTCTACGTTTGGGCCATGCATTGCGAAGGCGAGCTGGGTAGCGACTTGATGGAGAGCTCACGAGATATTACGATTGGATGCTGCAGCCTTGCGCCGTGCTCTGTCAACCTAGCTTGACCATTCGCGATGTCGCCTCGTTACTCTCAGCCAGGGACCATGGTGCGTGATACCCCAGTGAGTCACTTTTCCGTGATGAGGCGCGCGAGGACGAAGCAATGGAAACCTCACGGCTGCCTCGAAAGTATCGTCTGGTTTCCATGATACCTGAGGGAGCAGCGTTCGGGTTGCGACTCACTTCCGCGGCCTTCTCATCGAAAGTCAAAAGAGATATATCTAGAAGGTTGTGCCATCATCAAGGTGAGCATCATGAAGAAGTTCGATATCGTTGTTGTTCAGGGCAAGCTGGAAAAGTACAAGCTGCACTAACACTTAACATTAACAGACGCTGAGTCACGTGGGAGGCCTCTTTTCAGCATTCAGCCCCAAATCTTACAGCTGTCATACAGCTGTCGGATACCACCACCTGTGCACGTGTCGTGCATCGGCGGGCCGGGAACCGAGCCACAACACCCGAACCCCTCCGAAATTTTGACAGCGCGCGGCGCCCACGCGGACGTCGAAATTCACAACCTGAAGCAAAATTCTAATTGCCTGAGGTATCAACCTCCGTCGCCTGTCCAACCAGCGCCAATATTGACATTGATACAGTATCAACAGATAGAGGTGTAAGAGAAGGTGCGCCGCCAACCGCGGAGGGCAAGGTCAATATCCAGATTCGCTTATACACTGGCGGCCTATTAAAGTCAGGCCGTCCATCGGCTGTTGAAACCTTGTATTCTCACAAGAGTATCTCAAGAGTTTCGACATATAAGCGATCAGCATCTCACCACTCACAGCGGCGTCTTTGACGGCTAACTCACAAGGAAGAAGCCGATATAGTCGTTTGTCTGACCGTGTTCAAGTTCATCGTCGCGCACGGTGAAATATTTCAGTCACACGACAACATGAGCATCGTCTACGGCGAAGAACGGGAATTATTCCAGGACGAGAATTACCCGAATATTGACGACCACATCACGCATGATCCTCATCATCAACAACACCATTCACAAACCACCCATGAAACCCAGCAGCAAGAACTGGAGCATTCCCTTCACGACCATCACCCACAAGCTCATGACCCTCACCACCCCCACGACTCCAACAATCATCAAGAACTCACCGAGCAACACCATGGCTCACCCGGCGACACTGATCGCTTCACAAACGCCAATGATGTCGTTGTGAGCGACCTATCCAATGACTTGGTGGAAGTTGCCCGTGCTACATGCAACGCACATGCAGCCGCCGCCGCCGCAGGGGCCGCCTTCGGCGCCGTTCAGACGGATCCCCGACTCAATGACTACCTCGCCGCTTCGGCGCCGGAACGCGAACCTCAGCCGGCCCCGGTATCAGCAGTAGACGTACCAGTCACGAGCTCACTGGCCGTTCAAGCTTCCTTGCCTATCCAGTTGACTCCACCACTGGAACAACAGCAGCAGCAGCAGCAGTCTCGTGTTGTACACCCTCTGCTTCCTCCACAGCTAGTTGCGCAGATAACGCAGCCTTTGTCACCAGCCGCGCCATCGCCACCTTCACATCCCCAACAGGAGCAGCAGTCGCCGAGCACGCCAGCACCATCGGGGAGAATCAAGCCTATCCCCAAGCCGGTTCGTCAGGCGACCAAGAATGCCGAAGGCAAATTTGTTTGCATGTGGCCTGGATGCGCGGAGGACATCAAAGAATTTGGTCGCAAATGCGAATGGAAGTACGTTTTCCTCTTCCTTGATCAACCCCCTTCCCCAGAAGAAGAAGCAGTCACTAACTACAATTCTCAAAGTAAACACATGGACAAGCACGACCGTCCCTACAAATGTGGCGCCGTAGGCTGCGAGAAGCTACCAGGCTTCACCTACTCGGGCGGCCTTCTGCGTCACGAACGTGAAGTTCACGGCAAGCATGGCGGCCCCAAAAACCCCTTGCACTGTCCTCACGAAAGCTGCAAGCGCGCCACCGGCAAGGGATTCTCCCGGCTTGAAAACCTAAACGAGCATCTCCGGCGGGTACACACCCACAGCGCAGACGGTACTACAAACGGCGGGATGGGGATGATCATCTCAAACGGCGGCGGCATCAATGCCAATGTGGGCGCGGACGAGTCCGACGAAGCCACCAGCGACGACAACTCGTTTGGAGGCCAAGCACAAGCACAAGCACACCCACAACCATCCCATCCCCAATCCCATTCCCAGCTTCTACTAAAGCGCAAACGCCGTCATCGCGATTATGACGACAACTTTGGCATTGGCGGTGAGACATCCGAGTTACGAGAGGAAGTCAAGCGCCTAAGGCAGGAGAACGAGGAGCTGAGAGAGCAAGTGCAGAAGAATACCCAGCAGACAACGCTGTTGGTGCAGAAGCTCCAGGCACTGACGGAGGCTATGGCGCCGAGGAACAACCATAATAATCATCACAATAATCATCATAATAACATGGCGCCCCCGCCGACGGGTCAGATGGCAACAACGATGACGACGACTACGGCGGCGACGACGGCGACGGCATCGTATTAGGAGTATCAGGAGTATCAGAAAGGAAGAAAAAGACGATGAGCGCGCATGCATGTTCCAACGACGACGCGAGGGAGATGGCGACGGCAAGCTAAGGGAACTAAGGGAGATGGACTTGTTGATGAAGATGGAGATGGAGATGGACATGCTAAAGGAGGAAATGTGGCGCCAGCGTGAGTGAGTGAGCCAATGCAGGTAGGTGTTGTTACACCGCACCCGCACCCGCACCCGCACCCGCACCCGCACGCAGGCAGGCAGAGCGTGCAATCTTCTTAACCTCCTTCTTACCTCTTTCTTCCTTCCTTTCTTTTCTTCTGTTCTTCTTATCCTTTGTTTCCTTTTTTTGTTATATTCGCTTTCTACACCCACGGCTCTTCATTCTGGCATTCTCTTTCCCTTCATGCTTTCAGCAGCAATCTGTTTCTTTATTTTCTCAGGAGATCGTTTTTGCTCCTTCTTCTTCTCTCCGCTTGCTTCTTTTCGCATTTTCCCAGGTGTTGACGGGCTTGGCTAGGTGGTTGTGGCGGCATTCAGTTCTTCTTCCAATGAACTTTTGAATTAGAGCATCCCATTTTCACATTCCCACACATTCCCCCCCCCCCCCCACACACACGCACATCGATTGGGCTTCAGCGTTTTTCATCAATGTACCGTGGAAGAAAGAGCCTAGATTGTTTTCTTTTACTTACTGTTTACTCTTTTACACTACACTGGAGGTTTGTTTGCCATGTATTTTTACCTACAAGCATTGATCACGTTACGCATGATACCCATTCAAGGAGTCCTAGCTAGAGAGGGAGGGAGGTGTTCCGCTTTTTTAGTACGAACTTTGGGTTGTAGAAGAGGAGGAGGAGGAGGAGAAGGAAGAGGAGGAGCGTTGCGTTGTTGAAAGGAGGAGATGGTGAATGGAAGAGAGGAACGTCTCTAGTGTATTGTACTGTGTATATATGGCGGGGAGGTCTGAAGAATGGAGGTTAGAAAGGCCTCGAGGAGATTGTATATATATATATATATATATATATATGATGGTAGAGGAGTGTCGTTACTTGTCAGAATAATCACATCTGCATAAGCCATGACTGCGCTGAACAACAACAAGTTTTCTTTCTAATGCGATTTTGATTGACTATTGGGTATGCGTGGTAACCTTCGCCTTTCCTTCCTTTTTGCCAACCCAAACCCAACCTTCCATGGATTCTCTAGCAGAAAAAATCGCCATGGTTAGGTATGCATCCCGTCGACCACATTGTGTGTCTCACGGTTCTTTCTCTTAACAGATCCCTCCAAACTGATCCCTTCATTGGCTCACTCAAGCAAAATGAGGCTGCTGAAAGAACCACCACCAACCAGAGGGATAAGACCAGAACTGCCGGATGAATGGCCGTTCCCTGGCCGTTCCCCAACGAGTGTGGCTATGGCGGATGGATGATCGTAACGATAGAGCCACTGAAGACCCCGGAGTTATCTCGCAGTCTGACTCGATGAACATTACCGAGGGAGAGTTGGGAGGTATAAGAGACAGGTGAAGGGACATGACTGCCTAGGACTTGAAGAGCTCCATCCATCCATCGGTTCTCGAAGAATCTCTCGAGATATCAGCTGAAACACAGCACATGACTGGTTGGCTGGCCGGCTGGTGAACAAAAGGTAGTAATCATCCGTATCTATACCATAGATACCAACCCAAGCCTTCTTCTTCTTCTTCTTTCCACTCTTTCCACTGCTGCTGCTGCTGCTGCTGCTGCCGCCAAGGGTATCCTGTTGATAAACGCTTTTCCTTTTCCTCTCTTTCATCTTCTTCATGCAATTGCTGTCCAATAATTTCTCTTCTTGCTGATGGCACCATGGTTTCCCCTTCTTCTTCTTCTTCTCTGTCTCGCGTATCGTCCCTTTTTGATGGTTCCGTATTATCCCCCAACGCCAGTTGTTGTAAATGCATGGTTATGTCGATATAATGATGGTAGTGATGATTTAGGAAAAATCCATCTCGACCTCCTTGGTGGCCGGGGTGGTCTCCTCGGTCTCGGCGCTCTTCTTGCTGGTCTTGCCTGTATTTGTCGCAAACCTGTTAGCGCAAGCCCTCGCAAGCTACTTTTTTTTTTTTTTTTTTTTCTTTTTTTCTCCTCCTCCTCTCCCTCCTCTCCCTCGTCTCCCCATTCCCCCTCATACCCCCCCCCCCCCCCCCCCCCCCCGGGAAAGAACTAGACAGAACAAAATACTTGTACTCACCAATACCCATCATCTCCTCCACCTTCTCCACCTCCATCTTACTCAGTCCCTCGCGCTCCATCTTGCGGCGGATGGCATACCCCAGCTTCTTCTCCAGCTTGCGCTGCGCCTTCTTGCCCAACGCCTTGCGAGGTCCGCTGTTGGGCAGCAGACCGGGACGGGCGCCGCGCGCGAGGTCCTCCTTGGTGATCTTGTGGATCTTCTCCAGCTTGCCTTGGGCCGACTCGCGCTGGCGCTGCTTGCGCAGGGAGGCGGCGCGCGCGATGAGGCGGTTCTTGGAAGGGCCGTTGGGGTTCTTGACGGAGGGCATGGTGGGCGGTGGTTACTTGAATTGGTTGATTTACAAGGGCGGAAAAGAGACAAAAACGGCGGGTGAGAAGACGAGAAGTTCGGGAAGAGGTCGCAAAGGATGGATGGGCGGAGGACAACGGGGTCGGATGGAAGGTTGGAGATAAGATGGTAGCAGATCTGGGACTTGAGGTTCAGTGGAGGCGACTGAAGGACAGAAACAAAAATTTTGTGGGGATCGTTTGGAGCCAGTGTGACGTTGGTGCATGGCTTGGCGGTCTAGGGGACTTATAAAGTGGGGCTGGCTGCAACCGCTGAAGAGCGCTGAAAGACAGCTGCTGGAAATGCGCTATAATCCGATAGGTACTGCTGAAAGTTCCCCCCTGAGTGGAAGTAAACAATCATGTGGTGATGGCCTCATGTCTGCTTCTTATTGATGGAAAACTATTGATTAGATTATGACGATATGACAACTATCTAGAGTGGTGACCAGCACCTTTTTCTTTCTCTGCTAATATTCAGAGCGGTATACAAAAACGAATAAAACAGACAACCTCTCCGACCGTACGCAATCGCAACCAAACATCCTCCCATGATGATCCCAAGATCTTTCTTTCTATGGTCGTCAACATCATATCCATCAATATTAGAAAACATTGTAAGAAACTTGAAGGACAAGAAGCCGAAGAAAGGGATAGAAAAAGCAACAGCGAAAAAGAAAAGAGAAAACCTCCCCAAGAATCCAGTCACACCAACCATCAAATCAAAATCGAAACAGCCGTATTCCCCGGATCCAGCACCATATACGGCAAACTCCCCTTCTCCATCGCCTTCGAATTCTCCCACACCACTCTCTGCGTCTCCCTCAACCTCGCATACAACCTCTCACTAGCCTCAGCAACCATCTTCTCCCTCCTCCCCTTCTTCGTCTTGTACACCCGCCACATACTCGCCGCATAATTCAGCAATGATCGATCCTGCGGTGTTCTGAAGCTCAGTAACCACGGTACCTGCGCACTCAACAACCATTGGCGCTGCCTGTTGATAGGCAAGGAAGCCACAAGATCATGCTCTTTCATCTGTTGCAGGGCCGACAGGGAAGTAGGCGGGGCAGTACAAAGCATAGGCGGCTTGGCAATGACGAAAGCCTGATAGAAATTCTGAAGGTAGTTGACAGCCGAGTGAAACGAGGTGGCGGTGTGGATGCACATGGTTATTGCGTCCGTCAAGGAGTCCAAGTCCCCGATTTCGGGAAACGAGGACATGTGCGCGCCGCCCTGGCGCATTTCCTTGCACCAGGACTGGATGTATCGATCCTGAGCCACGGATTCGTCAGAGGGGTAGGAGAGGGCGAGCATCTCGGCGACGTAAGATCTCAGAACGGTCCACAGGGCGAGCACGTCCTTTGCGTAGGCGTAGTTCCTGTAGCGGGTGGAGGCGGATAGACCCTCGGCTGTGTTGGGGAACCCTCGGCGGGCGAGGTCGTTGGGGACGTGATGTGCTACGAAATCGTAGGTGTCGTAAGCGTGGCGGATGAAGGAGTGGCATTGCTCAGGCGAGATGCCGACAATGTCGACGATGACTTGCGGGACTAAAGTGGCGCGGGCGGCGGCGTTGACGGAGAGGGTCTTGTACCAGTGCGGCGAGAGGAGGCGGTAGACGGGGTGTTCCATAGGCAGGGACCGGTTGGTGCCGACGATGATGGCTTCCTCGACTAGGTGGGCAAGCGTGAGGTGGACGGTTAGCTCGTGTCGCATCCAGTCGGTTACTTGGGCGCAGGTTTTGGCGTATCGCCAGGGCCAGTCGGTCTTTTCGGTCTTGGTCGAGTCCCGAGGGGTTAGCCGGTTGTTGAAGAGCGTGACGGATTGCTCCATGGATCCGCGGTAGTCAATGCAAATGGCGACCGGGTGCAGCTTGCCGTCGTCGTGCAGTTGGAAGAGACTCACGGCGCCGACGCACCAGTTGTCGTCGCTGCCGGGCTGCTTGTGGTGGAGGGCGGCGGTTGGGTCGGTGACACCGACGGCGTCGCGGAAGTAACTCCCGTCTTGGACGAAGAGAGAGGCGGGGTCTGCGGCCTCCAGAGCCGAGGTCCATGCATTATAGCCGCCAATTCTGGCAGCAGTGAGGAACTCGCCGATCCATTGCTTCCCGGCTTGCGTGATGGTTGTGGGGTTGGTACCGGTGAACTGCTGTTCGGCAAAGCGTCGATCGCTGTACCAGTCGTCCAGAAGGCCAATGTTGCCGCCACCAGCAATGTCGGTGCCTACCTTGCGATGAAACCTGTTGTAGTCCTCAACGTCCTGGATGGTGATGCCTTTCTCCGGTTCACCTCCATACGCAGCAGCGCGAGCCTTCTCCAGCAACCACTGCTTCGTCCGTCCAATAAATCCATCTTCATCCGGGATGAGTTTCTGCAAGATGACTGCTGTTTCGAGCAAACCGGCATTGTTGAAGACGCCAAAGACCGTGTGGTTCTGATCCACAGGAATATGCTGAAGGTGAGGTGGGTAGTCGGCAAGGGTTCCATCGGCGTTGTTGGGATAAGGTGCAAACTGGTAAAGATTCCTTTGCTGCTCCAGTGAGACGTATCTAGGAAAGGTGGGTTCAATACCGAGAACATCAAAAAGAGAGTTGAATCTAGAAGTGGAAGTCAGCCACATGCAATTTCTTCTTGACAGGCAATGTTCAACGCCTCATGTTTGTGGCCATCACCGTTGATGCCAACTCACGTTTGTTCAACACGCTCATATGCCTGTGTTAAGGCGAGTTGTGTACCCAGATAGGTTCCTTCACGAACGTTTCCTTCTGGCTCCCTGATCTTTCTGGGATCATTGGGGTCGACCTCCGGATACAGCTTGAGATCCAGCAACTCACTGTGGAAGATGCCGGGATCAAAGGACGGCAACGGGCAGTCGTTAACCGCTTCGGGCACAATTTGTTTCAGAAAGTCCTTCTTTGCTGGATGTTTCAGGATGGTTTTCTTGTCCGGTCGGGACGCTGCCTGTGTTGCTGTGGGGACAGGCAGAGACAGATCAGGAACCGGATGCTTGTGAATGAGTCTCTTCACAAAGGCGACCGCTCGGCGAACCAGTGATCGTTTCGGGCGGGAGACCGCCATTTTGCTTCAGATTTCCTCAGGGGACCTCTTATTTGGCGTACAATGAATGAGGGCATACAGATCCAGCTGTTGCCGTGGTGGTATGAAATTGCAGATATTGAAAAGAACATCTTGAAGAAGCGGTGGGCCAGAATTCGGACTTGGGCTGCCTGAATAAGGTTGGGTATGATCTTGGAAAATGACGTTTATGCGGACACCGCCCATCTGGCCATTCGTGTGGTTTCCGAATCAAAACATCAAAAGACGAGGTTGGGAAACTTGGGATTGCGGAGTACCCAATGCCAGGTACCGGACGCTCGGCCTGGCCAGGTGGATGAGAGGGTGCCAACACAGCAGGGTCTACATGCATGAAGCATGAACTACGTGATTTCGGTTGCCGGTGCCAATGAGCGTCCAGCAAACTAGCCCATCTGGGTGGAACCATCTCTTTGAGGCACAGAATTAGCAAACTCGGCTAAAATCTGGTGTTTGTTTTGGAAGCCTCGAAGAAGCAAAAGAAGGGGCCGTGGGCAGCCTTGGCACGGGTTGAAATTGTTCCAGATTTGAGTGCATTCCCAGGTTGGGTACTGTAGGGCTGAGGTAAAACCGGCCATGGACTTGTCTTGGGCAGCCACGTGTAATTGAACCAGTTCCCAATGACTTGCGCCACGAAACCATGGCTGATCGGGCATCGCCGTGTCCAAATCTCAGAAGTCATTGACCAATCTTGTTGTTAGGCGGTTTCTTATGGGATGAACCAGGCCGGAGAGGTTTGTTTACTTTGGGGATTTGCTGGTTGGATGGACCGGACAAGAAAGCCTTGCCAACCCCCCAAGTTCGATGACAGGAAATCGGCAGTAACGGCTTTGATGGATCAAACACGTGTTCGACGTTCGTGACGATGTGTACCTTGACCTGTCAACCAATGATCTCCCTCCCGGCGTGTTTCTCGTGCGGCTGACTGACCAACCACGTCAAGGAGGATGTGCTGCGCCATCTTGACCAACTCATGCCCCCAAATCGACTTTGTCTTATTTCATCTCCTATTTGAAACTGTGACTTTGAGCTGACGAAGTCACTTCTGGCCGCCCAAATATTTTCCACTTGCGGTCTCTACCTGGTGCATTCCGCCCGACCTTCCCGGACTCGTTACTCAACTTGATCATCGCGAACGACGCACGATGGACGATGTCTCAAAGCCACTCGATAGCCAGCAATCCAAACGGTCCGAAGTTGATGCCAGTGGCGCGCTTGCTCAAGTCGAAGACGGATCTCCGGCAGCATCTGCCAAGAAATCCGCCGCCGCTATGAGTGTACAATATTGCGACGACTGCATGCGTATCGATTTTGACAAACTCGAGCGTTCGCGCGAAGAAATGCCGATTCTCATCGCGAATGTCGAAACGTGCCCTATGTGCGCCTTCTTGCACGCTGCGCTTGTTCGCCAAGGTATCAAGCTCTCAAACGAAGCCAATATTAAGCTGTCTAGAAACCCTTTTGGACAAGGTTGGAACTTAGTCGAGGTCTGCTCCAGGGACAGATGGCACCCTGAGTGGAGATGTGTTTCTCTCCAGATTGCCTCCGACCTATGGCGCCCACGCTTGGTCGATTATGGGTTTATTGCAAAGTGGCTCGATGACTGTGTCAAATGCCATGGAGATCGATGCTTCAACAACCGGTTGGATCTCGGCCTTGTCCCGGGGCTTCAGTTCATCGACTGCATTGCCCGACGCATAATACAGGCATCCGAGGCTGTTGACAAAGCGTACCTGACCCTGAGCTACGTCTGGGGAGCACCTTCAGGCAGTACATCTGGTATTGTCGAAGATAAAGATTCGGTCTCAACGCTCCCCATTCGCTTGCCCAGGGTCGTTGAGGATTCCATCAGGGTGGTGAAAGAGCTGGGATTCAGATATCTGTGGGTGGACAGATATTGTATTCCACAGGCCGATAAGCGGGCAAAACACACTCAAATTCAGCTTATGGGCACGATTTACGCCCGTTCAGCGATAACCATAATTGCGGCAGGTGGAGGGGATGCGGAGTATGGCTTGCCGGGCGTCGACGCCAGAGCACGCAATCCCCAAGTACGGATCGATTTGGAGAGCGTGGGTGGTAATCTTCGGCTCCCACCATCACTCATGGTGTATCGCCTGCCCCAGGATGACGTCCAATCATCATTGTGGAGCACTCGAGGTTGGACATATCAAGAAGCTCTGTTATCCAAGCGGCGCCTTGTCTTTACCGACAACCAGGTGTTTTTCGAATGCCAGCATATGCTTTACGAAGAAAGCCTGACGGCATCAGGGCCATCATCCCGGCAAACTGTATATTCTGCTAATTTTGTTTTCCCAACTCTTGCTGTCTTCAAAAAATCTTACTCGGTCTGGGAGAGAATCAACGAGTTTTTGAAACGCACTCTCTCCTTTGAACATGATGCTTTGGATGCCATTAGTGGAATTCTCAACATGTATCGGACAGAGTGCAGCGAACACGGTGGTATCGCCTTTTTGTGTGGCATGCCTCTGTTTCCCAAGCTTTCCGTACACCAGTCTGACGATATAACACCGAAACGCGGCGAAAGTGAAAGGCAGTGGCACAGTAGCCTCTACGAAACAAGTGTCCTCATCGAAGGACTGTTATGGGACGGCCATTGGGTTGAAAAACCCATCGGTGTGCCGAAGGCTGAGTTGTCTTCCACGAAGCTAGAGCGGCCACGAAGGAGTGAGTTCCCAAGCTGGACTTGGGTTGGGTGGAAAGGCACCTCTAGGTATGCGCTAGAAGTGATGAGCATCTCGGAGTCGATCTCGAAGACTTCGAAGTGTGCCATTCGGGCAGTCTATGAGGAATGTCAGACGGACATGGACTGGGACAAAGATGCAGAACAGATTCTTGAGAAATCAGCTCTTGGTCTGAACCCAAGGTTTTTGGACATCAAGGGGACATGTTTCGACGCGAGTCTTGCCTGGAGTGAGACTGGAGATTGGGAAATTGACACCGGCGGTTGGGTTTACACGAAGCCGCTGGTCTTCAGTTCATCTTTGTTGGGGTCTCGAACTTTCAGAATTCCACCGAACACTTTAGAGGAGGGCGAAGGGAAAGTACACGAGCTCGTTGCGCTGCTTCTTTTATACGACTGGGACACAGAACCTTGCCTCGATGTAATATCGAGGCGAACCCATAGCATAGACTTCCTTTTGGTTCAGCCGGTCGAATACAGCGCTGGGAGATGGGTATATGAGCGCGTAACGTGTGATAAGATCACTTGGTACGTTGAAAGTCGGCCAGATTCGCCTAATTACTCGTTATCGCAACAGCTTGGAGCTATCTTCGAGGAGCGAGAGTTGCGGCTGCGCTGATAAGTGTGCGTCGAGGTAGTGCCATAAGTCCCAATAAAAGATGATGTGAGCTTCCGGATTGAAAAGGAATTGTGAGAAGATGAAAATGAAGTCAACCCACGTGCCCTTGCGATATCTCTCAGCTCGGCTCCTCGGGTTGTGCAAAGCCAATGACGTGACGATAATCCCCACTGTGGAGCGCTACAAGCGCACTAGCGGCCAGCGATAAGCTCCATTCACTGCAACGTCCAGGGTCTAGTGCTGATAAGGAAACAAGCGACAGCACTAACACCAACTAACACTAGCTCGACAGGTGCCAACGAACACCACATGTCAACCCCTCTTCTCATCGGGTTCTCTGCTCGCTCGTCTTCAGCTTATCTTAGTGATTTTTTATTGGAACTTTTTTCTGTTTCATCTCTCAACCATTCATAGCTACTTCATTTCTCTGAATACATAGAAGCTGATCATACAGGAACTCGCAAGTTCCACCGGCGTCAGGCGCCCACGTCATTGCATATTTTGTTTCCTACTCGTGATCTTTCCACTTGCTGTTAGAGCGCTGCTATCACGATGAGCGACAGCGACACGCAACCGTTGTTGCGCATCCTCACTGCCATAACCTTCATCCCCTCTCTCCCACTGTGCATCACTCATGGCGTTCTCTCACATAACCCCATACCGGCTGTTGGCCTAGCTCCCATGGCCCTCTCCGCTGGCTATTCGGTGTTGCTCTTGACCTATCGCCGCCGCAGCAAGCGCAAGCAGAACAATCGTCGGAGTATCGGACATGCTGAGGAAGATAACGATCTCGAGTCCGTCAGAAATGGAGATGAGGCTGGAATCAGCTCGAGTCAACCACTCATCGAAGGAGGCGCAGAAGAGCCAGGATATGCGACGTCGGAAGGATCGCAAGCGGAGCAGACACCCGCCTGGGAGGAAGAGGCAAAGGAGAAGAAGACCCCTCTGTACGCTCACACCATCTTCATCTTTTTGGTCGACAGCATTCTGGCTGCGGGCGTCATGGTTGTCCTCGTCTTTACGTGGATCAACACGCAAAAGGGCAGAACGGGCATCACCAACCCCGTCCTGGGCGGTAAGCTGGCCATGCTGGCTGCTTACGCTACCATTCCTTTGTTGGCAAACTTGTAAGTTGTTCCATCCTTGTTTTGAACTCCACGGCGTAGTCTTAAAGACACAAAACTAACATCCGCCCTCTCCCCTCTGAGAAGCCTAATCCACACTTACCTCGCCCTCCGCGGTTTCGCCATCGGTCTAGCCCTCTACCCGCTAGTCCAATACGCTGCCTGGCACACCCTGCCACCCAACTGCCCCAACTGCAGCAGCCGCCTCCGTCCGACATCGCGGCCCAAGATCCCCTGGTACGATTTCGTCTCGCGGCCCAGGAACTTGTGCGCCCGACCGACTTTCAAGGCACCCAAGTGGTGGTCCAACCGTCAGCAACGCCGAACGGCGGTGGATGTGGTGGGCGCTGGTGATGTGGATGATGACGCGACGGCGAGACTGTTTGTGAGGAATGACGACCTTGAAAGTGTGAGCCATCTTGGAGAGGGGGTACTTGCGGTGGAGAGGTATAGGGATGAGCCTGATGCCGATGAGGATGCGGGGGTGGAGAATTTTGAGACAAGGAGTTATAGGGATGAGCCTGAAGGTGAGGACAATGACCATCAGGAACGGGAGCAAGAGGGGCAACCAGAGGGGCAGGGCGAGGAGGGACAGGAGCAGCAGAAAGGGCAAACAGAAGACATGTTGCAAGCGCAGCCGGAAGGCCAGCAAGAGGAAGATGGTCAGCAGCAGCAGCAGCCTGAGCAACAGCAGCAAGAACAGGGTAATGATGCGAGGAGTGAAAGGCTCGAAAGGATTGAGAGTCATGACCAGGTTCTTGCTCTGATTTGAGCTGCTGAGAACAAGGGGCGGTGAGAGCTCTTTCGCAGCTTAAGCGGGTGGCTATGATGCCTTGACAAGGGCCCGTAAGAGGGGTGCTCTTTGTTACTACGATGGAGGCTCAAGTGGGCAAAACAGAGCTGGTGAAGACGAGTTGGACTACAATGTCACGACGTGCAGGAGCGCACAAAATCAAAGGAGGGAAGACCCTAACAGGGTAACGCAGCGTTTGAAGAATGGGAGGTATCATGTGTTATGAAAATGTTTTCTGTTTCTGCTTCTTTTCTTTCCTTTCTTTTTTTCCTTTCTATCTAGCATGTCTTGCGCGCACATTTACGGATCGCATACCCGGTAGTTCATAAAGCATTTAGTGCTAGATACCCTCCTCGGTTCTGGTTTGGGAGCCGCTAGATTTGTCAAGATTTCATTTACACATGTTTGGGTGTTGAGTAGTTAGTTGGACAATTCATGACGAAAAGTTGGGTGGAAAAGCATGCATCTTTGGTGTGACCTAGCATATCCTGAAGAAGGACTGGTCCAGTTTTGAGGCTAGACAGCAAAGAACGAAACTCTTGATGAACAGAGGTTGTCATCAGTGTTCTAGGTAAAAGACAATAGATAAACAATAGGGCATTCGGTCTTCGGGTAAAAGCTGACCGAAAGAGAAGCTTGGATCAGTGAGGGGAAGGGGGGACTTGGAGGTCGGTTTAAACTCCATCTGTTGTGAGGAAAAGAGGAATCACCAGAAGTTACCTTTCGATAAATGTGCTTCTGAATTATTTCAATAACAAAGACGGAAAAACGAAAACGAAAGGAAAGCCACAAAAGAAACAAACAAAAAAACCAACAAAAAAAAAAACCAGGCGGATAAATCGTCGGAAAAGGACACCGACCAACGCCGATCATCATTTGGCATTTCTCCAAAATCCGGGGAAGCGACAACGGCACTGTTACCCCACGATCCCATTTCGAGAAGGAGCAACGTTATGAACAGTGGTGAATAATTCCCCAAATCATTTCGTCCCCGTTTGTATTCGCGTATTAGCGGCCCGTCCACCATTGCACAACCAAACTGGTCGGCTCCTCTTCAACCGCGACTCTGCTACAAGCGCCACGATTTCATTCGACGATGGCCATCGCAAATGACCTCAATGCGACAGTCCCGACTTCCCAAGCACTCTGCACAGTATCCACAGGAGACACCCCGAGCTGATGGAATCAAACCAAAAAGCCAAAAGCCATGATGGGATCACCTCGACTGAGACCCTCCAGGCCAAGTCATCGTCATCGTCTGTAGCCTTTTCCAGGCCTTAAATACAGACTCCCAAATCCTGGAGACAGGAAAGCCGCAACTTTGCAACGGCTTGAACACTCGACAGCCAAGAAGAGACTTCACAATGCGCTTTGCCAACAAAGGCTTCGGGTCCTTCGCCTACGCCCTCTTGCTACTATCGTCAGGTCTTCAGTACGTGCTAGGAGCTTCTGACACACCCTCAGCATGGCCTATTCAGGGCAACGATCTCCAAGACCAAATCCAATGGGACCACTACAGCATCATCATCAATGGCGAACGCCTGTTCCTTTTTGGCGGCGAGATGCATCCCTTCCGACTACCGGTTCCTGAACTATGGCAAGAAATCTTGGAAAAGGTCAAGGCCATGGGCATGCGCATGATCTCCATATACACCCACTGGGGTTTCCACGCCCCGACACCCGACCAAACCGACTTTAGCACTGGCGCACACAACTTGACCCGCTTCTTCGAGATGGCCAAGGAAGTCGGTCTGTACGTCCTTGTACGACCAGGTCCGTATATCAATGGCGAGCTGAACGCCGGAGGTTTGGCGCTTTGGTCTACCACAGGTGCCTACGGAGAGTTACGCTCTAATGGGTCGGCCTTTACCAAAGCCTGGACTCCGTACCAGACGGGCATGGCAAAGCTCGTCAAGCCGTTTCAGCTCACTGACGGTGGTACGGTTATTATGTACCAGCTTGAGAACGAATACGGTGAACAATGGAAGAATGTGGACGCCAAGATACCCAACCCAAAGGCCGTGTCCTACATGGAAAAGCTGAAGGAGAATGCCATCGACAATGGTGTTGTGGTGCCGAGTGTACACAATGCTCCTAACGCCAATGGCCGTCCGTGGTCGAAAGACTATGACACTGTTGGCGCTGGAGGAGATGTGGATATCTACGGTCTGGACAGCTATGTGAGTAGTCAACATCGTCAATCCTTCGTGTGACGCGCTAACAATCTTAGCCACAATGCTGGTCCTGCGTTACAGAAGAATGCGGAAACAACATCCTACCATTTGCCGTGTCCAACTACCACGATCACTTCCAGCTTGTCTCCCCGAACCAGCCCTCCTTCATGCCCGAGTTTCAGGGAGGAGCTATGAGCCCCTGGCTGAGCCCAGCAGGAGGATGTGCCGAACGCACTGGAACCGAGTTTGTCAACTTCTACTACCGCGACAACATCGCCCAGCGCATCACAATTCTCAATTTATACATGATTTACGGTGGCACGAACTGGGGATGGCTGGCGGCTCCCTTCTTGGGTAGCAGCTACGACTACGGTGCTGCTATTTCCGAAGACCGCAACATTGGCAGCAAATACTACGAGATCAAGAACCTGGGTTTGTTCACTCGTGCTGCTGATGAGCTTGCCTATACGGACCGTGTTGGTACCGGCACTAACTACACCAACAACACGAACATCTTCACCACTGAGCTCAAAAACCCCAAGACTGGTGCTCGCTTCTATGTTCTTCGTCATGCTACTACGTCTTCTAACTCTCCCGAGACATTTGCCATCAACGTGACAACCAGCCTGGGAAGCTTTTACGTTCCGAGAATTGCACCCTGCCCCAAGCTCCTTGGTCACGAGGGCAAAATTTTCGTTGCCGACTTCCACTTCGGCGAGCATACGCTTTTCTACACAACAACAGAGATCTTGACCTACAGTGTCATTGAAGAAAAGACGACGCTGGTGTTATGGACTCCCATCGGTATCTCCGGGGAGTTTTATCTCAAGGGCGCCAAGAAGGGCACGCTAGCTTCCAGCAGCAAAAATCAGACGGCTGTCTTCGACAAGCGGGATAATGGTGTGGTGGTTGGATTTACCCAGCGTGAAGGTGCAACTGTGTTGGAGTTCGATAACGATGTCAGGGTTGTGCTTGTCGATCGTGATACAGCGTACAAAACTTGGGTTCCTGCTTTGACCAAGGATCCAAAGGTGCCTGTGGATAAGACTGGTGAGTTTACAATTCCTCGTTAGGGAATGACAGTTGCTAACAAAGGAAAGCCATTGTCGTCGGGCCACGCCTTGTTCGCTCAGCGAGCGTGCAAGGGAACACCATCTCTGTCAATGGAGACTGCAACATTACGACTGATATTGAGGTGTTCACATCTAGCCATGTCTCAACCATCAAGTGGAACGGCAAGCAACTTCGGACCACGAAAACCAACTATGGCACACTCAAGGCATCCCTCCAAGCTCCGGCAAAGTTCTCGGTCCCCAAGTTTGCATCATGGAAGTCTCAAGACAGCCTTCCTGAAACGGCCGTGGGCTACTCTGATGACGGCCCGGCTTGGGTTATCGCCAACCACACCACAACACCTAGCGCCACCAAGGGTACCGTACCTTACCTCTTTTCGGACGAGTATGGCTTCCACACAGGCATCAAGCTTTGGCGCGGTCATTTCTCTGGTGAGTCCGGAGCCACAGGTGTCTACCTCAACATTCAAGGAGGAACCGCACACAGCTGGTCTGCCTTCCTTAACGGCAAGTTTCTAGGCTCTAATACAGGTGACCCAACAGTGGCCGCCAGCAACGCCACCCTCTCCTTTGCCAACGCACCCATATTTACCAACCAAACCAACGTCCTTCTCGTAGCGCATGACGACACAGGCCACGATCAACTTTCCGCAGCCCTCAATCCACGCGGAATCCTCAACGCCACCCTTTTGAGCTCCAACTCCAGCACTACCCCCAAGTTCAACCTCTGGAAATTAGCCGGAACAGCAGGCGGCTCCGATTCCAGCCGCAGTACCCTCGACCCTCTCCGCACTCACTACAACGAAGGCGGTCTCTCCGCCGAACGTCTAGGCTGGCACCTCCCGAGCTTCGACGATTCCCATTGGTCCAGCCCATCAACCACCTCCCCGGCGCAAGGCTTCACCGGCGCCACCATCCGCTTCTACCGTACTTCTCTTCCTCTTGACGTCCCCAAGGGGGTAGATGCATCTTTCGCATTCAAATTCACGCCCGTTGACACTTCCAACCTGAACTATCGCGCATTCTTGTACGTCAACGGGTATCAGTACGGGCGGTATTACCCTTCTATTGCGTCTGAGAACGTGTTTCCTGTCCCCGCCGGCGTATTGAATCATGGTGGGGATAATGTCATTGGTCTCGCGGTATGGGCGCAGACGGAAAAGGGAGCAAAGGTAGATATTGAGTTGGTCACTAGGTACGCGATCGAATCGTCTTTTGAGAGCAGATTTGATGGAGAATATTTGCAGCCGGGGTGGACTAAGGAGAGGTTGGATTATGCCTGATTGAGGTATTGGCGGGTAATATCGAAAAGAGTGCAGTGCAGGCACAATTGAAGAGCATGTTGATAAGTTGATGCCTCCGTCACAAGCGCAAAAAAAAAAAGACCAAAATTCCGCCCCAAACGAGACTCGAACTCACACCTCGTCGAATTTCTCGCTATTCCCCATCTGGTTACTCCCCCTCTTTTTTCCAGCCCTTTGGTTGGTCAAAATCTTCTCAGTTCACAGCGCAACATGCAACATGCAACCACCTCGGCCAACATGCCATCAAAACTGTAGGCCTCATGCATCGTACCCACCACTCCTCAGGGCACTGTTCGCTCCTAGCACGCATCACATCACATCACTTCAACTACAACCAAAAAAAAAAGAATATCAAGATCAGAAAAAGTTACAGTCCGGAGGCGTACTCGCGGCTTATAACCATCTACCCTTTTCACCCTTTTTCCTTGAGCAGATCATCATCATCACCCCATAACGGACATAGTGGTAGGTATGCCGCAGGGTGGTGCGCTCACACTACAAAGGAGTTAGGGAGAAGGGGGGGGGAGAAAAGGTATAAACCGTAGTGCGTCCCGGGGGCTGTAACCGTTGAGAAGCTGATGGATTTTGGGTTTATTAACCATGGACCAAACAAGGAACTGACTGGACTAATGGTACGTGGTCAAAGGGTTAGGGTTGTACTACTCGCCTGCGTTGTTGGTCTGGGCTAGCTCGGCTAGGAGGTGTGATTTCTGTGGAGAGTTGTTGCTTGATTTTAGAAGCATTTTATGGATTATGTTGTCCTATGTAAGAAGTTGATTCTCTGCTGGATTGATTCGAAAAAAATTCAAAGAAGCTGATGATTGCTGGCGAATATTGGTCGTGGAGTGTCCATGCTGGCTTTGTTAAGGCTAGCAGCATTTGTTAACGTCATGCTTTGATTATATGGAAGAAGCACATCAGGAGAATAAATGTCCGAGGATGTACAAGACTGAACCTGATTTGACTATGGACATTTGCTCTACAGGTTTCACCAACAATATGTTGGCATGAAGCCTTGTTGAAACATCGAAAAGATACAACAATCTTGTATTTGGTATGTTTCCATAGCAAGTGACAAGATCCATCTCCACGTTCTTTCTCTCTCATCTTCGTCAAGTGATACACCGATCCCGAACACCTATCCATAACCGACATTGCTTACCATGGTATCAAGACATTTGTAAAAGCAAGATTGAAGCAAGCATACGGCCAACATGAAAAAGAGAAGACACTGGCCTCAAAGTCCCCAGAACAACAAACAATGAACTTGCAAAACAAATCTCAATGTTCCCAGGTAACTGTCTCATAACTCTCCAAGCTGAATGTGCCTGTTTATTCGAGTTGCGACCTGGAATAGTTCCCGACTTCAACATCAGCAGCCGACGCTGAAGCCTCCTAGAACCTCAGCATCGGTGAGTTTAACAGCCTCAATGCGACTAAACTCAAAGACGGTCCCAAGCCTCGAACACTCCTCAACACACTCGGGATCATCCCACCAGTTATCGTCACCAGTCACCATCTTGCCCCAAACTTCCTGCCAAAGCATTCTGCCCACGACGCTTCGGATCTCTTCCTGAATGCGCTGCTGACCCTCAGTGAACATATCTGTAGGATCCGGGGGTATAGCCAAGAACTTTATCTTGGTCCCTGGTTCCTCACGGACACGGAACTGCGCCTCTTCCAAAAACCCCGGGAAGATCGCACTTGGTCTGACACAGCGAGACTGCGACTGCAGGTTGGAAAGGATGTGCTTCTCGAACCACTTTCTTGTCCGAGGTCCGAGTCTCCTTGCCACTGGGAAGGGATCAAGCAGCACTAGCTGCAGAATGCCGTCGGGAGCGAGGCAGCGGTGGATTTGCTTGAGAACTTCGAGGATCTCATGGGCCGGTACCAGTGACGGCAGTGAGAGGCAGTAGACTGTGTTAAAGGAGTTTGCTGCGAAAGAGATGGACGCCTTGTTGGGTGGTGCAAACAGAGGATGTACGTTCGGGAATAGCTCATGGGGCAGCGGAGAGAGCGAGAGGTGGGTGATTGCGGCTTCTGAGAAAGTCACAGCTAGATAAGACGCAGTTGCTGCGACGGTTAGCAGAGAACATCGCGCGTTCAGTATCAATGGAGGCTTACCTTCAGACTCGAATAAGGCGAGGATCTTTTGTCCAGCGGCGCAGAGAACGCTCTGATCCGGTTGGCTCGCCGTGTCCACCACCGTCGCAGTAGATCCGCACATGTTGTAGAGTACTGAAAGCATCAAGCGCTTCCTGTCTTGCTCCTCCTGAAGATGTGACGAGGTGTCGGACGTTTCGCCGAATCCTTGCGTCAGGCGAGACAAAACTTTTTTTGGGCTGGATATGGCGATGAACTCTACGTCCTTCTGTATTCTAGCTACATTCTTGTTCTGTTGGTCGTGCTTGATAACTTCGAGTTTGTCGTGCTTCTCATTCGCCTTCGGAAACAACTCCGTGGTTGATTGACATTCCCAATCATGGGGTGGTTTCCAGACATCCGAGTTGGTTACTCTGAGCTTGGGCGACTTTAGGGGAAGACTTGGGGCCTTGGAAGCAGGATGAAAGCCCTGGGTTGAGGTCGGAGCGTGAGCTTTGGCTGATCTGATGACGTGGCTTGGGCCGGATTTGTCGTTGTTCTTCGCGCTTGGAGGACTCAGCAAGACGGTTCTACTGGGGCCCTGAAGAGCGGTGAACCAGTTGTCGACAAGAGACGAGAATGATGGAACTGCATCATCCGCAGCTGGTGCCGCAGGACGTACAATGGGGGGCGAAGGTCGCAGTTTTGAGCCCTTGGTTGTTGAAAAGGGCGAGGGATCGGCTGAGATGGTGGTTTCGATTACCTGATCATTCACGTCAGCGTCGCCTCGAGGCTCGTATGTGACAGTGGTTGTCCTCGTTATATACGAGTCTTCATCCAACCACTGGATCAGTGTTGTAGTTGGCGGGTCATCAGTAGAAGTATGGTTTTCAGCATCCTCCGGCGTTGAAGGAGCTGTGTGAATGACGAAAGTTGGCGGCTTGGATTGGGGCGTTTTCAAGCCCTCAAGTTCTTCTAGTGCGGTGATTTCTTGGCTTTGCTTTGGCGGTGCGGGCGCCGTCGGTTGATCTTCCATGGTATGCACTTTCGATAGCCCACCACTCTCGTCGGTGCGGTTGATATCAGGAATAACCAATTGGTCTGAGTTGCCAGAAATAATGTAGTTGTTCTCGGCAAAGATGGAGGACAGCCTCGAGGAGGGGGCGTAGTAGGAGCTTGGCCGCTGCTTGTCGTCAGATTTGTCGGACAGACGTGTTCCTAGGAAGGCCCTCTTAAGCTTCGATACAGCGCTACCCTTTGAGTGACTCGTGGCACCAGACTTGCCCGCTGTGGAGGAGGAACGTCGTGTAATGGCCGATCCAATCACACTCCTGCCATCCTGGCTTCCAAGTTCAAGTTCCTTCATCTTCTGCTCTTCTTCAGCAATGCGCGTCTCTTCAGCAAGACGCTGCTGTGTTTGCTCGTCCCAGGCGACTCCGAACATTCTGAAGCGCAAGGTGAGGCGAGGGTGACTTTACAGCTTCTAAGGTGGGAATAATCTCAAATGTGTTGCATGAATCGGTAAATGGTACCCGCCATCGACGTAGTATCTTGGAATTCCTGATGCTGTGCTCTTGTGTTCTGGCGCTGTCGTTCTTTGGGTTGTTGTATGGGACGGCGAGAGAAATACTCCCCGAGGAAACTCGACTAAATCTCAGGATCTGTCACTGAGGACTCGCGGTCGTAGGTTCGCGACTGGGCGGATGTAAGAGTGGGGTATGTGACTGAAGGAAACTGCGCAACCAAATCAGATGAGGTCGTTTGCGCAAACGCGCCCGAGAAGGTGTCGGGCTCGTGTATCACGGAAGGAAGAAGAAAGGGTGATCTTCTCGTGCGCTACCAAGTTCACACATGGGGGAAAAGCTGAGGACTTCAAAGGATCTGTAGTACATCACAAAAGGGTAATTGTTATGCCAATGCAGACTGAGAAGTTTCAGAAAGTGGTGGCATGAAGTATATGGGTGTTGGGAAGAGGATTTGAGAAGGTCACGATCCTCTCGAAACGCTGAACTGGTGCAAAGAATTAGGGCAAAATGATAAGATAACGGCCAAGGTGTTCTAGATGCGGTCGGGTGTCTTTCTGGCTCGGTCCCGTCAGATAGGAGGAAGCCGGTCTTCTTAACAATGTTTCCGGAGAAGATGGAAGGAACGATTCATCTGATCTTTTTAACCAAAAAAAAAAAAAAAAAAAAAAAAAACTCCGGCGGAAGGACGGAGAGTCTGGTGAATTTTGGTCCGGCCCCTCGAGACTAGTACATCTCGACTGTCCTGGAATGAGGCTTTCGAGCCGCTTACTGGGTAGCATCGCATGAATTCAAGGCTCCAAAGGCAGGTTCTGATTCTTTTGCTCAAGTGGTAGTTTGGTTGGAGATGTTGATCAGCAATGGCCCATCATCTTTGTCGCAGCAACTTGGGCTAAAGGGCAAGCAAGCATCGGTTAGCTGATTGTCTCGACACATCCACGAACTTTGAAATATAGTGTGCCGTTGCTCGGAATTAACACAAAAAGAGTGAGACCTGTCTTGTCCCCCCCCCCCCCCCCCCCCCCCCCCCCCCCCTCTCTTCGCCTTCCGTACGTTGTGTTTGAGACGACGGGGGGAGGTCCAACAACAGAAAATGACATCCACAATGTTGCATCAACCGGTGTGGTAAGATAGAAAAATCTTCACAAAAAGCGTCTTTTTCTCGCGCACCTGGTGCCTCAAGTCTTCCGCTTGTTGTTCTTGAACTGTTCAACTTCATGCTTCTTGCTTGGAGGAAGTTGGCGACTTGTGTGGGCAGGCGGATGTTATGTAAGCAGATACCTAACCCACCCATACCAGAGTGCCAAAAGTACCTCTACCGCAGTAGGTTGCAGTGAATGGCGTGCAGATTACCTCTACCGTACATGACGGCAACCCCACAGTAACGATACGTACTTGTACAAACCGAACAATTCTCAACGTCGAAACCTTGGCTGCTTCCACTTGGTCAACATCTCTTCTTCCTTCCGGGGGGATCTATAAAAGTCGCTGAGCTTGCCGAGCACCACTGTCCCCGGTAGTATTGTGCCCGCCAATTTCGACGAACCTCATTGCTTCTTCCCACCTCAGATTCTTGTCCATCAGAGAATTCGAATTCCGTCATTCAGATGTGCCCAAGTCGTTCGTTCGCCCCCTCGACGAAGAATCGAGCCAACTTTGATCCTCACATCTTATTGATTAATCATACTGGTCCAGAGTTTGGGTATCAAAATTTCGGTGACCCAGTACCAATGAACAACCCTTGCAACTGACACAGGAGATATATGCATGTCTTGTATCAACCTTTCCGCCGGTTCTCCGTTGAGATCCTCAACCTACACTCATCTTTTACCGATCCAAAAATTGGCCAGTGGAAGCCAGAATGCGCAGTGCTTCATGGTAGCGGCCGAAGTGACGCTATTCAAAGACAATTGAAGGCCACTTGCACCGATCGCGTCACGAACCCTTGGCGAATTTCTGTGACGTCGTGGCTCAGGGATACCACAGAGTGGCAGTTGATGATATTTTGGGAGATTCACATATGTCAAAGGTGCAGCTGAGCTTTGGTCTAGATGGTGGAGGAAAGCCAGCAAAATCCTCAGGACTTACAGCCCTTGGACAACGTTTTTGACCAAAAGCCTGAAGGCCCATGCCGGAAAGTATACATGTATGAGAGCTTTGAGCCTCAAGGTCAAAGTGAGGCTGTATGTCAGTCGTTTATAAGACATGCGGGTGAGGGTTCAGAGACATCGATATCCCAAGCGGCCGGATTGCGACCTCACACTACATAACTGACTTTCCGTCTCAGGGACAAGGGTAAGACGAGTCGATTTTGAGCTTGTGAAATCTTGATGCATAATATTCTTGACTCTCGTTAGGTCGAGGACATAACCCAAGGCATTACCTTCGATAAATCCATTTGATGGGGCGTATTGCGTAAGTCCTTACAAAAACCCTCGATCCAAAACTGAAAATTGTCTCAGGATCATAACAACAACTTCTCCCCTGACGGATCATGAAAGGTATAAAGATGTGTTAAGATGGTGGTACAGTCTATTTCACTGGACTGGCAGATACCCAACAAACATCGTTGTTCCAGAACCGGACTTTTGGACCTGAGAGAAAACAATGTGTGAGAGGCGCCTTCTGGTTGGCTGTGTTGATCGTGTTCATCTCACTTACAACTAGGCACCTATCTCTACGTAAGCAAATCGATTCTTCTCCCGACTGCTATCTTTCAACCAGCTTTTCCTCAGCATACATCATCTCACACTCATCCCCAGATCAACAAGCCACCGAACTTCCCAAAACCCCCTGGTTGTTGTCAAGTGACAACGACATTCACAAGTATGATATTTCTTTTCTTTCAAGTCCCCTATCTTGATGTGCGCAAGACGTCTTGGGCTCCAAAGATATCGGATACTCACTGCCCTGCTTTTCCGAAGTCGGAAAGGCAGAAGGGAAGTACGTACCCACACGGTACTGGGCAGCTGCTCCTTCCTCAGAAGGTTTACAATGCGCGTCTCCCAACCCGCCCGCAATTTTCAGAGCGTGTCAGGTTGCCAAGTCCACTCATTCTCCTCTTCGCTTTCCCTCAAAGCAACCTCCCTTTCTCTATCCACATCTTTTCTTTGGTGGCACAGTTCAAGACTGCCTCAAGTGTCACCGTCCCTCTCCTTCAACTTATTCATCTCCATACTTCTTTCCTCTACCAGCGCGACGCCGTGAGTATTGCAAAGCACTGCAATACTTCGTCAGAGTCCCTTCAGACAACCGCGACTAACCCTACCTGTCCAGTGGACCGCAGAGTCCAAAAAGCTCTCAGACAAATGGTGGGTACCACCGGAGTCCGCCTGTCGGACAACCCAGACGAAATCCCCGATACCCCTCGCCGCTCTATTTTCCGCCGCGGCTTCGCCTACGCCACCGAAGCGATCAATGGCGGGGTTGATTCTGTCAATCGCAAGGTTAGCGGCACCTACGTCGGTCGCTTTTTTCGCCTGCGTGGATCAGGCCATGTTCGTATCCCTCGACGTCTGTACTCCAGTTTCCTGGACATAAGCTGACTGATTGTCTGATCGCCTTTAGGCTGAGGAGATCAGAGATGCGAACTTCTGCACCGAAATCCGCGCTGGACTGATCACCTTTTCCGCTATGCTATACGTTTTAGCTGCTAATGTACGTGTCCTTTCCTCTAAGTTTAGGAAGAGCTGTTTGACTGACAACTCGAACATCATAGCCGGCTGTGATTGCCTCATCGGGATATGAATGTAGCTGCAGGGGAGAGGATAAGGGCAGGCCCAACTGTGGTCAGGATTACCAAGCATGCATCGAAGGTCAGTAGGAAGCCGGATTTGCTATGCTCTCGGGCTTGTGGTATTGACGGATACTCAGAACTTCGTCGCGACATGGTCGCAGTGACTGCCGCCGTTTCGGCCATGTCTTGCATCCTGTTTGGCTTGATGACCAATATGCCTGTGGCTGTGGCGTAAGTTGTGAACAACGTCTTATAACATGGTCCAAGATCGCTAACAATAGAACAGACCTGGCATGGGCCTCAACTCCTACTTCGCGTATCAGGTCATCGGCATCAGAGGAAGCGGCTTACTACCTTGGCGTTCTGCTCTCACAGCCGTGTTTCTCGAGGGCTGGATCTTCATCATCCTTTCCTTGACCGGCCTTCGTCACTGGCTCGTCAGAATCATTCCGAGCACTATGAAGGTCGCGGGCGTCTGTGGTATTGGTTTGTTTCTTGCCTTGACTGGCTTGGCAAACAATACTGGACTTGGTCTTATTACCAGTGGAGACGTTGTGCCCATCTCGCTTGCTGATTGCAGCAATCCCGACCAGCAGGGCCAATGTTCTGGTGTGAGCGCTATCGCGGACCCGAAGGTAATGCAGTCTGACCGCGCGAGTTTCTTCGGTTTTCTGACAAGCAATAGTTATGGCTCGGCATCCTTGGAGGGGGTATCTTACCAACGGTCCTGATGGGCTTCAATAACAAATACTCCATTGGCATAGGTGTACTCTTCGTCACTCTTATGTCTATCCCGTAAGTTCTTCCAGCTCCACCAAATCAAGATCAAGACTGACCATCGCACAATTAAGGCGCTCGACATCCGTGACCTTTTTCCCTTACAATTCTGTTGGTCAGAACAAATGGGATTACTTCTCCAGCATGGTCGGAGTGCGCAAGACGGGATTTGACATGTCTCAGCTGCGATTTGACTTCGGTCCGCATCAAGGCAACTTCGTCGTTGCTCTCCTAACCATGCTCTACGTTGACATGATTGACTGCACCGCAACGCTTCAGGGACTGGCGAGATACACCTACAGACTCCAGGGACCTGACCCCGACTTCCCCGGCTCCACCATTGCATATTGCACCAACGCTTTCTGTATCTCTATGGGAGCCCTTCTGGGATCATCTCCTGTTACGGTTTTTGTTGAAAGTGGCGCCGGAGCTCAGTCGGGTGGCCGTACTGGAATAGCGGCGATTGTGACTGGCTTATGCTTCCTGGCCGCGGTGTTCTTTGCGCCTTTCTTTTCCGGCATCCCGCCATGGGCGACTGGACCGGCCTTGATCCTGGTGAGAACACGTTCTTTCGGCTTGATATTTTATTCTAACTGACGGGCATGGGGTAGATCGGTTTCCTGATGGTGCGGCAAATTTACAGTATCAACTGGAATTATGCTGGAGATGCCATTCCCTCCTTTGTCACGATCGTGTTTATCCCTTTCAGTTACAGTGTCGCATATGGCCTCATTGCGTGAGTCCCCTGAGCCCCATGGACGCCCGTTAACAAAGCTGACACACTTTCGAAAGGGGTCTTTTCACGTACATTATCGTAAACGGCTTGATCTGGATTATCTCAACCCTTACCGGAGTCGAGCCCCATGATTACCATCTCAAGCAATACTGGACCATCAATCCGGTTGGTCGGAAGCCATGGATTTATCGAGCCTACAAGTATATCATGGCCAAGCTACAAAAGAACCGTGACCAGGCAACCGAAGAAGTTGCTGTGCAGGAGTTTGAGATGATGGAACGCCGCACTTCCCACCCCAGATCTGCGGTGGCTTCTGCGTCAACAATGGATGATAAGCACTCACGCGCAGCTGAGTGATTTGAGTTGAGCAGCAGGGAATTATGTCTTCTTACAGCTGACAATCACTCAAAGGCCGGAGAGAGATGAACTGGTCATTTTTTTTTCCAGAGATGACGGGGGAGTACTGCTTGGCTTTGAAAGCGTCTGGGGGATTTGGCATATGACGCATGAAATGGAGTTGGAGGATCATCTTGCTTTTTTTGCTCATATGGGGTACTTCTGTGATTAAAGAAAGATGTCAAGACGGCAACTGCCGCTCGCAAGGAAGGGAAGATTATGTAAACCACCAAAATTTGTACTGTACTTCAAGCAACGACATGGGCGCTCTGCGATCTCATGGAAATTGCCGGCTGCGAATCGTGGAGAGTTTCTTTTTCTTCTTCGCGGGAGCGGCGTCTGGGGATGGCGTAGCCGTGGCGTTTATGTTTTACATTCGGCTGTCGTCGAGAGGCATTTGTTGATGCCGAACAAAGAGCGCTCCTTCGTCCGAGCAAGCTCAACTGGACCAAAGACACAGGTCCAATGAATCGTATATGCAAATTGTCAAGCGCTTGCGACTTGATACCGTGTGATGATGATGTCGGGACTGAAGCCCCCCCTGTTGAACCGCCCACCACCAAAATCGCCAACAGTTGGTCACTAGGGGCTTCCACGGAAGAGGTTTGCCGCATAAAGTACAATCTTGTTCGCCTTCGGGTATCGTAGATTGAACGGGATAATCTCGCCAAGAGAGATTCGAGGAGCTCTTGAAATGATGCACGAGACCTGGAGACATGACCGAACCAACAAAACTAAGGGGAATTGGTCGAGTTGATAAATGCCGAAAGACGTACCCGACAGCCAAGACATGTTATGTATGTACGTAATCCCTCTGAAACCCTCTGGAGACCAGCCTAGGTTGCCCTCAGCTCGAGCTTGAGCTTCTTGACGGGGAGCTTCTTGACGGGGAGCTTCTTGACGGGGAGCTTCTTGACGGGGAGCTTCTTGACGGGGAGCTTCTTGACGGGGAGCTCCTTGTGACGGGAACGAGGTTCGAAGTTCAGTTGGATGAAAAGGTCCGAGAAGATGAAGAAGATAATGAGCGCCCAGCTGAGCGAGGTTGGATGGAGACTGGTGCGATGCAGGTGAAGAGAAGCCGGTGACGCTAGTAGAGTAGAGTAGAGTAAAAGTGGAAACCGGGGTAGAATCCACTCACGGCAAGGGTTTACGGTGGAATTGTGGAGCGACGGATTGACAGGGTGGGTCAGGAGGGGGGTAGGAAACGGAGAAAAACGGTAAAAAACGGGCGGTAATTCTGAGTGCACTGCAGTGAGTGGTTCAGACATCGACGATGCACTCAAATCTGTTCCTCTTTAATCCATGCGTCGATTTGCAGATGGCTGGATCTTCGTCCGGCTCAGCTGCGAAAGCTGCCTCCAGCCAACAACACTCGACTAGTAGCTATTGTGAGATGAAGGGCGCATAGAATCATCCCAGGGGAGAGGCTGGCACAAATCATGTTCACGGCCGACGAGGATTGAGATGGATGACAGCTGACCACTCCGCGCGCGAACGTGCTTTCACGAACGAGCTTTTACCATCGAACGAACAGACAAACGAACGCGGAACCGATCGATGACTTCCGTCCACCATGCGCGGACTCTTTTTCTGTTGTCACGGTCACGTTAATAGGTAAGGGTAATTGTCATGATATCTTCTGGGGAAGCTAATGATCGGACCACCCAGTGTACGCAGTATACCTTGTCGTGATACCACGATCTTCCCGGGAAGGGGGGATCCTATATCCCATGACCGTTAGCCCGGCGCACGGAATCATTTTCTAGGTATGCGAGTGCTATACCACGGTGCTATTCAACTCATTTGTACTAGAAGCCTCCGGCGTTTGGAAAGATGATCGCCGCCGCCCTCACACGCACAGACGGTTAACGGCAACTTAGACGTTGACATTGTTGGTGGACTTGGGCTCCCGGAACCATACTATCGGGGACCCCGGGCGCCCGGGCGAGGGTTCAATTGTGCTTCTAAGCCAAGACCGGGGCCGACTTGCGGACTTGGCAGGCGACTTTCTACTTGGCGCATCCAGTCGTTGCCTGTCAAGCTGGTTTCGAAATTCTCCACTCCCCTGGTGAAATGATGAGCGGCATCAATGGTATCGTTTTCTTTAAGATTCTTGTGCCCCGGGCTCTTGGCTTGATACGAGCAATTGCTGCTCTACTACTGAGGCTACTACTCTACTAACTCTAGGGCTTATTTCGACGACCAGGGGCACCCATTGCCATGGGTGTTTTGTTGACAGCGGAATTGAACACTGCACAACGGAATACCTCGTACACACTGCAGTGACTGGGATTTGGGACCGCCGACGTTGCATTCGGTCATTCCCTGGAGATGGGAAATAGTGCAGCTATTCCCAAGTGGGATCTTTCGTAACTTTATGTAACCGGCGATCCGTCTTTGAAACAGATTTGGGGATGACTTGAGACCCCTGCAACGCGGCCTGCTGGGAAGCCGGTTCGTCAAACGTCTGGGTCGGTTCGATACCCCGCGTCAACTACCTCGAAGATCACCCACACTTCATTTCTCATCTTTCTAGCCCTCTTGTTCTTCGCTGACCAAATTGATTCGCGGAAGAGGTTGGAGATCCGTTACTGAGATCTTCCTTGAATAAGGTCCAAGTCCGAGCGGGCTCACTGACAATGATCATGATTTTGTTCGTTGCCACATAGAAACTCGAGGAAGAAACCTCACGGGCCTTCTCATCATCATCATCATCATTCTTTTTCATGCAGAGTCGGCTGGGTTCACTCATTTTCAGAAGCATTCCGCAATTGGCATATGTTGGGGTCTGTGATATTCAGTCATCCTTAGACGACTCGATCCTTCTTGGCCTGGACGCAAGATTCAAACTTGAGAAAAACAAGCCTTCTCTTGCCACCCAAGGAAGGAAATTGAACATACCATTCTCAACGAGGGAAGGAGCAGCCGTTGATTCTGTGCACATGAAGTACACGGACGGTTGATCACTTCTCTTTTTACCGGCTTACCTTGCTCCTTCCTTGTCTAGCTCGACTAGCTTGTTCGACCTTGCGAGGTAGTCGTCAACAACCTTGCCCGAAATACCTGGTGTCTTACCCGGACCCCAGTCCTTCCAGGCCTTCAAAGTTCTCAGGGGACTGAGACTGCCTACCGAGACAACATCACCAAAGAAATTCTCGAGCTACCCTTGTTGATTCTCGATCTTCAACATAAAGCACTTTCCCCCCTCTCTGTCTCTCTCTCTCTATCCTGGTGGCCTTGATCTGGACGACGACCATATATATATACACATCCACGATCAACGCCACCTCGAAGAACCAACGGGTTTGGGACCCTTCGAAACATACCAATCTCTGGGAATTGCTACGGATCTGAGTTACGAGTGAAGGACAACAGAACGAGAGCTTCGCACGGGCGCACAATCCCAACCTCGGGGCTGGCGGGGAGAACCCTCCCCCTCCTTTCCGTCTGATATTTTTCTTGGGCCTTCTTTTACTTCCCCTCCATTTCCGCCTCATCCTGGATCAAAGGTTTCGAGCCCTGAATCTTTGTCTCCGAGTTCCCCCCGAAGGCAATACAGCCGGAAACCGTCCTTCTTTCCATTCTCCCTGAATGCTTCGTTGATCACCGGTATTCGTTTTACAACACGCGACCGCTCTTCTTGTTAACGCCGATATAAACAACCACTTCTTGACGACTTGCTCGGAATTTCCAGAAATCATCTGCGCCGTTGCGCACCATCCATCACCATGTCGAGCGACGACAACACCGACTGGGCTGCACAGTCCCCTGGTATCCACGACACCATCAACATGATTGAACGTATCTGCTCGATTCCCTCTGTGATCGGCTGTGTCTTCGTCATCACCACCTTCTGCCTCTCCGAGAGGTTTCAGAAACCGATCAACCGCTTGGCCTTCTTCGCTACCTTTGGTAACCTTGCCACCAACGTTGCAACGCTGATGGGACGAGATTATGTCTCGAACCCAACAGGAGCGGGCTGTCAGCTGCAGGGGTTTCTGGTCCAGATGTAAGTTAGCCGTGCCATTCAACTATTTGACAGCTGGCTAATAGAGTTCCTCCTCACAGGTTCATGCCGGCGGACGCGTTCTGGGTATTGGCGATGGCCATCAACGTCTACTTGATCTTTGAGCGCCAGTACGACGCCCAGAAGCTGAGGGCAATGGAGAAGTGGTACTTCCTAGGCTGCTACGGCCTGACATTCGTCGTCGCTTTGGCGTTCTGCTTCATTGAATCACCTAAAAAGGGCAAGATGTACGGGAATGCGACACTGTGGTGCTGGGTCAGTCCAAAGTGGGATATCTTCCGTATTGCAACCTTCTATGGACCTGTCTGGTAAGTCACAGCACACTCTCTGAGTGACGACACGCACTCTAACCTTCGGCCATGCAGGGTTTCCATTGGTTTCACCTTCTTCATCTACATCCGAGCCGGGCGAGACATCTACAGAAACCACAAACAGATCAAGAAGTTCAACATCACCAGCTCTCTCGCGGGCGGCCCTGTTGACGATACTCTGGTCTCTCGCAAGGTTACCGAGGTCTATATCACTCACGAGATAGCCACTGGGAACGCCATCGGACTCGTGGACCTGGAAAGGAACAACGGCACTCAGGAACACTCCGATAACTCGGCAGCTCAAAGGGCAAACCCCAACGCCTACTCGGTTACTATTTCGGCAGATAATCAGAAGGTACCAGAAACCACCAACGGCGACAACTTGGCACGCATTACCACCACCACTGTGACTGGAGGCGTGTCTGGATCAGCAAATAATACGCGAACAAAGAATAAACATAACAGCGCAATGTGGCATTATTCCAAGTGTTCCCTCTTCTTCTTCACTGCATTGTTGGTCACATGGATCCCCTCGAGTTGCAATCGCGTCTACTCGGTGGTTCACCATAACCAAACAGTGAAGGTCCTGGAGTATATGGGTGCTGGTGTCTTGCCGTTGCAAGGGTTCTGGAATGCCCTTATCTATGCAGTCACTTCTTGGAAGGCATGTCAAGGATTCTTTGGCGAGGATGTGAAGGGGTGGTTCTCAAAGGACACGGATTCCGGAGACAGTCAGCGCCGAGAAGGTGGTCACCACCGCAGCTCCTCAAAGGCAATCAATGGGCAAGCTGCCAGTGTCAAGGCTAATCCGTTCCATAAGATGGGTGGTCGGACGGCCCATCCGTGCCCAGAGACGGAGAGCACGGAAGAGTTGGCGGCATGTGGGAGTCGCAGGACCTCATACGGGGGTGGTACCGACAGTATTCCTTCCAAAGACATGAAATAATAATGGGCGGATCATTGAGAATCACGTTTTTTTTTCTTTGCTTTTTTCTTTGTATCTTCCATCCTCGTGGGTATTTATTCACCAAAGGCAAACGATCATGTGCTTTATGGTTTACGGTCTATAATGACAGAGATAATGGCGGTTATTAGTCTTCTTTGTATATAAATGTTCACGATTCATTTTTGTCAGGAACGTTTCTTCTTCTTCGTCGTGTCAGTGTCCTCCTTTGTGTTTTTGCCTTGATACTCAGTTTCACACAGAATGAAGCTTGATGTTTCTCGGGATACCTTTCTACGTATGGGCGTGTCTGATGTCTGGTTATTCTAGATTAGAAGTACATGCAATGCTATTCCGCATATCAGGGGACTGGTTTGCGGTACCGTAACTGGCTGGTTACACAAAAAAAGGGGAACTAACTCCCGTTTTTATTATGTGCGACCCTTGCTTCGCCCGCCTTTTTTTCACCGTTGCAGTTTGCATTTATGTGCAATCTGTTCAACGTAACGTCATCGTGTTACGTTCTACAATCCAGCCCTGGTAAGTTTGTTGGCGTGTTACTTGACAGGGAATTTATACCTCTTTTTAACATGGGCCTTCAACCAGTCAACTCACATCAACCAAATTATTAATCTTAAGGGTTGTACTCAAAAAGGATAGTTTAGGGAAAGTAAAAAGCCTTTACATCCTTAATCAAGGGTAGAAGTGGGTAAAACTGGGTAGAATGGACGTAGAATCCACTAGATTTAACCTCTTTAGCAATAGCTTTGGGGGATCGAAGGTGGATTTAGGCTTAGAGTAGAGTAGAAAAAAGGCCTTTATGCGTAAGAAAGTCGCTGATTCTACTCTCAGTTCACTTTTCCCCCACTCTCTGACCTTTTTAGCCAATAAGTACCCCTGAGCCCCCCTGGTTAGACTAAGAGGGTGAAGAACCAAACTAACAAACTTTCCAGCATTGGATTGTACGTATGTGCTGGTGCTACAAGGGGTTTGGTCTGGTTTGTTCTGTCTGTGTAGAAGTACACGGGAGGGAAAAGATTGAGTAAGTAACGTGTGTTCTTTACGTAGAGTAGAGGTAGTGATATTTGCCACCCAGCGTTCACTGTCTAGCCTAATGGTGCCGAAGCGTCTCTCAGCTCCTTGATACTTTACTCTCCTGCCGGCCTGCTAGTCCAGTAGGTAGGTATCAAGGTGCTGTCTTCTCTGTGTAAGTGCCAGTACCAACCAGTGTAAGGAAGTGCAAGTGTAAGTGTAAGTGTCCGTCTGTATGCCATGCCGTTTTCCGAATGACACCCGCTTCAATAGGTAGGTAGTAGCGTACCCTGACAGACTGAATGATGGATGTGGCGGGACGGGGGACGGGGATACATGTCTGACAGGTGGAGGGTTGACAGGCGGTTAGGTGAGATTAGGTAGGTAGGTACTGTAGGTTACAAGTCCCGTTAAAAACTTGAGGATAGGTAGGTAGGTAGGTAGGTAGGTAGGTAGGTAGGTAAAGTGTTAGGGTGCCGTTACACGAGGGGATGTCGTACAGATTCCCCTCAGTGACATACATGGTGACATGGTGACTAGTACTAGGTAGTGACTGGTGTACACTAGAAGGTAGGCGAAAGGGAAGTGGGTAGGTAGGAAAAAATCTTTGAGCTATTGCTCCTTCCCTTTATGGGAGAGATTTTCCATTTCGTTCTAGGTGTATGTATGTACTAAGATTCATAACTACCTAGCTGGTGGGCCTGCTGGCCTCCTGGGCTTGAACGCCCCTGGGATGATACCTACTTACTTAGGTGTGCTGGGTAGGGCCGGCCGAGATGTGAAAGTCTGGAATAACTGAACAGGAGCGCACATTTCCGAGATATCATTTACACTACTACTACAGTATTACATACGTCGTGACTGCTGCTGCTACGATGCTGGGATAATGCGAGGGAAGATCCAGATGGTTGGGTCAGGGGCACTGAAACTGCAACATCTTGTCTCTTCCACTCAAAAGCTTACATACCTACCTAGGTAGGGTAGTAATGTTGACACTGTTACACCAGATGTACTGCTTCTACACCTGACAGTTTTTGGTCGGTCGAGAAAAAAAGAAGCATTTGGACATGCTGCACAACGGGATTAGCTGCATATGAATATCAGTCCAATGAGAATTCTCTCTCTCTCTCTCATCTTCCTAGATAGCTAGTGTACATCCAACCGGATAAATCGACTGTGTTCAATGGATAAATCGACTGTGTAGCTTCTCGCGAGCCACCCTAAGTTAGTGTTAGGGTTAGTGGCTAGGGTTAGGTGTTAGGGTTAGTTCCGGGGGTGCAGGGGGCCGGCGAGAGGCCCCCGCGTATGAATGAGAGTTCAGCGTTTTTAAAAAGGTGGTTTTAAACTCTAGTTGTCGTAGTTTAAGATAATGTCTTTAGGTGAATATTTGGTGATAATTGCTACTACGCCAAGAGCTGCTAAGATTCCGGTCTTGGCTGTCAGTTTGTATGGGCTCCACACAGCGGATTCATCTGGGCACACAGTCGATTTATCTGGCTCGGTGTACATACCTCTAGCTAGCTCCTTTGGTACATGTATTTCTTTTACGAAGTGAGTATACTACATACGGTAGACAAGGGTGTGCCGATATATCCACGGGCCGATCTGAACGCGTAAGCGAGGAGCACTTCCCCCCTGGACTAATATGTAGCTTGGTAGGTTAGCTACATATAAAATGGGATTTAGGGAACCTGAGTGGGGGATGGGATGGTGGTGCCGGAGAAATGTCATGCATTTGCGGTTCTCCAGACGACCAAGACGACGAACGGACGGGTAAGTATTTTAGCGAGAAGGAAGGGGAAGGGGTTGGGACTGACTGACGCCGGCGCGGATGATGCCCCCCCTGAAGAAAGTGTTGTGCATGTGCACAATTGGTGGTTGATCGTTTATTGCTTTTTCTTAGCCGCGCTTCCGACAGTTTAATGGGGTTTATGATATCTCATATTCATCTACCTTCTTGTGTCTTATTGTATCTAGCTACCTAGATATTGAACTCGGGGATATATCGGGATTGAAGACTGTAAAAGAAGCAAGCAGCCTAAACTCGTTTCGGTTGTCTTGTTCAATTTTCACCTGAAGGAGCTGAAGCACAAATAGGAATCAGTACCATAGGTTTATGATGAATTACCTTGAATTTAGGGGAATTTTCGAGCTGATGCAGATCCGGCAGTTAGTGTTCTTGCGTAGCGGTAAGGCAGTAAAAGCTAGGTAAGCTTCGATCAGGGGAACCTGGTCCTTGGATCTGTGTTCTATCTTTACCAGACAGATCCTGACCCGACTTGGTATAATAGCACGAGGGGCCCAGGCTGCCGAACATCCAGACCCCCAAGCGGAAATACCTAGGTACTTAGGTAGCTTTCCCTTGGTTATTTCCGAGAGAGAGAGAGTGTGTGTTGTTCGAGTTTCGGCCGCTGCTCGAGAAGGTTCAAGGGGGTCCCATCTGGTGAGTTGTAGTGTAGGTAGGAGGTACCTAGCAGTTAGTGTCAACCGTCGGACATTATCCCCGAGAACCTAAAACTCCGCTTATAAACCAAACTTTGTCACCGGACCTCCTCCACTAATATTCCTTTCCCATAGAACCTATATTGTTTATCCCCGTGGTTGGTCGGTGTAAGCAAATGTCAAGCAATACAGACATACTTACCAGGAACCCCCCAATAACTCTGGTACATCACCTGCCGTGATGGTATGATTCCCACCTTTTTTGATGTTTTCCACTTTTCCCCAGAAACTCCGCAAAAAGAAACGCGCAAAGTGGAAAACATTGAAGATCCGGGGGGCTCGCACATACATAAACTGCCCTGGAAATGGAGTCATACACGAGTCATGAGATCCCGCAATCCCTAAAAACAAACCCCAAATTCTAGGTTATCCCGCCGTCAACGGTTGTAAATTTGACATTTCCACATTTATTTTTTTTAGCGCGCCTCGCAAGATGATACCCGACTTGTTGAGGTTACCTGATGTTGACGTGGCCTGTCAGTAAACGAAGCACTTGGCATTTCACCTAGTCTAGACTACCCACAGCACTAAGTCTAGGAAATGCTACCAAGACTGGTGAGTTTTCCGAGTGGGGGGTTGTTCGCAAAACCTAAAGGCAGGAGTTGCAAGGGAAAAATGAGAACCACCGATTGGCTTCAACTTGTTGGAAACGCCAAATTGTCGAGAATGTCCCCCCGAATTTGCACCAGGAAAGGGGATTGCAGAAGGTTGCCGGGAGTAACCTTGATTAACTTTAGTCACGCTATGCTCTTTTTGGTGTTAGTGTTTGGAGGGGTGAAAATGACGGGCGGTTGGTGGGGTGGCAGGCGGGATAGAGTGCCGGAGGGTCGGGGACCTGGTCGGGGGGGGATGGTTAAGCGAAACGGAGGGTGACCGTTTTCCTGGTTGGGGTTCCGTTTGGATAGGAATCTGGTTCGGATTCATTGCAGTGTTGTTAGAGTCTTGGAATGCTTATTTTGTGTGTGCCTGGAAATTGGGCCAGGGATTCGAAAAAGACTGCATATGGGTGAGGGTTTGGTCTGTTGTCATATCTGGAATGCTTGAGATGAACTGGGTTGGTTGACAACCACCATTGTTTCCGTTGTTTGTTTCTCTGTTTGAAGGCATCGTCAACCACATTATGCATAGTTACTCTTTGTTCTAGCTGCTGATGAGCGGTGATGATTGGCAAGAGTGGGCTTGCTTCGAGAAGAACTCAGAATACTCTCCAGGAAAAAAAAAAAACAAGAAAGAAAGAGGCACCGGGGTGTTGTTATCTCGGAATGGTGTTGTTAGCGCACGCTTTCCGAACTCTCCTGGCTCAACTCTTCAACTCCCAGTCTTCCAAGCTCCCAAGAAGCCAAGATCTCTTTCCGGCCAAACTCTTCTGACTCACTGACTAGACACAGGTGAAAGTGGAGAGAGTTACCTGGGACCAGACTTGAGTTGACTTTCGTTGTTTCACTTTAGATCTCCCAGATCTCCCCGGCGCCGTTGGTTCGAGAATGAGTCCCTTGCTTCCGTGGTTGCAGTACCCGTGCGTGCGCCTGTGAAAGAACCGAAAGAAACTTGCGCAGCTTCTGTCGGTTTCTTCCCCCATTGTTGTTCCAGGATCTGAAACTTATTTGGGTCTAGGTCCCGACACAATGGAAAGGCCGTCTATTCGCTTGTCACGGATGGCAATGCTGAGAACAATGAACCAGCCTTCCAGAGAAACATGAAATGGCTATAAAGGGGTTCTCTCAAAGACATAACAGTATCAGATCTGACCCATCCCTTACAGCTCAACATTGACACGGATATCAAGTTTCCATGGCACTCTGCAGATTGCTGGAAGGTAGTAAACTGTTCGGGTTCAAGTCATATGATTCGAGGACGTTTTATTCGCCTGAAGGTACAGGTTCCTTTGGTTGTTACTTGCCCGGTCCAAGCATGACGGTGTGATAGTACCATGGCTTGATGTCACAAGAAGATTCGACCAGCATGCAAGAACGAGAGGGAAATGCGCTTACCTAGAGCATATATACACCACCATCAGTGTCACTCCCGACCAGGTCGGTGTTCCGACACCCTCTAGTACCAGTCTCGATCCTTGGTAGAGACACCAGTTATAGCTAAGCTCGTCAGCAAGTATCGCATTATGGGAGGCAGGAAGCATCACAGTTGGCGACGAGGCAAGGAAATCCAAGATTCCGGTGCCTCAAGACGCAGAACACCCCTTGACTCCGATACAGATATGTTCGGCAGTCCATCACTGTGGTGCAAGAAGAAAAAAACCCATCATCACCACAGGGAAGCGAAAGGCCGCCGATCCGAAAAGGGCGTAGGCCTAGACGAGCAGCCGCGGCAGAAGCACCGCATCTTGCACTCTCCCTTTGCCCGTCTCTTCGGGAGGACTTCTGGTCACCGTCATCGCAAGAAAACCACACCGACGCGCGAACCCAGAATCGGGCATCGGCGTGGGCTCGGGTGCAGCACGCCTCCTTCTCCTCCACCACCACCACCACCACCTCCGCCATTCAAACTTTCCTCGCCATATACTACTCCCAAGATGTATCGCCGTGGCCGATCGGTCATGCAGTTAACGCCATCTACACGATCATTCTGTAGAACACCATACCAGACACCGACATCTCGCATCCAAGAATCTTCTAATTTTAGCGCTTCAAATACCCCAAGTGTTGTTGCTTCCTCGGGAACTCCCTGCCCATCATCATCATCATCATCATCCATGCCCCTCAATAATGCCACTTGCGAATCCTGTTTTAAAACGCACCACCTCAACGCCACTCTCCGCCAAGCCCTCCTTGCCTACACGCGAGACATGTACACGATCCTACAAAGATGGTCTGACGACGTCGGTTGTGGAGAGGGCACGCAAGGGTTTGTCACGGATCCGATGGAGTGGCAGCCTGAAAAGGCGGCGGTCGTGATAGAAAAAGAGCGCAGACCGAGCGAGATGTGTAGGATGTTGATGAAAATGGGGAGCGTAGAGGACTGGGTTGGGGTTATGAGGGGGTTAGAGGAGAAGGAAGGAGGAGGCTTGGGGGCCCAAAGGATGGAAAGGGTGAAGGATGGGGGTGGAGAAGAGGGTAGTAGTGGACCATGGGCGGCGATTGGGAATGAGACCAGAGGCGAGAGTGGCAGTGGGAGGTGGTCGGGATACCGGAGGATGGCTGTGGATCAGGGAGGCGGACAGGGTTGACAACGAGGTATGTACTTGGCTTGTGGAAGGTCATTCCTTGTATGGGTACGACCATGAAGGAGCCGTAACGGGCCGGTCCGTGAAAGGAACGGGGCCGTCGCCGGAAAAGCGGGGGCCTCTTTGATGGGCCGGGGGTTCCATAGCGGGACCGGAGCGACGGCGGTCGAAATACGTAGGGTAGGTAGAGGGAGGCCCCGGCTTTGCGACCGGGATAAAGACGCTGTCAGGAATGTTGTGTTACGGTAGTAGAGCGAAGTCGGTGGAAGCTGTCAGGAAGGCATGTATAGGGATAAAGTAGGAAACCCAGAAGGAAATGTCATTTCCAGAACAAATGGAAGCGCGCATGATCAACAAGGCATTTATTGATTGCATGCTGACAGCATCTTGGCGTTTTGGGCTCGTTGCGCTGACGCATGCAGTGATTGATGCAATCCAAAGGTTGACAGGTTCAAGGCACGGTACTTTGAAAGTGTAGGTTACGCCCAAGCCATCACGTGAGGTGTGTCGTGCTGTCATGAAGAGATTGCGAAAGTGTGGTTGGTGTTGTTGTTGTACGGCGTCGTCAGTCCATTCCCAGTCTTGTCACCGAAAACTGTCGCGGTGGCTGGAATTGTTCTCTTTCTCCCCTCTTTTTTGAGGCTCATCCAAGCATCGCGACATGTGATTGGTCAATAGCCCTTGTCGTTGCGAAGAAGGCAACATCGGCGGGCAGCCGAGAGAGGTGGTTGCCTTGCGTGTCCCTTTTGTACCTGCCCTGCCCTGAGGTACCTTAAGTGGTCATGTCATCGAACGGCAGCGGATGCGTCCCTGGCTGCCCGGCCTGGGAGTGACGGGAGTGTTTGGTTGGGCCTCACAGGGCCTCATTCTCGGCGTTTCGGGGCCTCTCTTCACTGCCAGGGCCTCTGGAATTGCGGCTCTGCGGCCATAGGGCAGGTCCAGGGCAGTTGGTGGGAGTCCTCAATTTCCCGGCATCTCCATCTCACCACTCACTTTATGCCCACTTTCAACATACCTTACATCCGACGACGACGACGACGACGAGCACGACGTCCATCACCAGATCCAGCGCCTGCACCTGGCAACGGCAGCGTGCTTTCAATCAATCATTTCTCATCAATTTCGTCGTGACCGACGTCCAAATCTGGTATACCGTGACCCCACTTGCTGTCAATCTGCGACAGAAGACTGTCACCGAATAATAGGTGGGCTGACGGCCTTCACAACGGAATCCCCTTCTTTCCGAAGTCGGGGCCTTGATACGATCCCGTCGCTATTTGTTTGCTACTATCGAAAAAGAGGAGAAAGCAGGGCCTGGCGAAAGGGGCATCGCATCCTCCCTCCTCATCATATACTCCGACCCCCAACCCCAAAGGAAGCGAGGGCAACCAACCGGCCACACTCCCTTGAACATCAATCCAGCCCACCATCATCATCACTGTCCGAATATGCTTTGTTAGGCAACAGCAAGGCGTCAAACCGAGTGAAGCGCGATCCATCTCTGTCCTGGTCAATAAACAGGCATCATCCCAACCAAAGGCATCCTTTCTACCGTTAGTACCACGCCGTGCTTTTCCGTGTCTGTCTCGTGCTTCACTTTTCTTCCTTCTCTTCGGTGCTTTTACATCTTAGACATGGCGATAATAGCACGACGTTCTTGTTGGTTGTCGTCATGTCTAGCTGTAGCCATGTGCAAATGTTCCATCCGTGGTCGTTGTGTAGCAGAGGATCGTGGAGATGGCTAACCCACTCTCAGTCGAGGAGACTGACCAGTGTTGCCCATCATGTCACAATATCAGTATGGCCAACACGGCCAGTATGAGGTATGGTGATCCACGCAACTTTCTCTTGCTCATCGATGGGAATTTCCTGCCATAGTCAACCCATCACTAACCCAATGCTAGCCCTACTACAACGGCCAGTCCGGCCAGGGTACACAATCTCCTGGATTACTCGACTCTCCGTCCATTCACATGCCCGGCACCGTGACTACCATGGCGCCTGGTTGCCACGGATATGGAGGCACCATCTCCACCACTGCTGCGACCACCGGTCAAGCTCCCCGTGCGGGCTTTGCCGTAGACCAACAATTCCAGGAAGCTCATGATGCGTCCACCCAAGGGAACGAACGCTTTACTATCTTGAACCACTTCTTGCACGACCGCAATGTTGCCTGGACCCCCATGAAAGTTGTTGGGTCGCTGGGCGACAGTCAGATATCCAACCTCCCGATAAACTCTGGATACTCCGAATATCCCAGATATCGTGATAACCATGCGCCATCCGAGTGTGATACTGCCGTTGACCGTGCTGGAGTTTTCTCCGACTCGGGATATGGGAGTATAGCCAGGCAGAGTGTGGGAAACCCTTCCGTATACGGGGACGTGGACCGTGGCGGTGATACCCAAATCATGCTCCAGATGTCCCAGTTTCAACTTCAGCAGGATTCAAACCCCCAAGCTACAGTTATTCCCAAGGACACTCTTATGCAAGACTTGGGAAGCGATGACTGGGGCCATCGAAACACTACCACTTGTCTCGAGCGCAAAAGTTTGTTTTGCGAGTACTGTCGGGAATATGTCAAGACCAAGTCGGAGCTAAAGTAAGTATCGATTCTGCTCTTTCTTGAATACTAGCTGATTTTCTGGCAGTAAACATAAACAGAAACATACAAAGCCACATCACTGCCTGGAACCTGGCTGCAAACGTGACATAGGCTTCAGCACCAAGAACGACCTGCAGAGACATTTGGCATCCGTTCACAAAAAGTATAACGTCGTATATCACTGTTGTCATGGCACTTGCCCGACCAAGACCAAGGACGAGAAGGATTGGCCTCGGGCAGATAATTTTAGGCAACATTTGAGAAGGGTTCATCAGATTTATCTCAAGGCTGAGGACGACCTGAAGAGATATGAAGTTCAGTGCGTAACCAACCTTGACCCTGCCTCGTTAGCCAATGCTCATTTGTCCGCAGCCTTTCGCAAGAGCAGGTACTTGCCGGTCCGAGTTCCGTCGCCGTTTTCGCGTCGCAGCAGATGCAGATGATGTCTCAGCAAAACGGCGCTTCCCGGCCTGACCAGGCGCAAATACAATATCTGAGTCATATGGCACCTTTCACTGAAACCAGCCTTCAGGCTCCAGCGGATTCCTCGATCATCCTTCAGAGTCGAACGGTCTCGGTGAGCGAGACTGTGGATTTTCCCGCTGTGGAAAATGGCGATTGGTACACATGGCCTGATGCAGGCACCGCAGAGGTCAGCTCCCACGTCCTTCACTTGGTTTCCAGCCGCCGCGGCTCGCTGCGCGCACTCGAGAGGACTAGATCCATCTCGATCGATGAACCCTCGAGTGGTCAGCAGCCTGGTTTCGAATCGGAAGTCTTGGTAGACGGACGTGCGGAGATGCCTGCGACGGCTGCTAACAGTGATATCAGTCCCTCGATTACCACGGTTGGTATGAATCTGGATATCCGTCCTATGTCGACTGGTAGTGGTCACATACGGTCCCATGTCAACGAACTGGACGGCAACACTCACCAGCATCTCGACAGTGCCGAAGTGGACAGTCCTGTGAATAATCATCATGATGGTGAGCCAGTTGAAGACGAGGAGGTGGATGATGTTGTGCCTGACTTGGGTCAAGACACATCCGCGGATGACTCTGATGAACCTGAGACGGCGTTGGTCAGGTATTCGTTGGACTATTCGATTGAGAACTCATCCAAGCCCAACCTCTCACCACAGTTAGCTCTCTCTTTTCCCCTAACAGGAGTGAACATTGATGACGATGAGGGTGCTCTCACTTTTCTTCGAGTCTTGCAAGCAAAGGGTAACCTCGACCAACTGATGGCCGAGCTCGGGTATCAAAAGAAGGAAGAGAAATCCGAGCAACCAGAACCAACTGAGAAGAAGGCAGAGCCTGCACCCACCTCTGCTCCCAGGACCGGAAACAGCAAAAATCCCTGCTCCATGTGCGACAAGAGCTTCAATCGCAGGTGCGAACTCAAGAAGCACCAAAAGCGCCACGACAAGCCCTACGCCTGTACCTTTCACAACTGCTCCAAAAACTTTGGCAGCAAAAACGACTGGAAGCGGCACGAAAACAGCCAACATCTTCAACTCGAGATCTGGCGCTGCGACGAGAAGCAACAGCAGCAACAGCAACAACAGGGCGTCGTTGACGACCGCAACCGGGTCTGCGGCTGGGTCGCCCACCGTCGCGAGTCTTTCCGCACACACCTGTCCAAGGAACATAGCATGGACGACACGACCATGGAGAAAAAGGTAACCGAGTGCCACATTGGCCGCAACTGCGAGTCGCGCTTCTGGTGCGGGTTTTGCCGCAAGACGATCGAGTTCCAGAAGGATAAGAAGCTGGCGTGGTCGGCGAGGTTTGATCATATCGAGGATCATTTCATTGGAAGGAATGGGGTAAGACAGCAAAATATTAAAGATTGGGAGTTTATTGAGTCCCCTGTGGCTGGTGGTGGTGGTGGAAAGAACGGAACTAGGACTGGAACTGGAAAAGGGGCAGCGGAGATGGCAGGGAGGGAAGTGGTTGATTTGACTGTTGAGCAGGCAGGGGACGATGATCTAGAACCTGAGAGAAGCTCTTCGAGTTCCTCTTTGTATGTCACGGGGCAGCGACGGGTGCAGCAACAAACTCTTAAGCGCCGCTTGGACGCAGAAGACGGGACCGTAACGTCTTCTGCTGCGCCGAGAGCAAAGAGGCACAAGTCGGGTAATAGGCAGAGGGAGTATCTCTGGTCTTGTGTAAGTCTTCCCTTCCCCAATCTCGCCCCCGTGTTGTTGGTGTGTCGTACTAACCACACACACACATTCTTGACGATTAGTGCCAGTGTACCGGAGCAATGTTCAATGTCGAGACGACGCCCGCGTGTCTGGATTGTAACCATGCTCAATGCGAGCACTGCGTTGTTGAGCACCATAGGGGCCCTCGGGAGAGACGTTAGAGGATTCGTCGCCATGTGACGGCAATGAAGCTTTTCTTTTTCGGTCACTTCTTGTTTCTCATCTCATAATCTGCGGATGGCAATACTCGTTCTATGTTTTAGCAATTTAGAGCGACTTTTGGATAGATGAGGGGAAGATCTGTGTTAGGTTGGCTTGCTTACTTTACAAACTCTCAAAGGGTGTATGTGTGTGTATTCGTGGGAGGGGCAAAGGAACGAGTGGTAGGGCTGACCTGCAACACCCCACGGGTCTGTACTATGTATGTGGCAAGCATGATATGTATGTACGTCGACCACTATAGATTATCGATGGGTTGATCCTATGGAAATTTCAACAACCCACTTATTTTTCGTCTTTAGTTTCTTTCTTTCTCCTTTTTTTTTTTTTTTTTTTTTTTTTTTTTTTTTTTTTTTTTTTTTTTTCCTTTTCCAATTCTCGCCCGGTTCAACAAACCTCGCCGGACAGACATCACCGAGTGACATCGACACACGATATGACATGGCATAACAGGCACGCCCCCCCCCCCCTCCTTTTTTTTTTTTTTTTTTTTCGGTACAACAGTACCTATACTATAGATTCTAGATAGATGGCAACTTAAACCAACAAGTGAGAGGAATCTAAAGTTTAGGTAGGTTGTACAACGTCGCTCAAAGCAAGGTTCTGACAGGACAGGCTTATAGATAGGCTCATAGCCAGGCTCACAGGCTCATCGTAACTTGTGTGTGTGTACTAACTACCCTGCGGTACCGTACCTCTTAGGTAGGTGTAGACTCGCACCGGGCAGCCGTGAGTATAGTCGGTACTTAGCTCTAGGTACTTATGAATAATTATGTCCCGATACGGCAAAGGGATCTACCGACCTCTAGTCAAGCCGAGCCGAGCCGGTCGCCGAGCGGAGCAGCCAGAGGAGTGTAGGAGGAGGAGGGGCAGAGGAGTGCACAGAACTGAAGCAGTGTCACAGAAGCAGTGTCACAGCAGATGCAAGGTTCGCGGCGGGAGAAGGGATTAACTTTGTTGGATGCGGTCATTTATAGTTTGCCAAGGTCTGATTAGGGAAGGTAGGTGTGTTTTGCAAGGTGTCATGTGAGGTACCTTCACTAGAATCATGATGAATAACGAGACTTGAACTGAAGTATTGGAGGAGTCCTTTATGAGGGAGTGAGTGAGTGGGCGCTGAAACTGAGAGAGGACGGATAGATGCGGGAGTAAGTGGCGGAGTGGCGGAGTGGTGTAGGATAATCCGTCAGTACCTGTACAAAACTCGGACCGGGTTCTTGGGGGAGTACCTACCGTGACACTAGTTCAAGACTTGGGGTGGTCGGCCTTGAGGAGAGAAGGACAGAAGGAAGGAAGGAAGGACGGATGGAAACTTGGCCGTTTACAAGGAGTAAATCCAAGTGCCTGCTTTGTTGTGAGGTTGCCGGCCGTTCGTTTCTTTTTATTTTCGGCCACGACGGGAGATAGGAAAAAATACTTCTACTTAAAAGAGGAATTCGAAGAAGAAGAAAAGGGGGAAAGGCGCAAAGAAGTAGTTCGGTACTACAGTAATGGTCAAAAAATACTATCCCCTTCCCCCCATCATCCAATGTGGTAGAGGAGGACAGTATTTTTCTTTTCTTTTCTTTTTTTTTACTATGAGTTTACCTTCGAAGATCACATGGTTAAGATGAAGAACTTATGAAAGGGGTGGGGAGGGGATGGGGTTGGTGACTGGGTTGGTTCATTTGAGCACAAGATGTGATTGTGCAAGACAGGATGAAGAAGAAGAAGAAAAAAAAGAAGAAAAAAAGAAGAAGAAAAAGGTTAGTATTTATTGGTATCCTGGGAAAGAAAGGGACCGCCATTTTCATCGGATATAGGAAGCGAGAGAGAACGGTGGAGACACACAGATGGACAAACGATTCGAAAAGAAAAAAAAAGAAAGATGAAAAAAATAAAGAAGAAGAAAAGTAATGAAGAAGAAAGAAAAAGAAAGCGAGAAAAAAAGAAGGAGGGAAAAGAACGAAGAAGAAAAAAAAGAGAAACTAGAAAAAGAAAGAAAAAAAAGGGTGGTGAGGTCCGTACAAAGTCCGAACCCCAAACTTCCCCAAGGACGACCCCGATCAGAAGCGGAACCATTCCGCCTCCAGGGATGTTAGCATTTACACACTAACTACACTACACTAGCACCTTCCCGCTAACCATCGATCGCTGCATATGCCAAGGATCTACAAGCAAATTAGCTCCTTTTGATCCTAAACCTCCTTCCAGTTGGATGTACCGAGTTTTTTTTTTTTTTTTTTAGAATCATCATTGATGGATATGTCCTCAGTCCAGCTGTCCAGGTCCCATGATTCACAACTTAAAGGTAGGTAGGTAGGTAGGTAGGTATGATTCAGCGCGTCCTGGACAAGATGGGATCGAGATCACATCTCCCCCCCCAAAACCGGGGATGACCTTGGTTACCTAGGAGGGCTTTCAGTTCCGCATGCCTTAGCTCTTTTATTGTTGTTTCTTCCCCGGTTTCGAAAATGTCGTAGGCAGTAGCGACATGATGCTCCGGCAACATGATATCATTACCAGCAATGCGGGAAACCTTTGTTCGTACTACCACAGCCATCGGGTTATTCAATGTTGGAAGGTATAAAATAGGAAGATGGGGAGCCAAAGAAGACATGACAGCTGAGGAGAAGGAGAAGGACTGAGGGAGTGAGGATAGTGCGTGCTCGCTGTCGCCGGGCAGTAGAATAGGTCCCAAGGGTATATCACCTCTACTATGTAGGCACATAACATAATTATACAACCTCCTCGCCGCGCTTCTACTTTGGAAACGAAACGACCCGGTCATCTTGTGTCGCGGGAGACCAGGAAAATGTAGCCAAGTAACGTGACATTTGTCTGTCTGGACTGTCACAAGCTACCATGCTATTGCTCAATTGATTTGCTTTATGTTGCCCCCCCGCGTCAGGTACGTAGACCACGGGTGGTAACCGGATCGCGCATATGATAGTTCTACACCTTTGTCCGGGGGGGAAAAAGGTTGATGAATCTTGTGTGAATTCACCGTTAGTGTAGATCAGTGGCAAAAGACAGGTTTCTACACTATGAAAGAGTAATACCTATATACTGGCAAGAAACCCTAGTTTTTTGTAGACTGGGAGTAATTACGCTAACCTTTCCTTTTTTCCCCGGTAGAGGTAGGTGTAGTAGCAAGCTGATGCATTAGTACCATGACGTTGTGACATGCTGAAGGATCCAAACCTTTTTTCTGATATTTTGGGATACCTACCTATATGGAAAGATGGTCGATCGTATCTGCAGGCTGTATGTATCCCACTCGGCACTAGCCCGAATGGACAGCTCGGTGGTGACGATAATTAGTGAGTGGCAGATTCTGTGGCTTGGTGCCTTGGGTTCCTGTTCGGCCCTACGGTACCTTTGCTGTGCTACCTGACAGTGACTGCCCTGCCCGTGTAACACAGTCACGCCGGCAAGAAGGATGTGGGGAGGAGGACTGCTGAAGAAGCGGGGAGAAGTCGGGGGAGTCGCTCGTTTAGACTTTGACTTGTGCTACATACGTCGGAAACCGTGGCTCGACTGTTCGAAGGACTTGGGTACCGTTGATCGCCGAACATGTGGTGGTGTTCGGGTCAGCAGAACAGGGTTCAGACTTCAGTTGGTCGGCGAATTCACAAGCCCGAAGTGTTGAGAAGCTGCGAAATTGATCATCTTGATTTCTCTCTCTGAAACTCAACGCGGTGGCTGTCACGGGCTTGGCACAACCGGTGGGAAGTGGTGAAAGTGATAGATCGCGCTGGTCTCCGGTTCCTTCGTCAGAGGCTTCAAGGATGAGTTCGTTGCATCAACATGTCGAGGAGCAACGGCTTCATGGACCCTAAAATGCCAAGTATATTTCAGCTGTTGCCTCCTCGAGTCATATGGATGAGTCCCGTATTCAGTATGGACTCCGCATCTCTTTGGGTCCTGTCAAGGTTCCTGGATGGTTGGGAAGGCGGAGCCGTAGCACTAGCTTGCTGATATCGCCGAAAATCCGGGACCCTTCTGGGGAACACCAGCCGGGTAGGGTGTTCTATGAGGACATGTCCGTGTTCGTCCTTCATCAATGAGCGGTTGGTTTGTTGCTACCTGGGCTGGCCAACTTGTCATGAACCGTTGTATTCCACCCACATGTGTAATATCTGTCATGGTCACGAGTGCAAGATGCTTACAGCGTGCCCGTTGTAACGAGAGGCACGGGTAAGTAAAGCTGGAGATCCGGTGCAGCGGTCATTTCCGAGATGCAGGAGGATGGGGACGGGTTGTTGGATAGGAGAGTGAGAAAGAGATCCAAGCAGTGACAGATGGGACGTCACGTCGGTAGAAGATGAGCAAGGTGGTTGTTCCCGGCCGGCACGCATGCGCAGCTGCGAGGGTCAAGACAGAATACCTTGGTATCCATTGGACGGGCAGATCGATGGACAAGGGTCGTGAATATGAGATCCCAAAATGGCATTCGGCCTCCCTTCGAGTTTGGCCTTGGGAATCATGTAGGTTGCGAGAAGGTGGTCGTCCAGAGCGGAGCTTTTACAGGCCAGGGCCTCCTGGACTGATTCCCGCTTGGCCTGCGGAGGGGAGCAAGGGCAAGTGGGAAAAGTGGAGAAATGATCTGGTTGTAACTACCTTGGCTTGGCAGCGTAATGAAGCGTAACGAAGCGAAATACCGTCAGTTTCCAGGCAATGGAAATGCAATGGAAACAAGGCAACCATTTGTTGGTCGCCTTACCGATGCTCTGTCGCCATTCGTTATTTGTCATTCGGGTTCAACAGCAATCACTCCTCTGGCTTCGAGCCGGCGAACTAGTCATAGGACCAGGGTCCGAGTCCAATGAAGCTATGCTTGCTCACCGAGACTTGACCACCAAGAAGCAGGTTCCTGACGCCAGCGATAGCGCAATTGCCCATCTCGGTATTGCGCGCATGTGCAGAAATTTGAAGCAGCATGTCCAGCTGAAACCCGATGTGGGCTTGCTTCTTCTTCTCGAAATACTGACGGCAAGAACTTTCATTGCCTTTGGTGAGCCTTTATGGAGCTTGACGCCCAAGTGAGGCGCTGCCCCGCCGTTGCTGCAGGGGTAGTTTCAGGGGCAGAGGAGGAGGAGAAGAAGAAGAAGAAGGAGGAGGACGGGAGTTGAGTGCTAACAACGACAAGTCATCGATTCTCGACGGCCTCTTTGATATCCCCTTCGTGGTGGTTTGGGTAAGATGTCGGAGGAGGAGAAAACCACGATGGGCAAAGCTCCCTTGGTTAACCGCAGCTTCTAGCCCATTGTGGTAGTGGCCTCCGGATACCCAAACTGATGGCTAACGCAGTTACACAAACAGAACGCCATGTCTTTCAATGGCCCGATTCACTACCCTCCAGAGCCTTTGAAACCGGAAACCATCTTCAAGTCCGGCTTCATCCCGTATGGCTTCACTTCCCTAAAGGAGGCCACACAGAGGCCCGATTTTGCTAAACAGCGCGCGGGAAAGAAAACGCCCAAGCCTCGAATGGCCTTTTCTCACTGGTCGTATACCACATCGCCAGGGAGAATGGTGGTAAAAACCCAAAGAGGCCGAGTAGGGGTAGGACCACCACGGTATCAACGACCCATAGATCACCGCCCGAATCTCCCAAAGGTAGCTTCCCGTGAAACTCGGGGCTAGCTCCGGTCCCTTTGACTTCGACGTTCGCTCCCGTCATCATCTGAAAGGAGAGCTGGCCGTGGTATCTGCAGAGCTACAGATTCTGATGGATGAAGACGGAGGTGTCGCCGTGCTTCATCTCGTCCTCTTTTTTGCGTTTAACACAGTGCGAGCTGGATTACCATCCAATGAAAAGTGGCCTTTTACAGCTCTCAAAGATTTCCGCATTCGCTGCCGCGATTGTCGACGTCGCGAGGTTAACCCAAACTGGGCACCACCCACACCCGCTAAACTGCACTACAACCATCCCTCTTCCTAAAACCAACCCGCAATTTGGCGCATCTGTACTGGAACCCAGACATTCTTGGAGTTCCCGTACCTGGACCGTATCCCCCAGCCAGAAAGAGGGACAACTCGGTGAATATACTGGTCTACAAGCCAAGTAGACACATGGGTACGGAAGCGATTTCGTCAAACACTACTACACGCCAAGCTGCCTTTTTCTACTAGGACTTTCACACTAGACTATCCTTCAGGACTCTCTCCGGACACCGCGGTGAGACAGCAATACCGACCATGACCAAGACACCATCGCTTTCCAAGTTGGCGTTTCTTGAGATCAACTCAATATCTGTCCACAGGACTTACCATATCCCTTTCGCAATGTCAGTTTGGGATATCAACAGTCTTCCAAATCGGCGGTAAAAATACCCGTCTGATTCTTTGGGACATGCCTGACCCCGAGATCCAAATCGTTGCATCGCAGCCACAATATTCGCGCTTCACTTCCCCGGTGCTTATGGCATCTCTGTAATAATCATTGAGGGTTTCAAAAGCAACATACGCGTGTATTGAGGGATCAGCGATGCTTACGACACGAACGACGTACCTCACCCTAAACTTGGCGTGCATACATCTGGCCAACAAGAGCGAAACAACTTATGACCAGATTTTGGTAGTATCAAACCCACCATGAACGACGGGGTCTTCCAGGTTGACAGTTGACAGCAACGACAGTCTTGGTCAACCGTATCACCACAGACGGCGGTTGGGTCTTGATCTCGAATCTCGGTATTTCTCTTGCCGGGCTGATAGACGAGTCCGCCCTTGGCGCTACTACACTATGTTTATCGCACGGTGCGCGAACCATTCTTACAGATTACACAGTCTTACAACTGGTGTTTGAGCACGTATCGATACTCGGATTCGGCAAGATCTCGATGTGCAGCCAACCTCGAGACACGATCTTTTGGATGCTTATGGCCTCTGCACAAAAAGGGGCGTTCGCATACATATCGACATCTTGAAGTACCTATACGGAGAGCTTCAGTCTTTGAAAAGTTCAAACTGTGGACCTCACGAAAGATTACAGGACCGAACAAACTGCTGAGTTGTCCAAGCTATGCCAATAGCCCTGGGGCGCAGTAAGCACTAAACTGGCCGGCCATTGGCCAGATTTCACGGATTCCCCCCATACAATTTATTGTTCAGACACTGCAACCAGCTCTTTCCTGATCGGGCCAAGCTTTTGATGTGTGTAAGACGACTGTGATGAGAGGTCTTCCCCCAGTCGTTACCAATGGCTGAGCCACTGAGGCCCTTCCTCTCCCCATTGCTTGTCACAGGGCCGCCGTACCACATGTACTTTCTCTTGACCCTACCTCTTCACTTATCTGAACTCTTGAGTAGAGGTACAGTATGTCATCTCTGAAATACTTGAGGCTCTGCTAGCTGTTACCTCGGCTTGTACCTCGACTTGTTCCAAGTACAAGCGGGCGAGTCCTTGATCCCTTTGCGGATGGATAGGGATGGGAAGACCCTTGACTTGATTCACAGTCCACTTGCACTGTCGTATAATAAGTCCAAGGCCCCCTCGTGCTTTTCTTCCTGTCACGCCTTTTCTTTTTTCAACCTTAACCTTCAGTCAACAACAAAGTGGTATGAGACTTGATCATACCTCAAGTGCCTCTATTCAACAATATAACGAGCAATCCCACATTTATATCTACTGATACCCCTTCTCACGTTTCTTCTTCCCTCACAATACCCGTGGCACATTCGTTTTGTAGACTCGAACGCACGCCACCTTTCCATCCCGAACTACTCGAAGACCATCATATCATTCGTGATTTGTGCATCTGGCACAGTTCGTCAAGATGACCAACCCGTGGCTCTACCAGGACGACAGCTACCACGTGCCCTACTCTTACAACAGAATGGAGTATACACCGGGACTACTCGAGAGCTTTATCGACCCCAGTTTGCAAAGTTTTACAACACCATCAGCCTACCCGACCACCATGGATCAACACCATTCGATGCAACTCCAGCTCAAGGAAGGACAAAAGACAATGTTCTTCAACTCCGACATCCCACAACAGGCTACCTTCATTCCTTCCACGTTGGGGGTCATAAATCCATTCCAGGTCCGCTGCATCAGTCCCTTTTCGGCCTTCGAGACTTCAGAAGCATCCGGAAGTGCACAGAGCCCACCCGCAGACACCATCACCGAACCACCTGCATGCTACGAAGCCCGATCGCCCCTACAAGAACCTTTGCATCTTGAAGATTTTGGCCTCTCTCAGAACCATCCTATCCAATTCGCCGGCATAGGCAAAGGTCTGGGCAACGGCTTCTTCGTCAACCCTATGGACGTCAACTCAACCGGGCAGTTGGACGGCTATGACAGCGAAACCAGCACTCCCGATTTCACCTTGCCTCAGCGGGTCAACAGCTGGGAGAGTTACACGACCGGTGGGCTGTCCGGGTGTGACATGGAGCAAATTCAGCAGCAGCAGCAGCAGCAGCACAGCTCTCCTATAGTTGACTGCACCAAGCCCGCCAACCACTACCCACCTGCGTCCCAGGAGAAGATTGAGGAGCCGTCTCTAGTCATCCTTCCACGCGCACCCAACCTGAAGCGAACGAGGCAGGCCGATGCCGACGCCGATGAATACCTCCCAACGACCAAACGAACCGCCGCAGTTCTCAGCCGATCAACATCCACCAAAACCAAAACAACCACCCCCCGTCGCGGCCGCCCCCCAACCTCCCACTTCCCCTTGACTACCCACCGCCCTCACCAACACCAACCCACCCGAACCCTCCCCTCAACAGCTACCAAAGCCCTCACTCCCAACTCCTCCAGAGGTAATCTCCTCTGCCCCCACCCGCCCTGCCACCAATCATCCCATGGCTTCAAAGACCAACCCTCTCTAGACGCACACATCAAGAAACAGCACTCACGCCCGTTCATCTGCGTCTTCAGCTTTGCCGGTTGCGATTCCACTTTCGGCAGCAAGAACGAGTGGAAGCGGCATGTGGCCAGCCAGCATTTGATCCTAGAATACTGGCTTTGTCAAGAGGGTGAATGTGCTAACGTTGATAACAACGTCCCTTCTTCTATGGGAGTAGTTACTGGAGGCAGTGGACCAAGATCAGGAAAGAGGAGAAAACCAGTACAAACCATGATCCCAGGGGACGACAACGACGAGAACGAAGACGACGAAGACCTCCCCCTCCTCCCCAATGGCGCCATCTTCAACCGCAAAGATCTCTACACCCAACACGTCCGTCGAATGCACTTGCCTTCCCACCTTACCCCCTTTTTACGAAAAGAATCCACATCTACAAACGACACCACCACCACCACCACCACCCAACAAGAACTCAACATCTACATCGCCACCTTACAATCCCGCGCCCAAATCAAGCGCTGTGCCCTGCCCACATACATGCGTTGTCCTGTCCCCAGCTGTCCACAGCCCCCCTTCAAGGGCACAGAAGCATGGGACCAGCGAATGGAACATGTCGCTAAGCATTTGGAGAGCTATGCTGCTGCTGCTGCCACTGCTGCTGCTGCTGCTGCTGCTGTCGCTGTCACTACTACTTCCGGTACAAGAACTGGATCGGAAGTGGAAGTGGACTCGTTGTCAGTAGCGGCGGAACAAGACAAAGACAAGGTGGAATTCGGCAGCGAAAGCGACATTACTTTGACGGAGTGGGCTTCTAGTAGGGAGGTGGGCATCATTAAGCGTGTCAGGACTACGACTGGGACTGGAATGAGGAAAGTAGAAGGAGGATGGAAGTGGGTGACGAGGGACCCGATTAAGAGGAGAGGACATGGCGGGAATGGAACTGGAAGTGGAAGTGCCGCCGGTGGGTACGGCGGAGTGGGTAGTAGGGGAGGACGGACGAAGACGAAGGCAAAGGCAAAGGCGAAGGTGACAACGAAGTCGAACACGAAGAGGGGACAAGAGGTGGAGGAGGAGGAGATTGTGGTTCACACTCAAAATCACCAGTCGTTCGAGTTTGAGGAGGATGAATGACTATTGATAATGAAAGGAAAGGTGGTGGACAGGACGTCGCTGCCTTCTCTTTTGTTATTGTTGTTGTCATTGGATTTTGTGCAGGAGGGTTGGGTTCGAATCCATTCAGGATCAGGAACCGGCTTTTGGGAAGAATTGTTAATACGTTTACTGGAACTGAGGATTTGGTGGGGTTGGATACTATTCCTGATGATGACTGATGATAATACCATGCTTATTAGATCCAGATACTTTTTACAGCTCTTTCCTTTGTTTGTTTGTTTGTCATGTAGTCAATCAATACCAATCTGCGTTTTGTTTACTTTGATTCGCTAGTTACAATAGTTGCTTCATTCTAGTGCTGCTGCCTTTGCGATTGCTACGTTGAGTGACCCTTTGGCATGGCACCTCTTGTGATTATCGGGGCGCCTATTGGTGGGAGGTCAGGGGAAAGGGATACCCAGGAAACTACATCATCTGAACACCTACATCACACCGGTTGGTTTAGTTAACCGATATCAGAGGGATAGAGAGGTCCTAAGCTGTAGGAGTTGGCTCGCCATACATACCTAGGTATGAGTCAAAATGTTTACCTTTTTCTTTTTTCTTTTTTCTCGCCAAGCATCAATCATAACCGATTTATCTTCTTCCATCTTCGGCTACCATCGCGTTTCCACGGTCTAGACTAGGTGATATTTCAGCTCATGCTTGATATGGGCGCGGGCGTGGGCGTGGATTGTGATTGTGTTATCAGAGGACATCATGGCCGCATTCTAGGCCTCCTGCTTGTCCCCAAGCCATAAGCGCCATGCCACTGACTTGCACTGAGCGCCGAAGTAGCTCCTGCCTGCAGTGCTGTTTGACAAAAGGCCCCCCCGGTGGCTGACCTGGTCACTTCCATCTATACTAGCTGGGCACCCAGGCATTCAGGGCAACCAGGCATGATGGCGCTGGCTTGCATACTTGCGGGGTACGATGCCAGCACGAAAGCCCAGCGTGGAGAAGCGACATGGTTGTCAGTCAGTCAGTCGTAGTGCCTTTTCGTTCGTTCGTTCGTTCAGTGACGGATCGAGCGGGATGTAATCTCGTAATTTTCCCATGTTGTCTCAACTGGTTACAAGCTTACCACAGGCTTGGGAAACGTCTCCCCCAAAGGCAACGCAGCAAAGCTCGGAGGTAGGTAACAATCCGGTCGATCACTATTCATCATCATCCGCATCAGATCCAATTTCCAACCACACCGCGATTCTCCCACCTTGAGCGTTCTCCAGTATGGACAAGCAGCGGTGTGCCGAGCAGTGTTGGACAGAAAAAAGTTCAAGTCACATCGCAGGCGGGCGGGCGGGCGGACAAATGTAACCTGGCTACCACATTCGCGGGTGCGTGCCAGCATAGGGAAATGCGGCGATGGTGCACATAGTAGTGCATGTAGGAGATTGGATACGTACAGCCTGGCTAGGTAGCAGTGCCCGTGGAGATCATTTGAAATTGGAGGAGCACCACCAGCCAGAGATCCAGCGAGGAAAATGGGGGGAGTGGGCAAGTGATGGGGTGGGCGGACCCAGCACTCACCATTGGAAGTCATACGAAAGGTCAAACTTGAGCTTATGGCCCTGCTGGGAAGACCTGGGGTGGTGGTACAGACATATTGTCGCAAGGATGTAGGTTCCAGACATACATGTGCGTGCAGACAGGCAGACACTGCCATGCCGGCACGGAGACGGGGCACGATGCGTAGGTTGAGATGGGGTACTGAGACTTGGGCTTGGTCCATGTGGTGATGCCGTGATGCGGTGGAGGTGGCTGTGGAGAGAGACATCTACCGGGAGTTGTACTTGCACTTGTAGATAGACGAATGATGGAGAGACAAATCAGTGAGAAGTGTTTGAGTGTCTGGGCAACACTGAGGACTCCAGTAATGATTGACGCAATCTCACTACTGCGAGAATATCCTCTCATAGCGACACCGTCTCGACACTCGTCTATTGTCGAACTGGTGAAAAAGCAAACATCACACACCTGGACATTTATGCCTTGCTCTCTACACCATCGCTTGCCCTGGCCCGAATTGGTTGAAGAACTCCACAATAGACGCCAAGTCTCCAGAGTCCAGACCAAAGAGCAAATGTTAAGCGCGAAACATGTCTTGCTTGTCTGGCAGTGCCCGGTTATGCAGCTTCGCTCAGGGGATTTCCCCGAGTCTTCCGGAGCTAAGGGCCATCATGAACTTGGCGAAAGCTTGTGGTCGATAACATAGGGCTTTATCATGATCGTCTGCAAGCAATCGCCCAATTTGTCGGCGGTTGTGGAAAAGCCACCACCAACGGACACGGCCACGGACACGGCCACGGCCACGACGCCCATCGCTGGCTGGGGTTGACGGCTGGGGGCAGGTGAAAGAGGGCGCCAGGGACTCCTGGTCCTTCTCTTTGCTCGTTGCTTTTTTTGATGTTTTTTCCTTCATGATGTCTCAACATCATGAATATCGTGGACCAGTCTCGTTCGTCGATCGGGCAAACGGGTCAATGAGGGTCGTTTTGAGTGGTGAAAGCCACTTTTGACCCCTTGGCTATCACTTCGTTGCATCCTTGAGATCATCAGTGCGGGATGACGGACGCGAGGGAAATTCCCATGACGCGAGCTGAGACGTTATTCCCACTTGGCGCCCGTCTCGTGGGGAATAGAGTTTGAGAGCAATTACGCACCGCAAGGATTCACGTACCTCACAGCTAGCAAGGGCCTTCCATTTGCTCTGTCTCACACACATTCATCTGCGGGTCGACCCGACGGTATCAGGGTTGACGGTACATCAGTGAAGTGTCTGGTGGTCGGGCCACAGAGAGCGCAACCGTCTTTGGGGATTCTGCAGGTATGGAGGACGAAATAGGAAATGCGGCGATGAAGAGAGAATGGCGCCGTCTTGGCAAGCTGGCAGGGCGCTGGCGTCGTTCTCGCATTGGAACGCATTGGTTGACCGAGAGCTGTGAGATGTAACTGGGGATTGGTCAGATAGACGAGCAGGGGATTGTGGGAGGGGAGATTTGGTTCATTGTGACAAACATTCGTCGAAGCTTCGCCGGTCTCAATAGCGTGGACGGGAGAAACATGGGAGGAACGCCTTGCAAGCACTGGCTACAAAATATTCGGGGGCACCCAAATCATTGCCACCCAATGTGGTCAAGGACCTTCAGATTTGATCAGTATTAGTTCTTGTATTGTCATTACACAATACACTACACACTCCCTTCCACCAGCCGCATGTCGCCAACCAACCACCACCACCACCACCACCACCACCACCACCACTCACGCCGGCTGTTCAGCTGCAGTCAACTCTTGGCCCTGGGAAATCACACAAAGATCACGGATCCACCAGAGGTGTCGCAATACATAGTCTGTTACCGCGTACTGTGTTAGCTGCCAGGCCTTATGCCATGCCGGCTTGCTTCATCATCATCAAGTTCACATGATCGCCAAACGCAATGCAGCCACTATCGGGCCTCTCGGAAAATGACAGGCCTTCCAAAATTCTGTCCCAAATCTTGTGCTGACGACTGGGACTATCCACGTAAGGCGGCCCGGCTTATACTTTCACTGTTCCTCATTACCTACCCAGCAGCTCTCAGTAGGTATCCACAACAAGAAAAGAAAAGATCAGGAATCAGCACTCGGCTATTCACTATAACCTCCCTTCACCAAAAACACCAAGTCAACTTTGGAGTCATGATCCCCTGGATAAACCTCGAATTCTGTACGGACATTCTCTATCTACCTACCGCCCTTCCCCCCAAAAATTCCCCATCTGCCTCGAACAATACCACTCCGAATGACTCCATCTACACTTTCCATACTTGCCAGCCATGATCAGTACTATACCGCACATACACCATTAGCAACCATATTTCCTTGTTAAACCTCCCTTTTCTCTCCATCCCCTTCTCCATCTCACTCATAACAGGTAAAGGGTAAATATCAAGGGAATATCTCACATCCAACAGTATAAACCGCCACTCCAAACATGATTCCCAGAATGATATACCCGCTCAACAACATCAGCGGCAAGCAGATAACATTCCTTAATAGTTTCCGCCACCAGCTTTCTTGGTCTCTGGTGCTGGTGAGTGCTAGGCGGTAGTTGTTGTCCATGTCTTGGTCTCTCTTGGCTTGATTGTAGAGGGGAAGGGGTTTGACGTTTGACCAAGGGTCGTAGTAGGGAGTGTACTTGGTGGTGGTGGTCTTGGTTGTGTTGGCTGTGTTGGGTCGGTACATGTGGGTTTTAGTGTTGAGGCGATTCTTAGTTATTGGTGAGGAGGAACAGGTTGTTGCTTTTGACTTCAAAAAAAGTTGGAGGTCGGTAGTGGGCTTGTTATATATATCCATTCGACGCTTGGATGTTTTCGAGATAGCTTTCAGACTTTGTGGAAATACTTATTCTATCACCACCGTCAACAAAGGCCCTAGACTGTTTTGTGATCATCGCCATTTCTTTCAGTAATGCAAACGGGGAGTCAATGCGCTGTGGACACTTGCATGTAGCTACCTGGCCAGGGATCCTATTGTATCAGGGAAAAGAATCGTGTTTCTTGCTGTATCCTTCTTTGTGACCGTTGTCTTAGTAACCGCAGCTTCAATGACTGCGGCCACTTTTGTCGTTCTGTCACTCTATTACCTATCAGACCATCATCGTGTTGAATGGCGAAGCACAAGGCGACCAACAGTAGGTATCTCATACCGTCCGATAATACAATTGATAACATTAGACAACATTCTTCACGAGTGTTGCGAGGCAGTTAAATCTTCTTACGAACTCTTGAGCTGCAAAGTGTTCGAGGACGGTATGACGATAAACGTGATGTTCAATGTCTTCTCAGATATCCTTCAAGTCCTCCTCGCCTCAACCGCAGAAAATTATAATACCCTTCCAGCTTGGCTGCTTCCACCTTTTGCCAATGTCTACGCCCTTTTTTATCGCGATGTTGTCAAGACAGTTATGTACATCACCTCTCCGTCCTCCACGGGTGGATATGAACTCAGTGTCCGTCCGTCCACAACCCTTCGATCAGAATCCTGCTAGAATAATCGACAACACAATGATGCGGTTATCGGACTTAATGCAAGCTGTGCCGGCGAATATACATTTCTGAACGAGAAACTATGCTACTTCCGAGAATTTTTCTTTCTTGCCCGGGAAACATATTCGAACATATGTCCACAAGTGTCTAATAACCCTCCAGGTATTTAGCTAGCTGACCATGTCCTCAATTCCCTCTCCTCTCTCTAGTTATGGTCTTCCCCTAGTTCTATCACATAATAGCCATGACAGTCCAAATCACAGGCACAACCTATTTCTCCAATCTGTCCATCCGTCCTCGAGCTTGGAAGCGGGTGGAAATATTACGCTCACTTTTCATCTGGTCTTTCCCTCCACCAGAACCTGAACTCGACGACCTTTTCTTGACCTTCACCTCGCCGCCATGAGGAGCACACGGACTGGACAGATAACCGATCCACCACCTACCAACTTTCCACAACTCACCCGAAATGTCGCAAGCTCCTTCGACTAGCTTGATCATCACAACTACAAACGCAAATCCATCCACAATCTCGATCTCCTCAGCGACTGACTCGCGCGATGGACACCCCAATCGCCCCGATGGGCGATGAATCACCCCCTCCATGTCCTCCCCAGCCCCAAGAAAGCATCCTCAACCGCAAAATCCTCCCCCGCGGCCTCCCTCACAGCTTCTCGTCTAACCTCAACCGCGACGTCACCACCCCCAAGAGATCAAAAGTAAACAACCGCTCCGTCCGATCCATAATCGCGTCGTTTGAGAGCGCGGCGAGCAATCAGCAGCCATCCCTCTCACCACTTTTCGAGCCGATTACGCCGAGAAGTAGCACCATCAGAGGCAGTATTTCGACGGGCGCGAATCTGACGAGTTTTCGGAGAGTAAAGGGTAGTAAGGGTCGGGACAGAGGGGTTAGTGAGTGTCATGATGCGAGGAGGAGTCAACATGGGCAGGATGGGACAGAGGGGTATAGTGACGCAGGAGCTGGCATGGAAGGTGCCAGAAGCGTTTCGACACCTGTCATCCCAAAGATGAGCTCGATCATGCCCTTTGGTGTAGACGAGGAGGATTCGTTGACGCTGGTGAATTACAAGTCGTATTTCAACCAGCCTTTGGCGAGGTGTCTTGATGGGTTTGTCGGTTTTGAGGATGAAGGCAAGGATTCCCCCGAAGAGAAGAAATGCAAGAAGGAATACGACGAGTGCAAGCTGAGCGACGAGATTGACGACGTCGACAAACAAAACATACCCCTCCGTATCACGAAACGACAGGACAGAGTCAAGACTGCGGCGGCCCAAACCGAGATCCAGCCTACCACAAGTGCCCCGCGACCCGTACGACAGCAAACGAAGAGACCGAGTCTCACGCACAGAAAGTCCTCGGCCTCGGTCATTGCTTTGGAAAAGCTCATGCTCGAGCTCGAGAACTTCTCGATCAGCCCGCCGTTGGAGGAAGAAGAGAGCGAAATTATCGCCATGCCCGAAGACAAGCCAATCATTCGCCGCGACCCAAAGGAAGTCCAGGACTACTGGTGGGGAGTCCGTCGGAACCTTTGGGTTGACGAAGACGAGGTTTACAGCCCAGAGGCCTACCCTGAGTCCAATATCACAACATCAAGTGATATCCCCAAGATCCAACTACCTCTGCCGGGAACAACCGATGTCTCGGCAAGGGCATCATGCGCCTTCGACAAGCAAATTCCGCTACCAGCACCTCCTATCCCTTTCCGCTCTCCGAGCAGAGTGTCTAGAGACGTTTCCGGAGGAAGTTTGTCATTCGGCACCCCGACTCGCTTGCCGAACAGGTCGATATCCTCCAAGTGCACATCTCCCCTGAAGTACTCGATACTGACAGCGGGTCACCCTCCGCCCTCACCATCCGCTTCTGTCAGGCCCGAACCTCCAACGCCCCAATCCCCACCGACTCTGTATCGGCAGAGTCAGAGCCCGCCCTCCAGGGGTTCCAACCAGCCAGTTTCCCCCCCTTTGTCGACAGCGGGTAAGGATAACTACTCGAATGGGAATACCCCAAAAGCTTCTTCAGCCAAGGAAGCAGACCTTCCCTTCTTGAATCATGAACACAGCCAATCTCGTGACCCAAGCTCGTCATCACTCGTTGTGAATGCGAGCACATCGCAAGTCGACTGGGACTCGGCCTCGGAATACGTAGACGAAGAAGTGCGTAAACAGAAAGCCGAGGGGAATCATTGTCGTCAGACCCAACCAAATGGTCCTTCGTTAGACGAAATTGACGGATTGTATAGCGGAATTCCGACCGATTCTGCGGTCTCTTCCCCAGCTACAGCTATCGACGTTGGAGGCAGCCAGGAGAATACACCCAAAGCTGAATCCGCTTTCGAGCAGATCAAGAAGCGGATAGAAATCAGAAAAGAGAAGACACTATCTAGTCACAGTCGTCACTCTTCTCTGATGCCGTTAAGCGCCAGCACACCAGGTGAAAGTTCCGAATACCAACAACCCCATCAAGTTCTGCAACAAAACCAAACCCAGGAAGAGCAAGAACCCTCTAACCGTCACTCCGACTCACATAATATTGGCAACCGCCGTCACAGCAGCCGCCGCCTCCACCTCTCAGCCATGAACCTCCCCGGCCTCCGCCACCTCCGCAGCCGCCACAGTAGATCCTCCCTCTCCAGTCCCGACTCTGTGGACAGCCTCAAAACGCCCACCACCGCCAACAGCGCCGCCAGCTTCAGTAGTACCCGCGCAACCATCAGCAGTCCCGTTCCCATTCTCAGTGCCGGCATCAGCAACCCCATCAGCATCCCGTACTCAGCCACCCGATCGGCTCGCTCTTCTTTAGTCTCTCAATCGGAATCTGGAACAGAAAGTTCTTCTCAACATCAGGGCGGGGGCCAAAAAACGCCAACAGAAAAGAGGGAAGCACATAGTACGGGAAAAGAAACGACAGTGGGAAAGACGGAAACCAGTGCGACCGTGGTGGTTTACCCTTCGCGATCCGTAACAAAGGTGCCAAAGTTGGAGGATGCTCCAAAGGGTGGTGGAGGATTTAGAGGACATTTTCGATGGAGGAACAAGAGTCGGGGAGAGGACAGAGACAAAGACAAGGAGATGGAGGGTTCTTTGATGGCGAGGGGCAATGTGGAAGAGTTTTTGAATTCGCACAAGAGGATGAACAGTCTGAGGAAAGAAGGGAGTGGCATCCAGAAAGCCCGGGCTGTGGATATGGAGGAGGGAAGGATCGATCCTCGCCATCCCCGTAAAGAGAAGTCTCATAAACGGGTTGGATCCACGCAAGCCACAACCGGCCTCACCTCAAGCACCAGCGCTTCCAGCATTCCACTCTCCACAGCTCACCACTTCAACTCCCAGTCCGAAACTACAGGTACAGGTAATCACCGCCTTGCCTCTCTAGATGACACCCAGGGGCACCTTTACGAGAACCATCATCATGACCAAACTCCCACCCAGATCCCCCACCCGACATACGCCAACACCATCTCCTCTTTCACCTACACCACTACTCCGATAGTCAACGCCATCAACTCCCACACCTCCACCTCGACCTCCACCCCTGACCTTGACCCTGATGTCACACACCCTTCAACAAGAAACCCAATAACCGAGCGCTCCCGCAAAGACCACCTCTCCGAAATCCATTCTTTCCTCCTTAACAACAACAAAGACAGGTTAGATACCTCTATCGCCCAGTCCATACGCCCCTCGCTTCAATCGCAGTCGCGGTCTTTGCATTCTTTGCATTCTATGCACTCCATTCCCGAGTCTAACTCAACTGGGGGTATGTACAGTCAAGGAAGTCAACGAAGTCAAGATGAGGAAGAGGAGGAGGAGGATCAAAAGAGGGAGGAGGCGTCGATGTTGATTGGGGAGGTGTTGGAGACTGTGAGGAGTTTGGGAGAGGAAGTGGTCAAGAGGGGTCAGAGTTAAGGAAGTTCTAGGAATGGGAATGGGAAGTTTCAAGGGGTGGGAAAGTGGGGTGGATGACGAGGGAATAAAAAGCACAGGGCGAAAAGAAATTAAAGTTCATATGTGTACGTGTAGGTATCAAAAGTGCTTTGGCCATGGATTCGAAAAGGGAAATAGTGCTCTTCTAGGGACTCCAACATTGGCGTTACACAGTGGACAGGGGCGTTAGTGTTGAGCGTGGGGAAAGGACGGATCGGTGTTTAGCTTAAGTTGCCTCTATCTATCTATGTTTCTGACTTGACTTGGGTATTACCGTGGATGAGAGGCTCAAGTACAAACAAAAAGAAACAAAAAAGCCACATCTGGTTTACGGCGTTGTTGCTCAGCTGGTCTCACACAAGAATCTTTTTGATGCCTTTGGTTTAGCAAAGGACGTAGTGACACTCGAGCGTAGGTAGTCGTGTGTTACCACAACAGTTTCTTGAGAATGTACGTACCTTTGGTAGGAGAAGCTCTGAGGAGCTTTCTCATCCTGTCTTCCGTTCAGAGACAAGATAGTCGCAAAGTCCAGCGAGCCAATTACGGATCCCACTCACTACCCATCAGCAAACCTAATACAAGGATCAGCACTTTGGTAAACATCCCTCAGAGATCACTCCTTTACCTTCCATGGTAACCACACATAGAATTCTCTCCGAAAGTAAAATACCTACTCAACCACCCTACCTTCTCTCCGTCCTCACTGTCCAGTACTAGGAGTAACGGACCCACCCTTCTCCGTGTCCGTCTCCGTCTCCGTTTCCTCGTCTTTCAGCTCCCTAACCTCGATGCTTATGCCTCCTCCTCCTCCTCCTCCTCCTCTTTCATTCACCCTTCCATTCCCACCATCCACGATCCGCCATCCTCCCCTCCCATATTCATATTCACCTCTTACGTCATTATATCCCGTCCCTTCTCTTCCTCTTTCTCTTTCTCTCTTCCTTCCCCTTTCCCATTCCCATGAACCTTCCACATTATCTCCTCCTCCTTCGTCTCTCTTTCTATTTCCCTCTGCACACCCTCGTCTTTCCCCATCTCCATTCATGTTGGTTTCGGGTGCATCATCAGATGGTACCTCTAGACAACCATCAATACCATGCTTAGAGGTACTCTCGAACTCGCCATCAATACCTCTACCTCTACTGTCAGAGGACGAATGTGATGATGATGATGATGATGGTGGTGGAACAACATACTCCTCCACTCCTTCCAACGGGATAATTAACAAATCCGTTTCCACCTGAAACGACGCCGTCCTCGCATGTCTTAACAGTCCATTCTCGCTGTCTCCTGTTTCTTCTTCCTCTAGTGTACCTCTACTGTCGTTTCCACTGTCCATGGTGCCAGTAGTGCCAGTAGTGCCAGTGGTGGTCTGATCACTGCGCGTTTGAGAATGGGAATACGTTCTGGGAGCTGAGGAAGAATTGTCGTTGGTAGTGATTTCATCGAGGGACGAGACGCGAGAAGAGCCGGTTGTGGTGGTTGTGGAAGTGGTTAGGGATCGTTTTCTGTTTGTGCTTGAGATTTTGGTTTCGTGGTGCCAAGAGCTCGGACCGGCGTGGGCGTTGCTTCCGTTGCTGTTTTTCTTGTTCTCTCTCTTGCTGTTCCTAAAGCCGCGGGGACTTCTAGCCCTGGTAGAAACGATAGAGATACTTAGAGACCAAGAGGTTTTATATGAGCGGTGATTGCCATTACTGTTGCTCTTGTTGTTTCTACTACTTTGCCTGTAATAGTTTCGATGACTGCGTCCATGTTTGTCGTTGCTTTGGTGCCCCAGGTTGTCGTGTATCTCGGGATCCTCTTCCTCAGTGTTGCTGTCACCTTCTTCGGAAACATGGGACAGCAGAGCAGGGGAAACAGGGGCGGAAGCAGAAGAGAACAAAGAAGAAGAAGAAGAAGAAGAAGTTAAAGCAAGTGGAGGAGTACGGGCAAAGAACATGTCGGGCGTTCGCTGGCCAGGACCGACATATGAGGGGGCTCGGCCGTAGAGGTAATTGTTTACTTCGTCGTACCGTTCATGTTCGTATTCATGTTCCTGTGTGTTAATCCCCTGGTAGTATCCTTGATTCGCATCGAAAGTTGTGTTGGAAGTGACCTCGGCGGAAACGTGTCTGGATGAGCTCGATATCGGACGATCTTCTTCGCTTTTTAGGATTTGCCGGTGGCTGTATGGGTGATTCTGGTGTTTCAGTAACCTCTGCGACTGATTTGTTCTCTGTGGTCCAGCCAGTTTCTGGGGTGTCTTTGTCGGTGTCTTCGTCCATGTCTCCGTCCATGCCTTCGTCGGTATCTGTTCGCTCGTCGTAGTCTTCGAGCTCTTCGTCTTCAAGTTCTTCGTAAGTTCTTTCACTGCTGGATAATAAGTTTCTCCTCCCTTCATAAAACCATGAAAACCTGGTTTCACAGAGTCACCATGCCTGTTTTTGCTGCGAGTTCCCGACCAAAAATTTTCGTCTTCCTCTTCACCGTGACTGCCATAACGGGAAGGAGTCACATTCCTAGGAGCCACAGACTTCTGAAAGGTCCCTGAAAGACGGCCTGTGGGTGTGTGAGTAAAAGCAGTGAACTCTGGCGCCTTGCTAAAGTCCCCTGAAATCTGCAGCGGTGGGAGCGCCCATGTGTCCTGATATGGTGGGAGTAATGAGCCTAGGTACGTTGGCGAGGGTCGAAGTGCGGGTCGAGGTGGGAATTGGTCTTCGGGTGGCGTTTGGTTGCTGGAAATGGACCACGAAGAGCGCGTGGAGGTGGTCGTTTGGTAAGATGGAACCCGTCCTTGATATGTCTGCATTAATGAACCGTTTTCTTGGTTCGCAGCTGGCGCCGTTTCTCGCAAAAGAAGTGTCTTGGTACAGTTGTAACATTTGCACCGTTCCTTTGGGCCCGGATATGGACGAGGAGGCGGGAAACCACGTGTTTGAATCTTGAAGACGGAATCCTCGTGGTACAGACTGTAATCGATTCCTTTGCCTTTTTCCTCGGCTGACCTGGGTCGTTTCCCTTCCTCGAAATGACTCACTTCGTCATCGTCGATGTACCAAGTCGTCGGGGGCGCCACCATGGATTCATTGTCGGACTTATCTGTCTTGTTGTCCCGGGCCATTGTTGTTGTCGTTTCTGGCACTTCCATAGTTGCTGATTTTGAAAAAGAATGTTTTGGACGTGGGAGTAATGAAGGAAGAAGAAATGCTCCCGCTGGAGACTCGGAAGAAGGATGTTGGTCGTTTATACCTTTCACCTCGCCCAGGTGCCTCCCCTTCCAGTGTGGATGCAGGAGACTCGTATCAACAATTTTTGCTTTTGCTGCATTGTACGGCCTTGTTGATGTTGCAGTCCGACTTGCTGAACGTGCCTTGCTTTTGTCCGTCGACAAAACCAGCAGCTTTTTAACCTTTTCCATGCCCCGCTTCCAAAGTCCGGAGGTCCGGTTCTTCTGCTTGCTTTGCATCTTCTCATGCTCATGCACTTCCCTGCCTTGGCCTGCATTATTTGCATATTTCCGGTTGGCCGTATCCTTCTCCTCAGCCTGCCCCAGGCGGTTTCTCCTAGAGCCGGAACTTGTTTTGGTCGAGCCAACACCAATCCCCTCAGCCATGTACAACTGCTCCATGACCACCGAGTTTCGCGGCGGCTTTGGTACCGGTGAAGGTGCTGGTATACTTGTGGTCTCATCCCCAGGGCCAAGTGCAAGCTGCCACCGAGTCTGCTCCGCTGCTGCAGCCGCTGCCGCCGCCGGTTTCTCCTTTGACTTATGCCCTCCGGATTCCCCCAGTCCGTTATCTCCCTTCCATCCGCGCTTCCAACTCCACCTCGCTTCCTTCTTCCTTTCCCCTTCTTCCCCTCTCCGTCCTGCAGCAGCAGCAGCAGCAGCACCCCCATCCTTCGAACCTCTCAACCCTTTCAAAGTCCCCAACTCCCTCCCCCACCTCTTAACCCTATCCCTCATCCCCCCTTTCTTCTCCCGTGGATGACACCCCTCAATGATTCTCCTCGCCGCCTCCTGGGCCTTCTTATTCCGCTTGGGATCATGTCTCCACTCCCTACTAAAGTTGCTGCTTCTCCTTAATAATGCTAACCTCTTCGCTCTCAACCCTGATTCTGAAAAGGTGGAGTTGGTCGGGAATATGTCGAGAGGATCAGAGGGAAAGATTGGTTCCGTAACCGGGTCGGTAAGAGGGTGGGAGACGGGGTTGGAAATAGGAAAGGAGACGCTCGTTATGGGTGTCTCTGGGCGGTCACAGCCATGTGGACAGGGATGATGATGATGGTCGGAAGGAGCTGAGGGGTGGGTACACCAGTCTATCGGGACTGGAGGGGGTGTGGAAGATGGGATGGAGAGGGATAGAAGGGGAGGGGAGGAGGCAAGTTGCTGTGATAGTGATGCGGTGTAGTCCGGGAGAATGGCGTCACCGCCGTTGGTTGTTGTCGTGGTGCTGGCGGTGATGTTATAACGGCGGAGAACGGTGCCGCCGCTGTAGTGGGTTGTCGTGGTGGTGTTCCTGGATCCGCTGGATACGAGGGAGGTGGTGCTTCGTGGGCCTGCTCGCGAACCCGTCTGGATTTGGAGTCGAGATTCGTGGTTGGGGTGTACACCGGTCGGTTTTGGCTTCCACGCCCGTGAGCTTGACCTTGACCTTGACCTTGACCGCGATGGAGGTAAGAGACTCGCCCAGGATGACGATGGGTCGACGATAGCTCGCGCCGCCATCTTCGTTCCTCCTCGCGCTTGGCAAGCGGAAAGCCCTGTTTCGACGGAGTGAAGCTACTGAAGCGATCGCGAAGTCGAACTCCGTTATATCCCTGCTGCCGTACCCGAGTGATTAATCCCTTCGAGGAACCGCAACAGGCCGAGTGTCGTAACCAATTCCTTCACTCTCAGGAAGTGAATGAGCGACGCCCTTCTTGTCAAATACCTTCCAATCTGCGCCCATAGTCAGCAACAACATTTAATCCCATCATACTCATGCTATTATACAAACGAACGATCGAACCAGTGAAGCTAAGCTCAAACGTGAGCCAACTTCAAAAGCTTCTGTCGGTTCGAGCCAACGGCGTCCAGGACAATGCCGCAGGCGCGTAAGGCCAAGCAACACAAACAATGGAATTCACACAAATGTACGTACCTCGAACCTTTTTGTATGTCTGTCCCGTCAGTCTCGTTCTAGATCCGCCAGTCCCGTCAATGACGAACCGCGGCGGTCAGATACCTACTCAACGGCAAGGAAATATACTAAGCCCCAACTTGACCGATATGCGTCCCAACTCGGTTTCTCTCTTTTCAAACTTACAGCGGCGCTTAGATTATCTTTTTTTCCGTTCGTGTACCTATCTTTCGATTCGGTGGTGAGATGAACCGATCAGAATCTGATTTCGCCCCGTGCCCGAGACCCGACACATCCGCTCTCCTCTCTCCTTCTTCTTCTTCTCCCTGGTACCTACCTCTACATTTTTTTCCTCCTGGCCGTTATCCATGTTTCGCATAAACACAACTGACTCGCCGTCACCAGATCAAAGTTTTGACTGTTTACATCGATCGGTCCGAGAATGACAACTTGCCATGAGCAGCCCAGTATAGGTCGCTACTTGGCCATGGGATTCAGGCGATTGATGATGAGTTTTCTGTTGTCCGTTGTGGACCGTCATCCCCTCGGGACAACGAGATGAACAGAATGTCCACCGCGAACCCTCCGTGACAGCTTCCCCGCTCCATCCTCTCTAAGTACTGTGATCCAGACACGCGGCGCAGTGTTTCGGAAAACACCAGATGAACAACTTCCATACATCGTTGGTCAAGGTTGGTCCCTGTTTGGGTCCGCTGGGACGTTCGGAGGGGGGTTCAGGGGCAAAACCGCACGTACCTCTCCTTCTACTTACCTCTACGTAGGCGATCGCAATCGCGGGATGTATTGAAGGCATCAATAACATTTTCTACCATGACTTTTGATTGTTAGTTAGGCGGGAGAGTTGATGGAGCAACGCAAGGGTGGTCTTCAATGCGGTATCGAAAAGGAACTTGGAACGCAGGGTTGAACAGAACACGTAGGCCGGGATCGAGGTGGCGGCGATGAGGATGCGGTCGTTCTCAACGATGATCTTGGGCAGATCGGGAACAATGTTGGAGAGAATCCCGACAACATCGTCTGCATGTTCGAATGGAGTCCGGAGAGATCCCGTCCATCATCGACGTCCCGCCGCTCCTGCTGTAGTGCTGCAATCCGAGATGTGCGCGTGTAGGTATTCTTCTATCAAGTGAAATGTGCGCTGCGGCTTCGACGATGTTTCGGCCCATAGGTACGCATCAAATTTTCATGTCAAGCTCAGGCGAGGATAGGCCCGAAGGCTGAGAGAAAACAATAAACTATGATTTATAAATCTACATGGCTGAAACTAGAGGTATAACCGACTAGAGAAAGATCTCCATGGTACCGCTGCCACCACTGAACGCTCTATCAGCCGTTATCTTGGGCACAAACGGATGTGGGAAATTTCCCCCAAAACACCGTTGAGGATATCATCAAATCGTCTCATCTTTGTGACCCTCAGCTCCTAGAAGCTTCCTCGTCCTCAGCATCCTCAACCGCAGCGGGAGCGGGCCTCGGCCTCAGTCTATAACTTTCACTAACGTCAATAGACGAACGGTCGTCAGCCTCAGCATCTTCCCCCTCTTTTTTGCTGGGCCGGGATGCCTCTGGCTGCGTAGCCGGTGGAACGTTATTGAAGCTCCAACCTGCGCTCATCCCTCCCAAGGGCCCAGTATTCACGTCCGGCGTTATCGTTACTGGATTCTGGAGTCTGCTTTGTGGTTGAGTAGATGATGTTGATGATTCTGATGAGCGCGGAGCTTGCGTCTCTACAGTCCCGGCAGGTTTTGGTGATGAAGTGTCGGTGGCTGGTTGCTGCTGTTCGGCAGGACTCATGGGAGTTGTGGGAGTTGTGGGGGTGATGGGTCGGCTGGGTGGTGTAGTAGTTAAAAGACCAGGGCCTGTATTTCCCTGGGCTTGATTTTGTGCTCTACTTTGAGCGGTATTATCGGACCTTGGTCCCACAACTGTGCGCTGCTCAGGCACCGGTCCTGCTGTTGCTGTGCCTGGCGTTGCTGTATTACCATCTCCTTGCTGACCAGCTTGATCGACCTGACCGGAATTCTGTCCAGGAGCCACAGCACCACCGTCCAACCGCTCCAAAGGAAGCAGCGACCACCCCTCAGGGATCACCACTCCTTCGGGCAAGTCGGGACTTCCAGCTGGAATGGCCGTGCCCCAGTCCGCAGCGCCATGTCTAGTGATATTTTGCGGGAATGGTGGGATATGTACTGGCTCAGGAGGAAGTGTAACCCCCAGAGCTTGCGCTTGTTGAGCGTGGCGTACCCGAGCCAGCTCTGTAGCGATGTTCTGCAACGAGCGGAACTGTCCTATCGTGGCGCTCAATTCCCTCAATTCCTGATCCAGACGCTGCCCGACTTCCACCAGCTGCGCCTGTATCTGCTCCATGCCAGTAGCACCATGTCCGTGAACAGGTTGTTGTGCTGCTGGTGGTGGTGGTGGTGGTGCCTGCGCATTCAAGGGCTGATGGCCATTAGCCATATCCTCCGGGATACCCATTCTCCTAGCCATCTCTTGAATATCCTGGCCTTGTGCAAAGCCTAACCTAATAGGACCCAAGTTGAACATTCTAACTCCGTTGTTCTGGTGGTTTCTTTGGTTGCCTGGCAGCAGGCCATTAGGATCCTGGTTAGCGGGCGCTTGACCGTTAATCTGTTGCTGAGGTTGCTGATTCTGTCCGGCCGGATGGTTGAGTCCATTGAATTCTCCTCCCTGCGCATTTCGGTTCGGTTGCTGACCTTCCCTAGAAACCGGTCGTCGGCAGGTCGGGCACACTTGCTGGCGTTCCAGCCAGCTCTTGAGACATCCTTGGTGTAAAATATGGCCACAGGGCAGCTTCTTGGCACGAGTACGCTCGAGACGAACAGGGTCCTGGGGGTCCCAAGGGCGCATTTCTTCTCGGCAAATAATGCAGGTGTCGTCTTGTCCGAGATCTTGCTCAGTAGCGTCGGCATATTGATCCATGTCCCGAGTAGCCTGGCGGTAGCGAAGCAGGGCGTTGAGTCGCTTGATGAACGACCTCGTCGTCATAAACCAGTCTCTGATAATGTGAATGGGCAACCCGTAGAAGGTTATGAGGACGCCGAAGAATGCCGTGTAGATGCAGAGCTTAAGGAAGTCTGTCATCATGATTAGTGTACTGCGCATGCGCATGGCAAAGAGTTGCCCGACTTACCAGAAACCAAATCCAACGACAAGATGTAGAGTCCCTTGGCATCCCAGCCAGGAACCTCGATATCCATCTCTTCCACCTCATCCTCGCTCGGCAACTCCTCATTCTCCGCCTCGGCATCACCCTGCTCTCTGCGCCTCAGAATGTCCGCCCTGCGCTCTCTAATCTGCCGTCTCCTCTGCTCCAACCCATTCCTCGTCTGCACGCGCGTGATATGCTGCTCCCACATGGAAAACAGATACCGGATGGCCGTCTGGCTCGAAGTCACCGTCTGGATGGCGAACTCGAACAGAAACATGACCATCATGGTAGGACGCGCCTGCTGGACCACAGTATCGATGCAGTACTTTAGCATCCCGACATTGTAGGCCACGCTAAGGAGCAGCGAGACGGACAGGCGGGTGTGGAACAGGCGTGGGTTGGCGGGCGGCTGTTGCTCAAAGACCTCGACGCGGCCTTCGCCTATCCAGCCCCATACTTTGCCCGTGACAAGGGCCGTGAACATGCAGAGGAAGAAGGGGCCGACTTCTTCGCGGAAGATGGTCATGGCCAGACATGTCTCGGTGACGGCGAACCAGGCGCGTTCGTACAGTTGCTCGATCTCGACGGGACGGAGGGGGCCGAAGCAGAGGCGCTGGAGGCCGTACATGACGGCTCCATAGAGGACGAAGATTAGGTTCACGAGGACCTGTTGGTAGGGGGAATATGGCGACGTCAGCTACCGGAGGGATATCAACACAAGGGTGGCAAAGGTGGTGGACACATACCACGAGAGAGAGGCTGCTCTGGCCCAGATGGACAACGGCAGAGTAGAAGTTGGCTCGTTGATGGAAGGCCGAAAGGATGACCGAGGCCGCCAGGGCCGTCGAGCACTATGCATGTTGACCATGGTTAGTTTGAGTGTATATCCACATGCTGGGGTGTGTGTAAATCTGGAGGTGAAGCTGGAGCTGGAGAGTTGAGAGATGGATGGCCGGGGAAGCTGGAGCTGAGCTTCTCTCTCTCTCTCCCTACTAGCTATCAACTGGGGGAGCTTCCACTTACCCCTGCGTACCACGCCAACCGCATCTTGGCCTTTTGGTTTTGGTGTGCAGCGATGGATGGCGGAACCGTAACCGATAGGGAACAGAACAAGAGGTGGAATTTATGACTTGGCAATGGAGAGGGGTCGCATTAAGTTGCCATCATCGTGGGTGGAAGTGGAATGGGAACTCGTGATCGAGTGAACAAGTCGTCGGGGTGGAAAGACAGGAGGAGGTATCTAGAATATCTGATCAGTGGTCGTAAGCAGGCAAGTTGAGCAGCTAGTCTACCTCTACAATGCAGGCAGTCAGTCACGTTTGGGGGGTTCAAGGGTGCTGTAGGCAATTCCGACTGTCAATTGTGGACTGGACCTCATTGCCGCGCCAGTAAATGCCACGTTATGGGAAACTGCAGTTCAAGGTGACGCACGGCGACAGGGAAGGTGCCCGAAGATCAGGAAAGCCAAGCGCGACTCCGCACAGCCACAGACCGACCGACGCTTCCCTTTTTAGTCTTTTGCAGTGTTCTAGAAATCTGGGTTGTGGCGGTTGGTTGGCTGCACGTCGAATGCCATATATAGGCTGCATTATGGACGCACTAATTCAACAGCAACAAGCACTAGTCGCTTTGGCGGAGTGGTTAACGCGCTGCCCTGCTATTACGTAATATGCTAGGCAGTTCTTTCGAGAGCGCATGTTCGAATCATGCAGGCGACGTTTGATTTTTTTAGTTTTTTTTGCTTGTTCTTGACGTCTAAATGATTCCTTTTTGATGTTCTTGATGTTTTCCTTTTTATATCGGTCGAATTGGACGTTGAACGCTTGTTGTGTGGTGGTTTTGCATGCAATGTGCAAAAAAAGGTGCGATACCCACTTCATGCGTGTCAAGAAAGGCAAGTGCGTTTACATCGCTCCTTCCGCCACAAAACACCGAGTTGGGTGTGCGCAATGTGTGCAATATGAGTGATTAGGGCTGGGGCTCGTCCGGGTGTATGCTGTGTAAATCGGGAATCAAGCGCTTCGAAAAAGATCGCTTTGAGCGCTCATCATCGTTGTTGAAAACGATGAGTTCGTATAAGAACTTGGTGATGGTTGCCAGCGCCAGCACAGTCGGATCATCCGAGACAACTCATTTGGTCGGTACATGTTGGTTCAACATATTAAATACACCAGAGTATCGAACTCGCATCGCCTGTCACAGATATGCAAGACCCTCAGACATAGGTACTGGGTTGGTGACCGAGATAGCAACAATTCGGCAACGACCAGGAGCGTATCTCTACTACCTCTAGTTGTACATAGCTGGCAAGTGGCAACTCTACCGTCCAATGCTGGCTTGTTTCTTGGTAGCTTAGAACTCCTGGTACACTATACGGAATCTCTCCCGAATTGTCCCAAACCTTACTACGACAAATTGAATAGCTGAGCACAAATGACAAAAGGCATTGGCAGAGTTTAATATGACATGTGCAACACAAGTAATAGCGTAGGTATCCAAGTTACCAAGGTAAGATCACGCATCAGTTTGATATGCAAACACTCAAGGAAGTTAACAAGAGGTCTTGAGCTACCTAACAAATTAATCACCACCAGACTATACATATCATCTCATTAGATCACAGTTCACCGTTGACATGGTATCAACAGTTTCATCCTACACCCAATCTCTCCAATCTCAATAACCAACCCAAGTAATGTAGTTACACCCGTTTGCTCAGATCCGAACGGCATGCACGATATTTTCCAACCCGCCATGACCCACCGTGACTCGCCGTGACCCGTCTGTCGTAGACATATTATCCCCCCTCGAAACTCGAACCATTTATGAAACACCCCGAAAGCAAAAACCCCACGCTGCAAACACAGTACAGTTAGTTATCAACCGTTGTCAAGTTCGACTCAGCTGTTGTGGTGCCTGTTTCATCACTACAGCTACCTCCACCTACCATCACGCACATAAGCGGTGGTGGTGGTAGCGGCGGTTCAGCTGTCCATCCCAGCCGCCCAAAACCCCTCCCAAAAACGGCACGGCACGGCACGAACAAACAGGCGGCACGAACGGCACTGCGGCATTATCCTTTACGGCAGATCGACTGGAACCGTTCTCGTTGTCGTTGCCGTTGCCGTTGCCGATGTCGATGGTAAAGAAGGGTTAATGATGTGCCGACCAAGTTCTCTAGAGGTACCTAGGGTTGCACCTGAGCGGGCTGAACATGTCTCGATCCAGACGGTTGCAAGAACCCAACGCTGAGGGTAAGCTGAACGGCATATACGAACATATAGGTGAATAGGTGATTGACTTGGTGATGGTTTCAGAAAGAAGGTGACAGAGTGTATATTGGGGGCAGATAACTACATCGGTATGCAATCGGGGAGAGAGCTGAAGTTTCCGATACTTATGCTCCGCGCTTGACGCGCATAAACAAACATCTTGATCTGGTGTGGAAGAAGCAAAGAAACTTCATTTTGAACATGGGAAGAAAACAAAATGTATTTTGTACATTGAAAACTTCAATGTGGGCAATTAGATGTAGATACCTTACTGGAAATCTATGGGGTAACCAAAGGACGAAGACGTGAAGGAGGGTTCCCACTAACACGACCACAAGCCAGTAACTCCCGTGCGCGTATTCATCATTTTGACGGATGAACAAACCCAAACGCAACATTTTTGAAAAGACAAGTTACTACTGCGCTAGGGAAAAAAAAAAAAAAAAAGAGAAAAAGAAAGAAGAAAAGAAAATAAAGCCAAACAAAAGGGGTATGAGATCCAACGCGTATGCCAAAACACCATGTAATCCTCCCTCAACTCCACCTCTATATGCTCAACCCATACCACATCCTTTCGTAAGCTTATCCGCATAAAGACACCTACAGAACAGGTCCCCAAACCTGCTCCAACCACGTCCTGAATCTCATCGGCTGAAAAGCCGTCCTCTCGCTCTGATTAACCAACTCGCCAAGGTTCGTCGAGCGAATGCAATACCGCCCGTTAGCAGTCTGCAACAGCCTCTGATAGTAGAGAAATGTCCCCACATCGCCAGCACGTTGGCATTCATTCGCCCAGGCCTCGGCCTCTTGGTAGGACCGTCTTGTGACGCTGAACTGGACTGTTCGTTTGAGAGTCATTAGCAAAATACTCATATCATGGGGGATCATAGAAAAACAACTCACCACCCCTCACAGCCTCACAAACCCTTACCACCTCCCCCACCGCCATACAATCCCCTCTAACCCTCCACTCCCTCGGCCACCTCTCCAACGGTAATCCCAACGCTCCCACTCCCGTCAACTCCACCGCCGCCGCCACGAACCTCGCAACATCATACATACTCGTCATAGCCACAAATGCCGTTCGTCCCTGGGCATCCCGCTCCACCACCTCTGCCGTGCCCTGCTCGATATTCACCAAATAATCACTCGTTGGCATCGGCCCCATCAACCCCAGCTGCGTTCCGATTCCCCAAGGCTGCAGTCCACCGCGGGCAAACCTTTCCATAAAGACTCCGCATGAGAAAACGGTGTAGTTCATACGATGAGAGCGGGATTGGGACCAGCTTTCCAAAAGGTCCAAAGCGGCGCGGGAGCCGCGATTGTCGAGCGGGTCGACTCCGTTGGCCGGTGGGCGGTGGGAAAGCGGCCCCTCGAACTCGGAGGGGACAAAGCACCGGACGCGGGCGCGGCGGGCAGCGTCGATGAGGTTGAGCTGCTCGTTGTTGGACATGGTGGAGATGAGGAGGTCGACGCCGCGAAGGACGTAGTGCAGTTCTTCGACGTTTTGGAAATCTACCATGGCGAGCTGGCAGGAAGGAATGTTTTCTTCGAATTCGGGATGGGGCTGGATGATTGTTTGTAAAAGGTCAATAACGCACAGTGGCTAAAAGGGAAAACTTACCTGTCGAGTGAGAATGAGAACGGGATGAGCACTCTTGGAGATCTCCTGGGCGAGGATGTAGGCAAAGGAGCCGCCTCCTGCGATAGCGATCCTCATCATGGCAGCAGGCTGTTGAGAGGCTTTCTGGCGCATCGTAGAGTGAGGCATACAGTGAGAGAGTTGGGGTCGATGCCCGACTTGTTGATGATGCTGATATCTGAGATAATGTTCGAGATGGAAGTGGTCATGTTGTTGAACTTATATGGGAACCCGAAGGTGTCGTCGCTTCGTGATGTATCATCGTCTCACACAGAACCGTAAACCCTGACGACAGCAACCCAGAGGCACGGCGTACCCGGAAGGGGCCAGGAGGAGAGTTAGGCAAGCAGAATAACAAAGGGTAGCATCTCAAGCCAACGGCACAGGAGTAGAACCGACAGGTGAAGATCGAAGTCGGCAGCGACAGACCGATGACATCCCACACCGGGTTCCCCCACCAGAACGCCTTTCCTTACGAGGCGGTTTGGCTCCGGCTGGCGGCGTAACTGATCATTTCAAGGATGGCATGACATCGAAACATGTTGACCTACCCAATCCCAAATATGCGGACCAACGGTGCCCATACCGACGACCCCATGTCATCAAATGGAAGGACTGCCGCTTGGCCCTTTTCTGCACGAGATAGCTGCCCGCCGTAATGGGCCACCGCGGAAACCCCACGCTTCGGCAGTTTGAATAACTTGCGGGCTCTTCCGAGAGGCTTCTCGCTTAGCCATACTCTGATCTCACGACTCGGGAGTCGGGGGCAGTCGGGGCAGAATGGGGTCAATAATAGTTCTCCCATGTGAGCACGAGCGGGGCATGGTGATGGAGTCCTGTTCTCAACGTAGAGTTCTTGCAACTTTGCGAGAATATGCAGCGGACCAGAGTTGAAACGCATGGTTATGGCGTCTTTGGTGGGAATCTGATTCGAGGTTCAGGGTTACCCGGACCGTAGATCGCATCATCTCCCGTAGGGCTGTCCCCAGGCCAAGCAACAACCACAATAGAAGTTGGAGTTGGAAGCTGGAGTGTTTGGATAGTTCCTAAGAAAAGACTCGAAAATGTGGCAAGTGAGCCAGATTGACCAATTGTAGAAATCAAAAGACATATTAAAGATGAAGAAGAACCACTGCAAATTGTCACCGTCAGAGTCAAGTGTTGGAAGCCATGGAGTTGAGTGTTATATCTGGGAATAGCAAAGCCACCCTAGGACCAAGCCACATTGATGCTGAAGTACTGGGCTTTGAGGGTTGCGAGATGGTACGAAAAAGGTGGGACAATAGGACTGGCAAGGATGGTGATAGGGCATTGTGGGCGTTAGACGCCGTTGAGAAAGATGATGGAGGGTGAAGTCTTGCTAATACTGGATCGGAGAGGCGCGCTCCTGAGTGGTCTTACTCGAGGCTTAGCAAAGTCCAGGTGCCAAGTTCTCCGAGTCTTGGGTAAATATGAGAGCTGAAAGCAAGGAGTTGAAGGAGGAATACTCGAGTTGTCCAAGGTTACACGCAGGCTTCAAAATACCCTCCAAAGTCTATGTTGTGGGCTTTGAAACCAAGTTGAAAGGAGTCTTCGAGCTGTTACCTTGCGAGGAACACCCGTGCCGTGTGGATACAAGACTGAGACGGACTGATGCGTGATGACTTGCATGTCCCTTCGCATAGTCCCTTGGACTCGGTTCGAACTGCAGGGCTGTGATGTAACGGTGATGGGAATATGGGATTGACGACACCATATTTCGGATAGCGAGACCGAATGACCAGGTCTCCAAAGCAAAACGCCCGAAACAGAGAGTTGGTGATGAGCAATACCAACGGTAACCACATTTGGAAGGACAGGAAAAACACTTCAGCCTAGTTTGGGTCCGGTCAACCAGATTTGTGTCGATGAGTTGGGCGGATTGGGGGCCATGCTTCATCTCCTTGTGTTGGAGGCAGAGCGAGGAGGCTTGGCCGTTGGATCGTCTCCCGGCTTGGTCAATTTCCCACGACTCCAAGGCCAGAAAATAGAAGTGACAAGAAGGAGCGTGGAGTTCAGCTGAGGTGGATGCCGACCAAGCGAGAACTTCGCCGGTATTTCACTTCTCACTACATCGTGTGAGATGCCCGATGCGGGGAGTCAAACAGTTGAGGTTCAGGTCAACAGCGAACGTTCGGCATTGAAGCGGGAGCTAAGCTGCCAAGCAGGCACCCGAAATCTACCCCACTTGCCTGCCGTTGACGGGAAGGAGGCTTGCTGTTGCCTTGTTGCAGTGCCCGCCGCCCCCTGCAACTGCCCGCTCATCCCGTCTCTATCAGCTTATCATCTCGTCCTATCATCCCGGCCCTCTTCTGCTTCGAGGTTTCAACTTCAGTTCTCTTCCTCAAACTTCCTGTTTGGGGCGGACGACGACCTCAAACTTTTGGTGTTACCCCTACAAAAAGTGAATTTTGGAAATATGGATCGCCGCAGGGGAAGTACTCACGCAAGCAATTTAAGTCTCGATCCTGCAGTGAGCTTCAACATAGGCCCGTTTCCGCAACACTGTACACGGCAGCCCGCACATGTCAAAACCATAAGTTGAGGCCTGCTCGAATCGTTTTGATCCAAGTCATCGAGACGAACACCATGTCTCTGGAATGGTGAGTCCAAATGCCATTCCATATTCGCCAAATCATAACTAAAGTTTCGACATCGACATATCAGTAAACATCACGATATCTTCACTTGTGTCAATCATGCTCAAAAATGTTGTTCGGAATAACAGTTTATTATCCGAAACTAAAGTCGTTGCGTGGTCATGAATTCGTCAATAGGTAAAATGGGGGGGTATAATCTTCAATCCATCCTCATCCTCGTCTTCCTTCCTTTCAAGACGGAGTCTTTCCTCGATCATTTAGAGATCAGCGTTCTTCTGCGCCTCAGCCTCCTTCTGGATATCATGTTCCGCACCACGCTGCTGGGCCTTGCCAACATCATGCTGAGTCTGGTATTCGGCCTGCTTCTCGCGGTCGCCGACGAGCGCGGCAGCAGCATTGCCGAGCTGGCCGGTAAAACGATCCTTGGTGCCCTCGCCGAGGTCCTTGACCTGGCCGCGGGCTTCCTGCTCTTGGCCTTCGCGGTTTTGTTGGCGGCCGGCTTGCTTGAGCTCCTGTGATAATTGATTAGCGAGCTGTTTGTGGAAGACGAAAGGGTGAAAGAATGGAAGTAGCAAATAGACATACCTCAGAGCCGACAGCTCCACCGATAAACTCCTTGGCCGCACCGGCGGTCTGCTTCCAAGAACCGGACGCGCGGTCAGGGTGATCGGCGGCGACGGCACCGTCAGAGGTGGCCGTGAAGCCGGGGAGCTTAGCGGTATCGTGCGAGGCCGCGTGCTCGGCGTGAGCCTTTTCCTGCTTCAGTTGACCTTCGGCCTGTAGTCTTGAGTGTTAGTTATGGGAAAGAGGTGAGTGTGAACCGAAGGAATACAAGCGTACCTGATCGCCGCGGTTGCCCATGATATTACCAACGGCGTTCTGGACAGCGCCGGTGGCGGAGTCGATGTAGGACTTGAGGGTGGAGTTGTTCTCGGTAGACATGTTGGGTGGTTGTGGTATGTTTAGGTTTACGTGGCGATGGATCGGTTCAATCGAAGTTGTTGTTGGAGAGTAGTTGTGGTTGATTGTGTGATGGATTGTATCGTGAAAATGGTAATCAAAAAATTGTCTTAAGGGGCAGGATATCTTTTCTTTATATATCCCAAGCTCGACTTGCACAAGGCCCAACACAACCCGCATGAATACAAACAAAAGCAAGATCAGATGACCAGAATAGAGCTTCCCGTCCATGAAAATTCAGGGTCCTACCGAAATCTTGGCCCGGGGTTGGAGGCAATGACGGATTGGAGAGGCCTGAAAATGGCCATGTGAGCCTTGTGTCAGTTCATCACTTCCGAAATGTCTAATCCGTTTCTTACTCTAATTGGTCCAGTCATGGTCTTTCTTGTTTGTTCCAGCTCGTAGCTTCCAGCAACCAAGTCATTGATTGCATGTGGCAGCAATGTCCATTGGATGGCCTTACCATAGTGTGTGTGCCTGTGAAGATGTCGTTTGTAGTCTCACAAAGCACACCAGAAACTATGATGTCATAGGTTAAAGACTGCCAACAGGGGTTCGTTCGTCAGTTCATCCCACCATCCCAAACGAGACTGTGACATCATAAGTCGTCGCAGCCACCAACGAGCCGAGCTAAGCCCCTCAACACCAAGGCAGTTTTTAGATGGAACCCTTGATCCCTTGGTTTCTGAGCACATACACTACTATGTACACTACTATGTACACATTCATTGTCTGGCCTTCGACCTCGGTAGCTGGCCACATTGTATACGCCCTTTGTAGAGTTGTTCAGCAGAACTATCGGGTTGGGGGGTTCAGAACAGCCACAAAATGGACACGATCTACACACATCCAAAGTCAAATGGAAAAAAAGACGTTCGTCAGCCACAGTGCTGGGGAATTATGTGTATCCATTATATGATGAATTGTTCTACTGACACCTCCGAGCGCCGCCTCCCAGCCCTATGGTATCATTCTCTTGCTCATCAAAACAAAGGTCATCCGCAAATATCGCTTACATACATGATAGTATACAATGGGTCATGTTTTGCCCCTTGCTTCCGTCCTTGCGGGAGCCTCGACAATTCGTAAAGTTGGCCGTATAAACAACCCGAGCGGCCTGTAGTGTTTGTGAAAAGGCAGCGCAGCGGGAGATATAAAAATGCAATAGAAACTCCGCCCAGTTTATAAACCGTGTTAAAATACCGCACATCAACCACATCATGTCACCTCTCAGTGCTGACTCCACTGGATCGTGTTCAGGTCGATACCCTCCTGGACGAGCTCCCACAGAGGAGAAAGCTCACGGAGAAAGCCCACACGCTCCGTTACGGCCTTGAGCACGTAGTCGATCTCCTGCTCGGTAGTGAACCGGCCGATACCGAAACGGATACTGGAGTGGGCGCTCTCATCACTGTTACCCAAAGCACGGAGAACGTAACTAGGCTCCAGAGAAGCCGAAGTGCAAGCACTGCCAGAAGAAAGTGCAATATCCTTCAAGGCCATCAAGAGGGACTCACCCTCGACATAGGCGAAAGAAACGTTCACGCAGCCGGGGTAGAAGTGGTTGGCATCACCGTTCTGGCTAGTGTGCTCCATGGAGAGCAGACCGTTAAGAAGACGGTCGGAAAGGTGCTTGATACGCTTGGAGTCGTACTGTTGTAACAGTTAGCGCCCATCCTTGAACGAGACGATGCATTAAATGTGGGATATGAAAGAATCATGATCAGAGAAGTTGCTGTCTATCAACAAGGAGTCCTTGTCACGGGACTTCAGAAAGCCATGCATGTGTAAAGCGACTCATCATATAAGGGGCAAAGGAAGAAAAAGAAAGAGACTGCAACATACCGGCATTTCTTCCTTGGCGATGCGGCACGCCTCTCCGAAGCCGACAACGAGCGGAGGAGCCAGCGTGCCGCTGCGAAGACCTCTCTCCTGACCACCACCGCTGATGATGGGGTCCAGTCTGACTCTTGGCCGACGACGGACGTAGCATGCACCAATGCCCTTGGGGCCGTAAATCTTGTGGGAGGAAATGGACATCAAGTCAATGTTCATGGCGTTAACGTCAACGGGGATCTTGCCAACAGCCTGGGCAGCGTCGGTGTGGAAAAAGATCTTCTTGGACCGGCAAAGCTTGCCGATTTCCTCGAGGGGTTGGATGACACCAATCTCGTTGTTGACAGCCATGATACTGACGATGGCGGTGTCGGGACGGATGGCAGCCTCCAGCTCCGCCATGTCGATCAGGCCGCTGCTCTTCACTGGGAGATAGGTCACTTCGAAACCCTCGTCCTGGAGATGCCTGCAGCTGTCGAGGACACACTTGTGTTCTGTCTGGCTGGTGATGATGTGCTTCTTCTTGCCGGACCGGCCAAAGAACCTGGCGACGCCCTTGATGCTCATGTTGTTGCTTTCGGTGGCACCGCTGGTGAAGATGATTTCCTTGGGGTCAGCGCCAATCAGATCAGCAATGTGTTTCCTCGCCTCTTCAACGGCCTTGTCTGTCTCCCAGCCGTAGGCATGTGTCCTCGAGTGGGGGTTGCCATAGACGTTGGTGAAGTAGGGCATCATGGCATCGAGCACTCTGGGGTCGATGGGGGTTGTGGCCTGCATGTCCAGGTAGATGGGACGCTGTCCCTCGTCCATCACGGTAGCATTGCTGAGAACATCTAGTCGAGTCAGCAACGATGATGACTGCGCAATATGTCTCCGAAGAGGTGGGTGGTGATAGTGATGCTTACCAGCCATGGGGCTGACGTGTTGGCTCGAGCCATTTTGCGCGCTGATGGCGAGGCCCTGCTTCTCCATCTCCCTGTGATCCAGCTTGATAGCATGCTCGGCCTGCACGTCGGCGTTGTTCCTCTTGGTCTCGGTCACATAGCTCCTGGAAGCAGAAGCAGTCTTGACAGCAGCCGCAGTGGTCGCCCGCGACAGCACACGCGCGCTGCGGAGAGGAGCGGCCGCGGCCAAGCGCGATGCCTGTCGCAAGACGGACGGCGCAATGGTGGACATGGTAAAAAGAAGAAGAAAAAAGGAGAGGAAAAGAGAATATGGTGGTGAGGATGATGGCGGAGGAGAGGGAAAAAGTTCGTTTTGTAACCAAACCTACAAAAAGATGGAGGCAGCGGGCGGGGCGGCTCAAAACACAGAAATTCAGATGGAGCTGCCGCCTCCCGCTCTTCGGCAGTCGGAGTGGACTTTCCGCCATACAGAAAAGAACAAATCGAAACAAACGGCATCCGCACGCGGACTTGGCCTCGGAGGGGTCGGTGATAAAAGAATGTGCCAATGAGGGGCGATAACTAACAAGGTTTGGCACTTTGATTGGTGATCCTGCCATCAAATGGCCCCACCTGTTTCTTTCTCGGACAAGCGCGTATGTATGTACGTAACGGCGAAAATGACGCTGCTCCAAAATGTCAGAGAACGGGCCGGGCATGACGGAACGAAACTGAATGCAATGCTCGATGTGCAGATGGATCTTGACAAATACAGTGTGAAATATCCACTTGTGAACGGACTCCGCGGACGCATCTGATCCATCAGTGCACAGAGAGGAAGTGCACTGACCAGGCATTTGTTCTCTCAATCGGCATGTCCACTGGGATGAAAGCTACACTACAGCGGGCCCCAGACCCAGGGCAGTCGGTCTACCCCGTCGTTCCAATTCGTTCTTTTCCGGGGTCTCATCGGCCAAAAGCAGAACAACCGATGACGGTATTTACCTCCTCGGTACCTATTCTGTTTCCATTCGCATTGGATGTCTGCGTTGGACTATAACTTGAACCATCAGTGACATGCCATATACCCGCCGACAACCTACTTGAATTCCATTTACACTGCTAAACTATTTAGTAGCATCTTACCTCTAGGACAGCTAGCTACTTTACCTCTCACCGTTGAAGAACGAATCCTCCCCTAGAAAGTTTGTCGGACCTGGAACGGAACTGCTGACAAGGGTCCGACCGACGGGATTCAAGAACAAACCGAAATCACAAGACGCCTAGACAAAAAGACTTCTTACACTACATCTTGGAACGAGGTCACTGTGTGCGGCGTGCCCAACATTCATCAAATAGCAGCGCCACGCAAACCGTCGCAAGCTTCGCTCAGCCAAGACTTCGTCCACCAGCCAAACAACCTGCACCGCCCCCCTGCCCACCCCCAGCGTCATCACCATCGTATCCGGATCCGACTTGAAGAGGGCAGTCAGGTGCAACTCGACCACCGATTGCCTTCAACCTCTTCGAACAGCAACCCGCTTTGCGCATCTCCATACAACCATCGAATACACATCAGACATCATACGGCTTCGTAGCAGAATATGAGCTTCAGGGGCTTCCAAAAAAGCGTGGTCCGCGTAGGTTCTGCCCCGCATACCTATTTGATCTCACCTCCCCTAGTTTCGGTTACAGCGTCATCATCACTTCCGCCCTTCCCGTCGAGTCCTCCGTCTATGGCAGAAATAGCGCCGAATCACTCGGGTTGGGCACTAACACGACAGAAACTAGGCACCACAACAATTCAAGCAAAAGTTTAACCTCGGCGAGCATACCAAAGACCCTGTCTACATCGACTCGGAGCGCAGATTCCAGGAGCTCGAAACCGAGACCAAACGCCTTCACGATGAAAGCAAAAAGTACTTTGAGGCCATCAATGGCATGCTGCAACACCAAATCGAGTTCTCAAAGGCAATGACCGAAATCTACAAGCCCATCAGCGGCCGCATGTCCGATCCCGATTCGCTCGTTCCCCATGGAAACTATGAGGGTATTGCCGCCTGCGAGGAGTACGAGGCCGTTGTCAAGGACCTGCAGGAAACACTGGCGCCAGAGTTGGAAATGATCGAGGCTAGGGTTATTCGGCCAGCGAATGAGCTCCTCGATGTGATCAAGGTCATTCGCAAAACGGCCGTGAAGCGCGAGCACAAGAAGCTGGACTACGACAGACACCGCGCCACCCTCAAGAAGCTCCAGGATAAGAAAGACCGGTCGGCAAAGGACGAGAAGGCCATGTGGAAGGCTGAGAACGAAGTTGAGCAGGCCACGCAAGAGTACAACTACTTCAACGATCTGCTTAAGGACGAGCTACCCAAGCTGTTTGCCCTCGAACGCCAGTTCATTCAGCCGCTTTTCCAGTCCTTCTACTACATGCAGCTCAACATCTTCTACACCCTGCACGAGAAGATGCAGCACTGCGACATTGGCTACTTTGACCTGACCCTGGACATTGAGGAGGCCTTTTACGCGAAGCGTGGTGACGTCCAGGAGCGGGCTGAGGCTCTCTCCATTGTCAAGTTCAAGACCACGGGTATGAAGCGACCGCCCAAGTACCAACGTCCAGGTGCTCTCGAAGGAAACAAGCCAGCAGGTCTACTTACAGCTGGCTCCTCCACGACCACTTCCACCGGTCCGCCTGAGGCTGCTCCCTCAGTCACAGCCCCACGGCCCTGGGAACAGCAACAAGCAGCTCCTGCCGTCACAGCACCGCGACCTTGGGAAACCCAGGCGGAAACAGTAGAAGCGCATGCGCCGCCACCGTATTCGGTGAAGCCGAGCACGCTACATGCCACGCCCGCCTCTTATGCCGCTCCAGTTGCCAGCCCGAAACCCTCGTCGTTGTCCATGGCGGCGGCTGCAAAGGCCAAGCCCCCACCGCCGAAGCCCAAGCCCAAGGCCCTCATGGCGGCGGCACCCAAAGTAGAGACCGTCACAGCGCTTTACGACTACTCGGCGCAGGCGGAGGGCGATCTGAGCTTCCGTGCCGGTGATGTGATTGAGATAGTAACGAGGACTGCGAACGAGAATGAGTGGTGGATTGGAAAGTTGCATGGAAAGCAGGGTCAATTCCCAGGTACGTACTGTACTTTTTCTTAGGGTGCTTTTTTTGTTGCGAGCTGCACATGTTCTGACATAACGGTCTTTTGCTAGGAAACTATGTCCAGTTAAACGGCTAGAGGATACAAGGCAACTTGTAAATGTAGTTATCAAAGAGTCGCTTTCAGCACGCTTCACTTCTCAGCATGACTTCAACCTATACCCCTTTTTGTGGACCCGTTCATGGTCAGGAGTTATTTGCAACCACAACACGGATTCTTTCTAGTTCGTCTGCATCGTACCACGCCGTGAAGTCCTGTCGCAGGGCCTTGATGATCCTATACGGATGTAATCATATGCGGCAAGTGACTCTGTTGGGAATAGTCAGGCAGGAGAAAACTCCGTCGTGAAGGAGGACAATGCGAGGAGCAAGGAGCGAGGGGATCTTGGGTGTTTGCGTCTAGGGAAATGGCGGGTGTATTGTTTTGAAGCGAAGGAAGCACCGGAGTGAAAAGGTCACAGTGCATTGGGTCACACCTGGAAGTTTGGATTAGATGCGTTTTGCCATGATCGCCGTCGTGGTTTGTTCCCTTTAGGTTAGGTACTTGCCCGCGCATCCAGCTTCCTTAGGTGAAGCTAATTTCTAATCTTGTTAACGCAACGACCACGCAGCTCAGCTTGAATCCAGTGTCACCAACGACCGCTTGCCTTGTCAAGAACACCTGGCTTGGCTTCACCTCCTGGCTCGACTCCAAGGATTCAGGTCTTTTGGGAGGCAAGAAGATGTGTATCATCTCTGCTACTCATCTACAGGTAGGTATCACTGAAAGCCATGGCAAGTGTACTGGAGGGTCCTTTTTGGAAATACCGATGTTGAACGACGGCCTCCAGCTAAGATGCAATGCTTCGGTGGATAGCGAGGTCCTCCGCTTTAGCTTCAAGTGAGAGACATGCACCTGCCTCGCTGTATAAGTATAAGGCTAACAGAAGTTTCCAATGATGCGCCAAGCAACCCAGCTGTATGCTCCTCCCTCCAATTCTCCATGAGTCCCTCCGTGACTGTGAAGCGAGACAGGAAGTGACAATCTCCGGTATGCCGGGCAGACCCAGATCTATGGGCTTTTAATCCCCCTCTTCTCACTTGCACACAAACTCTTCTTCCTCTTCTCACAACCACCACCACTACCACCAAGCGTAGCGTAACTCGCAGACTCCAGGCAATCTTTTGACCGCCATTTTTTGGGTATCGTCTCTCTATTTGTCTTGCGGTTCGCAGTATTATGTCATCTCTTCTCCTTTGGCCTCTTTCACCGTGTTGATACACTTCAAGCGTTTTTTTTGGAACGAAGGAAATCTTGCACTAAAAGAAAGAAAACACCCCCGGATACCAATCCCCTTCCGCAGGTTCACTCTCGACAGCCTATCCGAATCAGTCCCATCAATTTGCGTTGGATTTGCCTGGCCTTTTCTGTCGCCGACTCTTCTCTCAATCGTCCCCGCGGAACAGACGGGCCCATTCACATCCGAGTCCGTTAACATTGATCAACGAATACACAGATTTGGCTTAAAGACAAACACCGGGTTTGTCTTTCCAGTCCACGACACCAACGTGATACTGCTGCTCTCCTGGTCTTGGCCGTGAGTTTTTTTTTTCTTTTTCTAGTTTCTTCACAAAGTATCAACGTGATGACTCCGAGCTCGATCTCCATTGCGTGAACACTTCATGAGCATGCAATTGACTAACACATCTCAGACCAGGAAGAACTCTCTAGGCCCCTGAAGAACCGAAAACACCCACATCAAGCGACATCCGTGGAACGTCAGTCAGACAATATGGCTGCCGTAACCAATCACATTGCCAGTAGCAGGAACTTTAGCCGCTCTAGAGTCCCTGCGTTGAAAGTCAAGACTACTGTGGGGGATCCAGTCGGTTTTGATGGAAAAGGAAAAGCACTTGCATCCGATGACTGGCGCAAGTATGCGTCTGCCCCTGGAATGTCCAACAAGGGGAACCTCCGTAAAAAGATTGCTCAACGGTCGAGCGCTACAGAGCACTCCATGGAAATGCCTCGCGAACCTGGGTTCTACCGCCCGAACGACGGCCAAACTGCTTAGGAAGTGGTTTCATCAGCACCAGGAGATCGCTCAGTCTCAAACCAATCAAGGGTGCACTCTACAGGCACTTCTGAACATTCACTTGACTCGGCTCAGAAACCAATAGTGGTTTGTATTGAAGACATGAAGCCAATGCTCATGAACGTCAACGGCGAAAACATACCATTACCTAACCGATTCACTTTTGACATCCGCCCTAGGTGCTTCAAAAGCGACAACTCCAATGATTCATCCAGCTCCCCTACCTTTGGAGAACTCAAACGCGTCCTAGATCCCAGAATCCTCAGCGGCAAAATTTCCTCCGACTGGTTGACTATCAACCGCGAGCTCCCGGACGATATCCAGGCTTTGCTAAACACTATTCGGGAACTCCCCACATCAGATGCCCCTTCTAGAAAGCCCGAGAATTGCCCATACGATGCGTCCCTGTCTAGCAATAGACCCCAGGATCTCAAAGACAGTACGGGCGCGTCTGAACGTTCGGAAACAAAGCCTCGAGATGACGAGGAGGAACGCTTTCGCAACATGATCAACCGTCTCCAAAAGCGCCTGCCAACTCCATCCTTGGTAAAGCCCAGGGTACCAAGCACCAAGTTACAACCTGCTGATCCCGCCATTTTGTCTGCCAAACTGAAGGATGGTGCAGTGTTCGAAAATACCCAACTGAACCAAGTCACCGAGCCGCACCCTGAAAGGAAGGGCAAATTCAGCGACTCTGGGTACGCCAGCGGTAGTAACCCATCGTGCATCGTACATTACTCAACGTCGGAGAGCTCTAGGGATTTCCAAGACGATCCCGCTGCGGCCACCAAAAGAAGTTTGGAGGCCCAAAGCGCAACCAAGAAACTAAACCCTGCAGCAGCTGAGTTCAGAATTTCGACTGATAGTGTACATCTGCCAGTGCTCTCTCCCAAGAAGCTATCTCGTGGCCCACTTACATCGCTTCTTTTCAACCCAACTCCTGATGTGGCTGTGGCCGGGGCTCTCCCCTCGTTGGATAGGCTACAAACTGCTCAGACGAGGCAGGACATAGGCATTGCAGTTGATATGTTGCAGGTTCAACAGCCAAGTCCGGTCAAGTCTGGTATGAAGGCCAAACAACGAAAAGCCTCTCAGGTTTCGCCCACCCAGCAACCTTGCCTTCCTCCTATCCAACATTTTTATAATCCCGCTCTGTCCGATGTCAATTCCATGGCTCTTACCCATCCCAGCTTGAGCTTACAGCCACAGAAACCCAATGCAGCTCTGTCATTCTCCCCTACTCCATGGATTGGAGGACCAGGGTTGGGCAACTTTGGGACATTTCCACCACTTACCGCCCCATCGATGGCAGTTCCACAGTTCAACATGCAATCTCCGGATATGGCAGCAACTTTGGGGACTGGAACTTTCCTACCTTCAATGCGGCCGCCCATTCCACCCTTTGCGTCGGCTCCTATCAGCGGCTTAGGATCGATGTACCCTCAGGCCGCAGTGCCAGCAATGCCGCCAGTACAACCGTCGATTCCACTGACAGGCGCAGGTCAACAAGCTCAGCCAGGATCTAAGGTTGACCGCCCTTATTTTCCCGTCACAACGAAGCCTCGGGTTCCGGATCCGATCAAGCAACAACAGTACGAGGAGTATTTGGAATGGCGCAAGGCCAATGAGCCCGGATACCACATCAAGTGCAAGATCCGACAGGCGAATCGCGTGGTGCGTCAGCATCAATACCAAGCCGAGGCTCCCAAGCTTGAGGAACCGGGCATCTCGCTTGCATGGAAAGCGATTGCTGAAAAGGCCAAGGCTGTGGTGGGAGCGGCTGAAGCTCGCCGTGCGGCGGAGAAGAAGTCGAAGCAGAACTCGGTGGTGGAAGAGTTCAAAGCCAAGATCATCGAGAGGGTCATGGGGAGCTCTGAGACGAAGGATGACAAGGAGGACTCTGAAAAGAAGATGGAAGACGAACAGGCGGTTGAGAAAGAAGCCGAAAAAGCGACAGAGGACAAGGTAATGGCTGAGAAAATAACTGAGAAGACGACTGACAAGACAGCTGAGAAAACGGAAGAGGTTAAGGAAGGAGTGAAGGTATGATGTGGAAGAAAGCACATATTGGTATTGGGAGCGAGTGGGGATAAACAAAATTGCTGCGGTTCTTAATTCCTCTCATATGTATACCATGGAGAAGAAGAGACTGAGGATCTCTTCTCTCATGCTGACATTCTTACTGGCGTCGGATTTAGGGACTTGTCATCACAGTTTATGGTTATCAAGACGATGCGGAGCATCGATTTATAGGTTAACCTCGCTATAGTTATGGTCGGCGGTTGTTATTGAGCTAAAGGTGTCTGGGGAGATTCTGTGATACATGCGGGTATGGTTATGATTGAAAGACCATCATATTGGTGTTGGTCGTTTTGCGCAAGCTTTGCCTTTTTTCGTCTTTGGGTTTGTTCTGCGAAAGACTGTCGATTATCGTCATCGATATTGCCGTTACCTTTTCTTCTAGATGATCATTGTGATAGACATATGAATCAAGAAGATTGGTACGCATCCACTTGTCATGGAACTGATCAGATGTCGGAATATCGAGTGCATTAATGGACTCTGTTGGAAAGAGAGCAGATATATCAACCACTGTATGTCTTAAGAATGTTAATATTATACATTGCCGGCTATCATCTTAGAGTAACCTTCAACATGTTGGAAGACTGGAATTACCAACCTTTTCCCTTTCTCTCACCAACCTCGTTGATTTTCAATATATAGCAGCTCAGACAAGTCCGGTTCAGGTGTACATATGAAACGTCGAGTTATACAGCATGTTTTAATGCGCCCGACATCATTCCATGATATTCATTGGCGAAAGAGTTGGCGCCTCTTTCCCGTTGCGCCGTGTCCCTCCCCCATCCTTCCATCCTCCGCGCGGACGGAATGCTACCGATCGGGGGGGCTACACGACGCACAAAAGTCCACAAAGGGTTCAGGCTTGTTGGATCTAACTTGTTCAATTCAAGATGATAGGCGGTTTGTATCCTGGTCATACACTGCAAAGATTGACGACATGACAAAGGTTGAGAAGAAGGGCATGACGAAGGTTAAGAAGAAAGGGATGACGAAGGTTAAGAGAAAGGGCATGACGAAGATTCCAGGAAAAAAAAGGCATGAGGGTAGAGGAGACGGGACCGAGGGTAGAAGAAAGGGAAATGGAATTTGGGAGGAGTATGTACACCTCTGTAGAGGTAGATATGATATGTTACTAGCTTGGTACGTTAGACTTACAAGAAACAGGGGTTAGATAGGTTCTATACTAACTATTTTCTGTGTGGGAGAAAGTTACGGTTCTCTGCTACTTTCAAAACAGCACGGTACTTGACAAGTTATATTGGTGGGGAGGTGTATGAAAATATGGCTACGGTGGTTAGAAAACAAAAAAAGTTTACTGTGATTATGGTGGAATATCATTCATCAGGAGATCGACAAGGAACTAACACTAACTGATGATAGTATCGATCATGGTGTTGAGCGACCGGTGTAATTCTGACGGAAGAGCCCATCCATGTATTGAAGGAGAGACGGAGACGACGACGACGACGACTCATCGACGACGACATCGAAGTCCTGAAACGCGGCAGCGCGGTAATGAGCAAGCAAGCAGCCACACTTGATGAGCTGAAGTGTACGTACACCTACTTAACACAAGTACGATGTACAGTACCGGACGTGGGCAGTGTCCGGATTCCCGATACGATACGCGGATGGCTCGGGGTGGCGTGGACGTTGCCTGTGTAAGTAGTGTATCATTCAGGTTGTTCGTTTCCGTGAAATCGGAGCACCACGTATTCTAACTGGCTAGTACTGCGTACATAATACTAGCAGCGTTTTTGGTTACTTGGAAGAAGGGATGGCGGAGGAGGCTGCTTGGTTTCTCTGGAAGTATCTTTGGGGTTGGCGTGGCACTGCGGCAGCTGTTGTGAAGGTTGTAGTAGCGAGTGCAGGGTCACGCAAAACGAGGTGAGTTGAATGTGAGAGTAGTAAATCCAGAATGTTGTTTTTGGTTCTTCGACGGGGATCGATGTTTCCATCATGATTTTGAGGGACGGCGATGATGATGGACGAAACTAACAAAGAAGACAACTTGGGTATGGAGGGGTAAATCCCGATCATCAAACTAACTGAAAACGGACCAATCAGTCCCCAACAAGCCGTAGTCAAAGGGTTCAGTTATGAAGGGTTCAAGACAGAAATCGGAAGAAGGACCCCAAGCTCGCACATCATGCCCCTCTACTACACTAGGTGATATCGTCATCGGCCGGGGTCGCCCCACCCTGACGATGATGCTTCGCATTGCTTGGCGCTCTTTTCCCCATGTCATTCCCATGACAATTGCCGTCCCTCGAGTGCCCCTCCATCGATCGGCTTGCTCTTAGTCGCAGTGACAGTCGATGTCAAGACGCTTTCTCTGACGGATATGACGGGATGTACAATGTCGTGCGTCAGTTGGTGGGCAGAGAAACAGGTGCTTTGTGTATGAGGTACAATGGTCAAAGTTGAATGGCACGGCACTCCCTCACTGCTATGCAATACCGTAATCCAACACTCCCCGATAAAACCGGTTGACCACCCATCAGCTTCTTTCCTGACTATTCCTCACCTTGTGCAATCAAACCTTTTCGCGACTTGTGTATCCAAAAGGGTATTAGAGACATCTTCCACTGCTCGTGTACATTACAACATTCGAGACACCTCACCGGGGCATCAACCTCCAACTTATACAACCAACTTATTGCAAACGCCACAACTCCTCTGCTGCTCGGACATATCATTTGTGATATCTGGCTGAGCTCTGCCAAACTCTCCCAACCTTCCTTCCTACAACCCGTAAACAACAACAAACACCCATAAAGCACAAACCAACAATAACCGCCAAAATGGAAGTAATACCCCTCATCCTCCGCTTCATCCAGCTCATCTTCCTCATCATCCTCACCGGCCTCATCGGCAACGTCATCGCCCTCGATGTCGACGCCTCCACCACCGCCCGCGCCGCCATCAACTTCACCATGTTCGTCATCGCGCTCTCGTGGGTAGTCGCTCTCTTCGGCCTAGTCGCCGCCCTTTTCCAGAGCGTCGCCATTCCGCTAGTCATGCTCATTTTCGACGCCGCCGCCACGCTCTTCACCGTCGTTGCCGGCATCGTGCTGGCTGCCAAATTGGGTACTCCGAACTGTGGAAATCTCGCGAATGATTCTTATGGACATAAGTGGATCGCGTACGGGAGTGCCGATGATGCGAAGAGGTGCAGAGAGATTCAGGCGGGAACGGTGTTTATGTGGTTGCTTCTTGCGGCGTTTTCGGCGGCGTTGACGTTGGCGATTATGAGCTGGAGGAGGACGGGCGGAAGCGTGAGGAGCGGGCCGACCATGTCACAGGTGGTCGTCTAAGGCGGTCGGGGAGATGGAGTGGTGGTGGTGGTTGGAAACCTTGAGAAAGTGCTCGAGAAGAGTGTTGAAGAAAGCTGGAGAGCCTGGATAGTTTTGGTGGTGTGCTTGGATGGTATGAATAGGGCCATGACAGCAAGGATGAGTTATGGTGACGGATGGCTATTCGCTTCATCATGGGTGTGCGGTGTCGCAACCCCTCGACAATTATACCTAGATCAGTGTAATGACATGGTGATGCCTTGGGTTAATATGGCGAACGAGGAAAGGAAGATCAGAACCTGCATGTTATATAGTATCAGTCGAACCTAAAGTCAGCAATAGTAATTGGTATAATTGGCATTGTCTGATGATCAGTATCCGCAGAGCTTCAACGCTTGCTTCCACAAGTATAATGACAGTCCACATGCATTCTACACATGTCTGTGATTCTTCACCACCAACGCAAACTGTGCAAGAACGAAACATACCCCTTTATGCTAGTGTTCCCATACCGTAACGCCAAAAGAGCACTATGTCCACCCCTGGTATCCCAGATTATACCGAAAAACGTATGGTATCGAGAATTGTGCTGCCGTCGCCTTTGACTCGAGTACCTCATTACCACGGTCGCCTATCTGCCTCCCTCATACTGATACTGGCGTAGCAGCTCCTATCCAACCGGCAATGTTGAATAGCGTCTTGTTATACCATTGGACCTTGACCCCGTGCGCCCACTCCATGTACCGTCCCCAACCTGCCGGGCCATGTTAGCAACTGACTTTCCGCATCGCCGTTATTGTCTCCTCCCACAGTGCAAGCTGTCTTTCCCAAAAAAAATCTGGTTTGGTTTGTCTTACTCCAATAAGCAAACTTGCGCCCCAAAAACTTGCCCGCGAACGGTATTAGCACCAAGTTCAAGAGAAGCTGCAGCTGCTCGAGACTCTGTTCCCATTCCTTTTGTGCGTCTGATTCGTCGTCGTACTCGGAGTCGTCAGAGTCTAGGATACTGCTAGAGATGGACGGGAGGGAGTCGACATCATCGTTGTCGGTTGACGGGGAGTGGTCGTGGAGGACGTAAGAATCGGAGGGGGTGGACATGGTTTTGGATGTCCCGAATGCGGAATTTGTCTATCTGAGGGTATCGCGTCTCTGGTCGGGTCGGAGTAGGTCGCTATCGTCAGTGCGGTTTGGATGAGGCGAGCAAGTGGTCGGCGCCGGCGCACGGTCGGTTGTCGCGGTGAAGATGGTAGTAAGTAGCTATCGTAGCTCCGACAAGTTGCGATAGTTCGGAATGGAGACACTGTACGAATCGGCGTAACGCCTGGCGTGTAGGATATTGTGGGAATCGCGTGGGACGAGCTTGATTGCTGCTGGGAGATTCGTTGTCGGTTCCGAACACAGCGATACACGGAGATGGATTACCTCTACGGACTCGGCCCGCCTTCCAAGGTTCGTGATGGAGCTGGTTGTTGTCGGTGACCGATGACGGGCCACGGCACCAACTGCAGCAGTGCAGCTATGCTGGACTGGACACCACTCATGGCTGCCGCCAAGCACCGCGGCGACTCGGACTGCAAGTGACAGTGCCAACCCAACGGTGTCGGACTGTGCGGCCCGCGGCTCGAGCGGGTTAAAGGCACCGTGCTGCTGCGAGGGCTGCATGGCCTGGAAAATGAGAAGCAGAGGCGATTTGTAGTTGCAAGTGGCGGACAGCTGTCTGAGCTCTTTTTACCCCACTTGTCAGGTGATTGAGAAGACTGACTCACAGTTTCGCTTCAATCAACGTCATGAGGTGAACACAGCTGAGGTGTGGTGCCGGTGCCCCATCCAGAGCCGTGTGTACAGAAAGAACTCCGCTCAGTCTCCAGCCCAACGACAGAACTAAACGACAGCAGCCTTGAGCCTACGCTACCTGACCAGGACCCAAGCATCAACTAGGTCCCCGCAAAGCACAATTCCAGGTCCGAAACTGAAAGAACCAAAGCAGGTGAGATCAGTCTGCCCGCATCGATACCTCTCCCGACCCCAAAGTCTACCTAATCTCATCCATCGACAAAATCCACTCTTCGCGACCATCAAAGAGTCCACCGGAAGAGACATCGATTACAAAGAAAAAGACGGACAATCACACACAGACAGACACCACCACACTCTCAAACACACAAGTGGCCCAGCATGGATTCTGAAGTAAGTACCTGGGATGGATCTCCTTGCTTCAGTACACACTCACTACCTCTACGCCCACACAACACACCCTCCGTCCTCCCCGACCCTACCACTACGCTAGAGGCAGACACCTCGAGCCCTGGGCGAGCCACGCTTCTCGGCTAGTCAAAAATAATGGAATAAAAGTCCCATTGACCACCACACTGCACCCCCCTCACTGTACTTGACTACGCAGTACACTACAATTATACCTATCCCCGGCCCCAGCCCTCAAGTCCCCTGACGTGTACTGCCCCTCCGAGGCGCCAACCCTCTCCCTCCACCCCCAGCCCAAAATCCACCATAAAGTTCTGGCACTCTGCAGCGCGAAAACGCCGCCAATCATCCCAAAAAATTCCGAGCTTTCCTATCCACACTCGACGGCGAAATCCTTGACCGCTATCGCGACTCCCACGACAAGCGCCTTATCCACTCCGATATACTAACCCTTTAGGCGCCCTCTATCAAAAGACGCCCCTCGCGCAAGTCTGTCACCTTTACCGACGAGAAGCTAGTTGTCAACCCCGACGGTTCTGTCACCATGGACGCCTCTCCCGCCGACGAAATCAAGGAGACTGCCCAGTCCCACTCTGCTCGTACGCCGCCCCTCCACGCCGCTCTCGGGGCCTTTACTGATGCCCCCCAAGCCACCGAGCCCCAGGATGCTGCTGCTGCTGCCGCCCCCGCTGCCGATGATGGCCTCGACCTTTCGCTCATGAAGAAGAAGAAGAAGAAGGTCAAGAAGGAGGACGATGCCGACACCGCTGCTGATGAGGCCGCCCCTGCCGAGGGCGACGGTGCTATCGACCTCACCATGAAGAAAAAGAAGAAGAAGAAGATCGTCAAGGAGGATGATGAGTTCGCCAAGAAGCTTGAGGCTCTCAACATCGAGGGCAAGGAGGGCGAGGAGGCCGCCCCCCAGGAGGACGAGCAGGAGGGCGATATGGACCAGGGCACCGGCATTTGGGCCCACGACGAGACCAAGCCCATCAGCTACAACGCTCTTCTGTCCCGTTTCTTCGCCCTTCTCTCGCAAAAGAACCCCGACCACGCCTCTACCGGTACACGGTCGTATAAGATCCCGCCCCCGCAGTGTCTCCGTGAAGGCAACAAGAAGACCATCTTCGCCAACCTTCCCGAGATTTGCAAGCGCATGAAGAGAGCCGACGAGCACGTTACTTCTTACCTTTTCGCCGAATTGGGTACCAGCGGTTCCGTCGACGGCAGCAGGCGTCTGGTCATCAAGGGTCGTTTCCAGCAGAAGCAGATCGAGAACGTTCTGCGTACCTACATTATCGGTATGTCTTTTTGATCATGTTGTCATTTGGACGTTTTGCGCCCAAGTAGACAATGTCGCCACCAGCACCCAACGTTTTGCTCTGATTACAAATGCTAACATGCTCAACAGAGTACGTTACCTGCAAGACGTGCCGTTCCCCCAACACCGAGCTCTCCAAGGGCGAGAACCGTCTTTAGTAAGTGTTGGCCTCTGTTTTACGACGACCATAGCCCCAAAATGCTGACACGTCACAGTTTCATTACCTGCAACTCTTGCGGTTCCAGGCGGTCCGTCCAGGCCATCAAGACCGGTTTCTCTGCCCAGGTCGGCAAGAGAAAGAAGATGCAGGGTTAAGCGGTTTTTGTTTTCTTGTTTCGAGGCCCTTGCAGTTTGCTTTTCAATGTTTTCACGCTTCAAGGACGGAGTTAAGACGGCATTGTATATGGCTGGTTGGGCACGGGTCTTTTACGAAGTAGCACGGCCCCTCTGAACGGCAAATTCTCATCTCCAGTACGAAAGAGAGAGAGAATGGAAGAGAGAGTCTGTGCTACAAAATCAGGTGAATTCCTTACGCGGTAGGGTACGGGTTAATATGACGATACTTGATGAAGAATTGGTACACAAAAAAGTTCTGGTTTTTGATGATGGTGGCACACTTATCCTTACTTTGCATAGGGGGTTTTATAAAGAGGAGGGCCTTCCCCTTTTTCTGAGTATGTCTGATTTATATGAATATGGGCTGCGAGGTTGTATCTAGACTGATGTGGGATTCAGAAGTTCTCAGGTCATTCATGACCATGGTCAGCAAGCTAGACTGGGAGAGGAAGGAGGAGGCTGACTGAGCGCAGGATTACGAAGCGATGGATTTTGAGATCTTGCAAACAGGAATTATTCTCTGTTCTTTGCAGTATGTATAACCATTCAGCCTACCTTTATAAACTACATTATGTTATCGGAACTCAAAATGGCAGTTGAACAAAATGATAAACCTTGATACTCCGCGATTGGTGAGAAAAAGCGGCCGCTTGGGGTTCGAAATCTCACCTTGACGCGTATACATTGCGTATACACTACGTTCCGATGTTTTGGCGATCGATCCATGATATGCCGAGCACATGCATGATAGTTAGCTTCGGGAGAATCTTTCCCCTCCACATTTTGCATCAACAAACCCATATAAGACGATGGGCCGCAGGCAACAACTCAACGGCTCAACCTCGTCTGTCTGTTCGATAGATTAGTCAACACTCTTCAAGTCAACGCGCAACGTGACTCATGAATACTTTACCTGCTCGATTCCACTCATCACTCAAGTTTTCCCCTCCATCAATCACAACCACCTGGTACAAGCAAAAATGACCATCCGCGAAACCGGCCCCAGAGGAGCCGATCACCACATCCCCGACCCTTCTTCCCACCACCACAGCGACCTCGACCGAGCCGCCCAACAGACCCAACAAGAAGCGAACACGAACACAACCAGCAGCAGCAACATCAACCCTGGTCCCTCCTCTTCAGGCCAGGCCGGACTTCCCTCCACCAATCCCAGCGCCTCCTACTGGCTCCAACCCAGCGATGTTTCTCAAAAGTTTGGGGATTATCGGTCTACACCTGATTTGCCGCAGTCGGCGGATACGGTGATTGTCGGGTCGGGGATTACCGGGGCGTTTGCGGCTTGGTTTCTGTTGGAGCAGACGGGGGGAGCAAAGGTTGTTGTTAGGTCTGGGGTTGGAGCTGGAGCTGGGAAAGAAGAAAACAGCAACGGAGGAGGCATCCTAATGCTCGAAGCGCGCCGACAACCCTGCTCTGGCGCCACCGGCCGCAACGGCGGACACTGCCAGCCTTTTGTCTACTCGGCTTCTACCCCGTCCATTGCCGAATTCGAGCTGGCCACTTACCAGTTCCTCAAGGCCTTTGTGGAGGAGCATGGGATTGCGGGCGCTGTGGATTGGAGAACGCTCAAGACTGTTCATGCGTACTTGACGGAGGAAGTGTGGGAGGGGGCGAAAGCGTTGGTGGAAAAGTTGCCGGAGGGACTGAGGGGGCAGGTGGACTTGGTTGATGAGACGAGAAAGGGGAAAGAGGGAGGAGAGACGCTGAGGGATTTGAGAGTTCCCGGGGCGAAGGGGGCGGTGGTGCAGAAGCATGCGGCGAGTTTGTGGCCTTGGAAGTTGGTGACTTGGGTGTTGGAGAGGTTGTTGGAGAGGTTTCCGGTTGGGAAGGGTACGGGTGAAGAAGGGTTCAACTTGCAGACGAACACACCGGTCTTGGGATTGGAAAAACTCGGTGATGGCAAGTGGACGGTGATAACGAACAGGGGAAACATCAAGGCGAACAGAGTGTTGTTGGCGATGAACGGGTATACGAGTAATTTGTTGCCGGAGATGAAGGACTTGATCGTTCCGGTGAGGAGCCAGGTTGCGTCGTTGCGGCCACCGAAGGATGCGGCCAGTGGGAAAGTGGCCGAGTTGGATTACAGTTATGCGTTTGTCAGTGAGGAACAGTTTCCGAGGGATGAGTATCTCATGCAGAGACCTCTGCCCGGAGGAGAGCTAATCTACGGAGGAGCGAGAAGTCATGCGGAGAACAAGGCGGTTGGAGTGTGGCAGGATGATGAAGTCGAGCGAGGAGTCGCGACATATCTGAGGCAAAACCTGGCACCATATCCGTTGGATCTGGACAAAACTGGCTCTACGCCTACGGATACCCCTAAGGAGGGAAATGAGACTACAGAACTCGAGGCCACACATCAATGGACGGGGATCATGGGATTCAGCAGAGACTCGAATCCTTGGGTCGGACGGGTGCCTGAAAGCCTCGGCGGCGGAGAGAATCTGTATATGTGCGCCGGGTACACCGGACACGGAATGCCGCAGGCGGCGTTGGCGGCCCGGATGATTGCGGAGGAGATCACGGGCAAGCCGTTTGCGGATGACGGGCTCAAGTTACCTCGGGAGATGGCGTTGACCGAGGAGCGAGTAAGGTGGGTGAGGGAGAACACGAAGACGTTGTTGAAAGAACAGCATCAGGCACCTGAATGGTCGGCTACCATGCCTGAGTTGTTGACGGCTACGGAGAGGAGAGCCTGAGGAGGGGAGTTGATGATGTTGTGAACCAGTCACACCAGTCCATATGACTGTTAGAACCTAGATAAACTACAGAACTGTTCTTGTGCTTCCTGTTTAGACCAACAAACACATCTTGTACAACGTGAAGCTGATGGATGTGATCTCACTCAAGCCCGAGATTAGATGCGTAGCAACTGCAGATATAGACCAAACGACCCACCTCGGACTTTGTGACGCTTCGTTACAAACACAACGTTCTCCAATCCTCCGCAAAGAGGAACAAGATATAAACACCACAGCGCTCTTTCCAGGTTGTCGTGATCTTCCTTGTTTAGAGTGTCCAGGTGTCCCCGGCTGGTTTTTGTCTTGACCGGCAAACGCACCTGCCAAATCGGGGACGGGCTCCGTGACCCGAAACCGGACGCCCAACTCCGATCTGCGGTGGGCTACTGAAAGTCTGAGAGGGTGAGAGAAGCCCTATGCCGACGGGATGCACCGAAAGGCGGCAATCAGCGGAACATGGGAGCCCCGGAAGCGGGGCAGGCCTGCCGGGTTCTAGTGCTTGGCTTTCGCGGTATGCTTTCAGGCAGTATGGTAGTTGCCAGGCAGCAACCACCCAATCGCCCGCCTTCCCCTCTTGGGCTCTCATTCACATCACCGTCCCCCTCAATGTGGTGGCTGACATCAGATGAATCGATGCGAATATAGGTAATCTCTTCGATACATACACAGTAGATATTCACTGATCGTGACTTAGAAGCTTGTTTCACTTTTCCCATCTGTCTTCCTTCATCCATTTCTCTCACACGAAGCTGATTGAGTTGGGTCATCTTCCCCTACCCGACCCAACCCACAACCACCATCCATCCATCACCAACCCAACCAACCCCAAGATTCTTCAACCACCAAAACAATACAAAGTAAACAAACCCTCAAGAATCCAAAAAAAAAAAAAAAAATCCCAGTCACCATGACAAACCAAATCACCGACGAAGAATGGGCCGACATCCTCGCCCACGAACTCCCCACGCAAAATGACCCCATCCTGCAAAAGTACCACGCCGCCCGCGCCGCCCTCATCGCCGAAGAGCAGAAACAGCGCTCCGACCACGTCTTCCGCCAATCCCTCTCCCCGCTCGCCCGCCGGGCTTGCTCCATCGTCTCCCGCATCCGGCTCGAGGAGCAAAAGGCCATCTGGACGCCCGACCTCGAGGAGCAGCTGGCGCGCAAAGAGGAGAATAACGGCATCATCATTCATCCGGGCATGATGTTTACCCTGGCCAAGGAGACGATGGAGGCGACCAAGCTGTGGAAGATTGTGCGAAAAATGCCCAAGGGGGCGTTGTTGCATAGTCATTGTGATGCCATGGTGGACTTTGATTTTCTGTTGGGCGTGGTGTTGGAGACGGAGGGGATGGGGATTGCGACGCCCGAAAGGGGAGGGCTGGGGACGGAAGAAAGAAGGAGGGAGGGCGAGGTGGTGGTCAAGTTTGTGGGGGAACTGGAGAGGAAAGTGGATGCAAAGTCCATATGGGCTGGTGAGGAGGGAGGATATGAGCCGGGGACGTTTATCAATCTGGTGGAAGCTGCGGACGCGTTTCCTGAGGGAGGGAGAAAGGGGTTTTTGCAGTGGTTGAAGAGTAGGTGTATTCTGAGCCAGACGGACGCGATTGAGCAGAGACATGGGTCGGCGGAGATTTGGAGGAAGTTTATGAGGTGCTTCGGTGTGATTGGGTCCATGCTGCATTATGAGCCTATTTGGAGAAGGTTTTTAAGACGGTTGTTGCAGCAGTTGGTGGAGGATGGGGTTTATTGGGTTGAGGTTAGGTGAGTTACCTCTTTCTCCTTGATCATGTCTGTCTGGCTTCTGAGGTGGCCAGAAAAAAAACGTCATCTGCGGCCTCATCGGCATGAACCTGTTTGGTATTCATGGACTAACATTCATAGATTTGCCTGGCAACTCGACTACTGCCGCGAAGGCTGCACCACCCCCGAGCCCGACTACACCGCCATGTTCAACGTCATCGAAGAAGAAGTTGCTGCCTTTAAGGCCACTCCCGAAGGTTCCTCCTTCTGGGGCCTCCGGATGATTTGGACCACCGTCCGCGCCTTTGGGCCCCGTACCATCATCCAGTCCATGAACGACTGCATCGCCACCAAGATCAACTTCCCCCATCTCATCGCCGGCTACGACCTTGTCGGACCCGAAGACGCCGGCCGCCACCTTACCGATCTCCTACCGGAACTCTTCTGGTTCAGAAAGCAGTGCGCAGCCGAGGGCGTGGAGATCCCCTTCTTCCTTCACGCCGGAGAAACACTTGGAGATGGTGACGCCGTCGACCACAACCTCTTTGACGCCCTGCTCCTGGGAGCAAGGAGGATTGGCCACGGCTTCTCGCTGTATAAGCACCCGCAGCTGATCAAAGCCGTCAAGGACAAGCGCGTGTTGATCGAGAGCTGTCCGATTTCCAACGAAGTGCTGCGGTTGACGGGCAGTATCATGCAGCACCCGCTTCCCGCGCTCTTGGCCAGGGGCGTGCCGTGTGCCCTGTGCAATGACGATCCGGCAATTCTGGGTCAGGACATGGCGGGAATGACGCACGATTTCTGGCAGGCGTTACAGGGGTGGGAGAACCTGGGTCTGGCTGGGTTGGGCTCGTTGGCGGAGAATAGTGTGAGGTGGGCGGCGTTTGAGGATCAGACGGCAGATGAGTGGGCGAGGGATGTGAGGGAGGCAGGTATGGGCAGTGGAACCAAGGCGGAGAGGTTGAAGCAGTGGGCTGTGGAATGGGAGAAGTTTTGCGTGTGGGTGGTGGATGAGTATGGGGATGAATATGGTGGTGATGAGGCGTGAGTGCGGATGGGATCGGCTGCCTCGGGAGAGTTGGCGATAGACAAATCGGGGCTGTTTGGTGATAAGTCAGTCTCAATATGGTTACTCAAGTTCTTGGAGACTTGGGGAATCAGACAATGAGCGTTGAAACTCCCGACTATTCGGGCCTGGAGCAAACCACTGAATGCATATTGCAAATCGTTGACAGCCAAACTCGGTCCTATTTACCTACATTTGCCAGCCGATATCCCCACACGACTCATCACACATCCCAGTTCATACGTATATAAACACTATCCTCGTTCGAACAGACACACCGCCCCGTCTACGATTACATACGACCATAGGCACTTGAGAAAACTCGGGATCCCGTCCGCTCTCCGATCGATAAGCCAGTGACCGCCAGGCCAGTAGTCGGCTCGGTGACGATCGGCGAATCACCTGGTGTTGTATGTTCCTTCCTCTTTTTTTTTTCTTCCTTCTTGTTTTTCATTATTACTCCGTCCATCTTGGTGTAACGAGGTGAGGAAGTGGCATGTCATCCGCTGCACATGCTGGACGAACCATTGACCCAGAACCGAATCTTTTAGTGTTCCATGCATTCATATTGCATCAAACTTCTTTGCTTAGGCCTGACATCTATCTATGAAGCTTACTGCTACTCGTGTACCTATCAAAACCTATTCCTCCCCAAAAACATCCTCATCGCCCCTCCCCTCTTCACTCCATCACCACCACCACCACCAACCATCGGTACACCACCAAACACCCCCGCCGCATCATCATCATCTCCTCCCGCTGTCACCGCTGCTCCCACTTCTCCATACCCAGCAGCACCAACCACATCCTTCCCGCCCAACCTCTTCACATCCCTCACCACCCTCCCCGCCCTCGCCTCCACATCCCTAAAATACAACTCTTCCCCTCTTCCCCCTTGGGCTTCCACGCCCCCAAACCTAAATACCTGCTTGGAATCCCCAGACCCAGTACTATTCTTCCCATCCCCAGTCTGCTCATACCACGCCTGCCCCTCCTTCTTCGTCTCCAGCCTCGACTCTTTGTATCTAGGACTCTTCCCATTCCCATTGAACGCCACCGTGTCATAATCCGAGAACGTCATCTGCCCAGAGACGACAACCGTCTTTCCCTGGATCAAGTGTCCCGATATGCTCAAGTTCCCTTGGGGCGAAACGGAGTAGGTGCTGTTGGCGAGTAATGGAAAGGTGTAGCTTGTTTTATAGTCGTTAGTGGAAGAGGAGGAAGACGACGACGACTCGGAGCCGGAGATGAGCATGTCGTTGAATTGATTATAGCCCTGTGCTGAGACGAGACCTTTGTTGGTGTAGCTGAGGGTTTGGGTCCACGTTCCCAAGGGGGAGTGGACGCGGAAGGAGCGTTTGACGGATGTAGTGTAGGTGATGGATTCTGGGGTTGAGGAGTTGGAGGAGGAGGGGGGAGCGCGGATGGAGGAGAGAGTGATGAGGGGGGTGAGACCGTCGATGGTGGGGAGTTTGTTGTCATTGTTGCTGTTGTTGTTGCTTCCGATGGAGTTGGAGTGGGAGTGGGAGTCGGTCCAGATGAAGATCTTTCCCGTGACGTACCACGATTCGTTGACGTGGTCTGTTAGGACTGCATTGTGGCCAGAGGAGGACGAGGACGCGGTGTCGTTGATGCCGGCGATGCGGATGGTGAATTCGTGAGGTTTGCCGTCGGTGAGAACGGCTAGCCAGGGGGTGATGTCGATTTCGTGTTCTTTCAGGTCGAAGGCTTCGATGCCGGCGATGGGTCGATGCAAGGAGGGAACAACGCCGCCGGTGAAGATGACGGGGAAGGGCCAGTAGACGCCGGCTAGTTGGCCGTCGATGAGGACTTGGACCTCGCGGAATGGTGAGTAGCCGGGGAGTTCGCCGACGGTGTCGGAGAAGGCGTTGGTGTCGCTTTGAAGGACATTGGACCACCAGAACTCTTCGTTGCCTTGGCCGTTGGCGGAGATAGAGAAGACGGCGCGGCGGGCGTTGAGTGGAAAGTCGGAGATGGTGTTGGTGGCGTTTTGAGTGGGGAGGGTGAACTGGCTGACGGCGTTGTTGGCGGACTGCCGGGCAGAGATGGGGATAATGAGGTCGCTGGGAGGAGCGGCGTTGGTTGCGACGTCGCTATAGAAGAAAGTGGCTGTAAGAGTGGTGTTGAAAATGCCGGTGTACTTGTCGTTGACGAGGTTGCCTAGATCAAAAATGATCTTTTGCTTCTGTTGCCAGAGGGAAAGGTACTCGGTCATGTCCTTGAGATATTCCCATCGAATTCCTGGCGGCGCCACCGGTTCGGCGGTTGAAGTTCTCCCTGATACGAGTTAGCTGTTTTTTCTTTTTTTCTTTTTTGGTTTCGGTACTGTGATAATTTCAGGTGTCCATGTGCTACATGAAGAAGAGGCTCTGCTATGCTGTTCATGGGTGTGGCAGGAAGCACTCACAAACTTCGGTATCACCAAGGTACATCAATGCCAGGCGGTCGTACTGTCTCCCCTCACTGACAACGGTGAAGTTCATCACAATCCGGTTAAACTTGCAACTAGGTGGCGTGTAGTCTCCTATATTACGGTGAAACAGCAATGTCAGAAAATTGGTCAAAGGAGAGCTTCTGTTTGGATATCGTCCAGCTCACCGATGTACGGAACTCCATAGCTGAAAGCAAAGTCATGGCGCATCAACAACACAGTACATGCTTCCTGAGTTGATCCAGCTGGAATGGGTGTTGTTCCATCGCTATCAGCCGGGCCATAAGGCATCAATACTGGCGGCGCAACCTCAAAGTTTCTCAGGACCGTTTTCTCCGCGGCAGCAGACGAAGTTGTGACGGATGACTGAATTTGCCTTGCTTTTTGCTGTGATTTGAGAAGGTCGAGAGTTGCTGGTTCGGTAGGATGGAGGCCTTCAACCTGATGGCCATAAGTTCCATTTGCCGGTGAGAGTTGCTCGTGGATATCGGATCTCGGGCATGACGGTATACCAAGGACATGGAAGACAAACCCCGTAACGAAGAGTGAAGCAAAGAGCCACATGACTGACAAGAGAACCCGTCGTGTTCGGGCTTGCTTGACTGAGCGAGGAATGAGTTCTTCCCTCATGACCACCAAAGGCCGCTTCTCAACGTCCCGAGAAGCCATGTTCATTGTGCCGTAGGTTCCGCTGCGAGGAACTACCGATGTCGAAGACCTTAAGCCATGGGCTGTTGAGACCGAACCGGCGGGGTTGCCGGGGTATAAAAGAGGACGGAGGAACTGTCCTTGATCGCTAACCGTGTTCGCCATGGTACCAGCGGTTGATGGTGTTACCACCTTCTTAAACTAGAAAGAAGCTTGGCTTGACTGTAGATATCGTCGACGAATGTGGCAGGCCAATGGGAACATCAATGGTGCGATACCACCCCGGACGCCGGCACCGCAACGGAACAATCTAACACCTGGCTGGCTTGTGTGCTTTTCGAGCGGATCGGCGAGGGGATGAAAAGTCATGTAAATTGCGTGCATGAGGTGGTGTTGATGCTCGTGTCTGGTCCGTGCGCTTCTCGCATATGATCGACCGTTGTCAGTTGCGGCTGCAGTGTATCGATTCAACGAGTGATACACAATGTGACAATGTAAACAACATGGTGGCACGTAGAATTCCAAACAGCATACTTTCTACCTCGTTTCTCCAACGGGTGGGTAATGACCTAAGCGTGTACAAGTACTACAATGCAAGGTTCAGTATGGTGTTGTCCGGATTATGAGAAAGGGGATTCTTATTTATGTGCAATGCAACCACCACCTACGGAACGCCAGCCTCCAAACAAGGGATATACAACTGAAAGATGAACATGAAGGAAAGATTGAGAAGTTGAAACAGGGTATCCAAGGCAAGGTAAGCACTCTTTTTTTTTCAAGGCTTCTTGACAACGGTCTTCACCTTCTTTGTGCCGATCTGGTAGCCCCAAGACCTGAGAACCTTGACGACCTTGGGAAGGATAGCAGCCGTCAGAGGGACTCTGATAAAGATGAAGGTCTTGTGAATCGCATACGCCAGAGCAAGCTGGGTGGCCAAGCCTGAGAAGGAGACGGTCAGCATATGTGCCCATTTGTGCTACAAGGGACATTGTTTAGCAAGTACTTACTGGCTCCAGCTTGCTTGCTCCGCTCCTCGGCGGCCTCAACACCCCATCCGACTTCAGGCTCCTCGCCAGTGCGTTCCCGCTTGTTATCCTTGTAAGCCGTCCGATACTTGTGCCAGAAGTCTTGGACGTTCTGGGGGATGACTGTTTGGAACCATGACACAACGACATGCTCGATGTGGGCTGAAGAGTACCGAAACGTCAGTTTTTGTTCGCTTTGCCGATAATCCAAGTCAAACTTACCAATCTTCTCGGTGCCGACGGTGCGCACGAGCAGGAAGCAGAAAGGGAAGTCTAGCACGCTAAGGGCGAGATAGACTCCGACAGCAGTCCAGCCGTACTCCTTGGACAGCTTCTTCATCTTGGCGCTAAATCCGGTCGGCTCGGGCTCCTTCTCCTTGGCCTTGGCCTTCTCCTTGGCTCCCTCCTTCCCCGACGACTTGTCGGACCGGCGCGACCTCGACGACTGGAACGGGCGTCTTGATGAGGTGGTAAACTGCTTGGGTTGCCCGGCTCTCGATGCCTGTCTGATTCTGGCCGACAAGCTCGCGTACTGGAACTGTGGTGTCGCTGCGCTCTTGGTAGAGATATGCTGCGCCCATGTCCGAGCCACTGTGGTGTCCCTAGAAACCCCCCGGAAGATGGCGCCTCCTCTAAGGAGGGTCTCGGCAGCTCCGTACCCTGTCCTCAACATGATGATGATCTAGTCGGTACGTGGTAGGAATCGGTCGGTCGTGGTCGGTCGCAGAAACGTCGCAAGGTGGCCCAAGCTCCAAGTCTCAAGCTTCTTGAGCTTCGAGGGATCGCTTCGTACAACGCTAGTCTCACTGAGGGGAGTTAAAGGATTATGGATGCGGGTAGACGCCGTCGCCAACAAGCCGGTGCTTGATCGAGTTCGAGATGGTTGACCTAGCCGTGCCTGTTTCCGCGGTAGAGAGACGAACACGTGATCGATCGAGAACTACATACGACAAGTATCTCCAAAGGCTCAAAGGGGCAGCAGGAGAAGTTTGGGTTGAGGAGATGGAGGAGGCGTATCGGCTAGGTCAAAGAAATTCCAGTCGGGTATTTCCTCGTTGCATGGGCTGACGATATCGCAAGGGGTCACGCAACGGCTCTTATTTTATTTTCCTCGACTTCAGTTTCTAGAAGTTCGCGGACCTCTTTGGGTTGCATGTGAGTGATGCAACTTAAGTCGTTGCGGCAGGCAGCGCATCATTCCACTACATCCCATTGGTCAATCGGCATCCGCCTCTGCCCG